AAAAAAAAAAAAAAAAAAAAAAAAAAAAAAAAAAAAAAAAAAAAAAAAAAAAAAAAAAAAAAAAAAAAAAAAAAAGAGACAAGAGAAAACGAAGAGACCCAGCAAAAGAAACAGTAAACGGTGCAACGCCGTGCCGGTTGCACATGTTTATGCAAAGTTATCAGCCCGGTCAACCCAAATGTCTTCCAACTCGGCAAAGTTCTGGAAGTGCAGGGGCCGGTGTTGGTCGTCATAGAACTTGAGCGGAGTGTCAATCTTGACATAGATGGGCCGCTTCTCCACACTACCAAAAGAGCTGCCCATGAAGCTATAGTTCCAGACATTGTCCTCGGGAACAAGGAAATAGCCGCGGATCTTGTCGCTGAGCAACAGCTGACACTTCTCTCCCATGTTGGTGGAGAAGCCTTGTGGCTGGTCCGAGGTGGTATCCTTGTTCTCCGCACCCCACTTGTAGCCCGAAGGAGTGAGACCCCAAGCGGAAAGTGAGACGGAGCCTGGGGTGAAAGACACCGTCATGGTCACGGTCTTCTTATCCCACGAAGGATGCGCGTTCATCAGTCGTGCGTGATGTGTGACATCTGCCGCCGACATGTACGGCGGCTCGTTGCCGGACACTGTGTGAATGACACCCAGCGGCTCCAAGTTTTGGAGATAATCGTGCTGCGGCAGCTGATGCGGCAATTGGACGTCCCGGGTGTTACCGACCTGAGGGATCATGACAATAGTGCGAACCTCCTTGACCTGGTCATTGTCCGGTGGAGAGCTACCGTAAATGTAACCTGTGACCTGAACCCGTAGATCGGCGATGGTGATGAACCGCTTCAGGACATTCTTGGGCATGATGTAAGTGTAGCCATCGTCGCGAATATCATCAGAGGACACGTAGATGTTGTTGGACCTGGTCCGCAAGTTGGAGGTCGCAATGGCTCGGGTACGCCACTCAGTCTTGGATGCGAACGATTGCTGCTCGTACTGAGACGTAGTGGTGACAATGATGTCCTCACCACGAGCATTCTGAGTCTTGGTCGTAACCGCAGTGAGTTGCTTCTGCTCCTCTTGCTGCTTTTCAATCTCGGCCGCCTGCTGGCGCTGCAGTGAAGGCGCACTGATTTCCATACCCAAGATAATGTCACGGACTTCACTGCTGGTCAAGCTCTGCACGTTGACATTGTTCTTCTTTCCATAATCATTCAGAATGAGATCACGCAATTGCACTTCAACCTTGATCCAATCCTCGTCAGAGAGGGAAGGCCAGATGTGGTGTTCTTGAGTAATGACGGTCTTGTCGGGACGAAGAATGATCTTGGCTTTGTCGATGTTGACATGAAGAGCTCGAAGAATGAGGATGAGTCGGGAGAAGGCAGTGTAGGGTGAGATCGTCTTGAGCCACTCGTCGTACAAGTTGAAGAGCACCATCTGAGGCTCAGTGGCGCGAAGAATCATGTCGGCAAGTTTTTCAACCTTCATGGCAGCCTGGAAGGGCAACTGAAGCTCAGACGCACGGATGGAGATATTGGGGAAGTCAAGCAGGTGAACCTCAAGAGGATCAAGAAGACCCTTGCGAGTGACAATAAGCTGCTTCGGCTGCTCTTCCACGGGTAGAGATCGAATAAGAGCAGCAACTTCTTCGGCTGTCTTCCACTTGGCCAACTGACCCAGTCGCTTCTGGCCTGCCCAGACACTGGTGTGAATGATCTTCAAGAACAATTGTCCAGTGCGAGGGTTGAAGATGAAGATAGCACCGTTGATAGGCTTGGTTGTCAAGTTACCTTCAAATGTCTTGTGAATAGTAACACGGTAAACGTTGGTATCGTCGATGAAGAGCTGAATCTGCGGGCTGAAAAGCTCAGAGTAGTTCTGGGAGTTGAGGAACTCCTGGTTGCTCTCAGAGGCGTACAGCTGCAAGCCCTTGCGAATACGCTCACGCAAGACATACAACGCTGGGTTGGCCTTCATAATCTTAGCCATAGCCTGTTGAATCAAGGTCTTGAGGCCTGGGAAGTACTGTCCGTAGGCCGAGAACAGGTTGTAGGCAAGATCGACACCAATCATCAAACCGGTAGCAGAGGGGTAGATACTCATGCTGTCAGTGGTGTAGTCGAGGTATTTGGCACGCACATATCGCTCAATGTCGTGAGAGTCATAATCACCGTATCTGAGCTGAACATCCAGCCAGAATTTGTTTGTCGTGGTTGGTTCATAAACGTCCTTGGTATCGAATACCAACGAGGGTCGGGTGACGTTCCATTTGTTCGTCGCAAAGAGAAGGATATCCGCACAAGAACTGTTCATCTTGTATGACTTACGCGGGTGAATAGTTTCCTTCTGAACAGCCTCAATACCGAGCTGCTCCAGTTCTTGGTCCAAGACTTGACACAGATCCATGACCACCGATTCGTGAATCTTCTGCCACAAGTGGGCACGGAAGATTTGAATCAATGAGATCTTCAGGGTCGGAATTTTGCCGTGCAAGAAGATGCCAGTCAGATCAAGCTGTACCTGGAAACCAACGTACACGTTGGCACGATTAATGGTAGGGGACCACCAGAGAGTGAATCGACGGTTGGGAATTTGGTTAAGACCGGATCTTTGAGCGTTTGTGAGTTTCTTGAACTTCATCGACTCCTCGAATCCACTGTTGTGCAGCACGAGGTGATCATGGCGCATGTAGAGCTGATCCTTATCCACTCGGAATCCAGCCCACTCAGTCTCAACGGATTCGAGCTGGATGTCCTTGATCATGAAATCATGGTGCTGAGACTTCTCAAAGACAGGAGAACGGAAAGCACTGTACCAGCTCCTCTCCTCGGCAGAGAGCGCAGCAAAGTCTAGAGCGGTCATCTCCACAGTGTCATATGTATCGGTAGCGGAGCCTTCAGGCAGGCTCTCTCTCATCTGAGAAGCACTATCCGGCATTGCCCTGTCACGATGAAGGACGAGAATGTGGTTGGCGGTGACAACAAGGTCTTCTTGCTCCGCGGTCATCTTGATACGGTACAAGCGATCCTTGCCGTTCACGATGTTGAAAGCTCGACGCGAACCTCCATCAGGACCCAACAACTCATCGCCCTCACGCACGTCCTCGACATTCACTTCAGTTCCGTCGTAACGCAGCAGCTTGGTACCATTCGCAAGACAAGCTCTTTCCCAGAAGAGACCTTCCCAGGACGGGAAAGCTGTGGCCTTGAACAGGGTGTGTTCAAGAATGGTCTCCACACCACCCAACGCTTGGATGACATCAGTGCGGTAGGCATTAAGGTTCCAAAGTTTACCATCGTGTCGCTGACTAGTCCACCAGAAGGGGTTGCTCTTCATCAGCTGGTACTGCTTGAACTCAGCACGAAGTCGGAAACCCTTGTCGAAGCTGAGTGTGCTTCGGTCCTTCTGGAAAAGGGTGTTGATACGAGGAAGACCTCGGTCCCAGCTGTCCTCCAGATCCTCCAGAGTCAATCGGCGGTTCTGCTGCTGGGCCTCCATACGCTTCTGCGAATATTCCATCCACACACGCTGGGAGTCAATGAACTCGGCTTCCCAGGGGATGATGTAACGGAAGATGTTAGGAATCAAGGTTTCTTCGTCGTGAGACATGCCCGCACGGAAATGTGTGATACCAGTGTCGGTTTGCTTGGACCAGCGCTTGTCGCTGGTGGGGATGAGAATGTGAGATCCCGAGATCATACCAAGACCTCCCAGTTCCTTGGGGGTGTAGAAAACTGCAGGAGGGAAACGAGATGGCATCTTGGAGTTAAGACCAATCTTAACACGAGTCTGGATCTTGGTTTCACATTTGACGATGGTGTCGAGAAGGTTGACAGTAGAAACAGCAGCCTCGCGGTAGTAGGTGAAGAGAGCAATCAAAGCAGTGTTCCACTTGTTGGCAATCTTGGTGAACGTGGTGGAGCCGGAAGACATAAGAATTTGGCGGATACGGTTGTTGAACTTCTGGATGTCCTCTTCGGTAACCTGCAAGAAAGCATGTGCAGTGCGCTCCTTGGTGGCGTTGTCAACCAGAGACCAGACACTATCCTTGACAGAGAATTCCTCGTTCATGTTCCGAATCTTTGGCAGAATCCGGACCTCAAACCCATTCATTGAGAACAACAAGTTGGGATTGTCCTTGCTGTATACACTGGCGAATGTGTCATCCCAGTCGATGGTGGTGATCGATCGCGGAAGGCGGTTCTTCATATCCCAGAAGACAGCGCGGCCGAGGTTGACATCGTGACGCATCAAGCGCATGCGGCAATCGCGAGGCCAACACTTCTTGTTCTTGTATCCGATGACATTCTCGAAGTTTGGATCAGGGTTCTCAGTTAAGAAACGCTGAATAAGGTCTCGTGAATCATCCGCCTGGAATCGGAAGAAGACCCAGATTTTGTCAACGTAACGGGTGTAGAGGCGAATAGGGTGCCTTGTCTCCGCAGCGCGGTCTCTGAACTGCAAGAAATCGTTGGGGCTGCCAGGAGGGCCAGCCATTTCGCTGGCACGCTGCAAGCCAAGCAGCAAGAGATCGATCATAAGACCGTAGAATTGGAAGACGAAACCAGAGAACTGAAGACCGCGAATCAGACCATAGCTGTTGGTGTGGTTCATGTCCTTGTAACTGAGCTGGACGTTGTTCTTAGAGGTGATGTAGTCAGCCAAATTGTGGTCCATGATCAACCGAAGCAAGCGGTTGAGAAGAGTAAGATCAATCTTCTCATAGACCTTGGATAGCTCAGTCTCAATCATCACGTTAGTTTCGCCCTCAGAGGTCTCCCAAACATTTGACAGATTGTTGATTCCCTGTGTCCACTTGTAGGTGAGAAGAGGGGGGACCTCGGAGTCAGAAGGCTTGATCCAAGCAGGGAAGAGATGACGCTGCTCTGCCTGGTACCAAAGGTACTGATCCAGATAGGCATCAGTGATCTTCTCAATGGGCTCGATGTCGTAAACAGGGTTGATGTTATTATAGTTATCGTTCATGTCAATCTTGACCTCCTTGAACGCCCGCTGTGTGAGGAGGAAACGTTTGATTCTGGCCAGAGTTGTGCCAGGAGAGTCGTAAGCCTGCTCAATGAGAGCCAATTCCTCACGTTGGCTCTGATTCAATCTTCCTTTCACGGAGTACGACTCGCGCAAACGCTCGAGCGCAAGAATAAGAATCTTGGTGTCGTGCTTGTAAGAAACACTGGGGAATGGAATTGGAGAGAACTTGCGCGACTCCAGCCAGTGGACCATCGTGGTGTAGATCGCAACTGCCTCCTCGGAAGAGACGTAGGGACCATCCTTCAAGTAGTTGTGTTGACGCTCTTGTTCAGACTTCAGCCACAGACGAGTGAGACGACCCAAGTTCTTCTTTGCGACAGTCTTGTCAACCGTAGCGCCACGACGAATTCTCTCTCGGTTGTAGTGTGCAACAGAGATCCACCAATCGGCCTTGCTCTTGACATAGCGGAGAATGATGTTCTCAATCGGGGCGGGCAGGCCGGGGACCTTCCAAGGAATATTACTCTTCCAGCATCTCCAGGCTTCCGACAAATGTTGCAAAACAACGTTGACCTTGTTCTGCTTGATACCCTCGGGCATCATGTCCATCAAGTCAGACATGACCGAGGCACGCAGTTCAAGATCGAAGTGAGACTCGACACGCTGCTTGGTGACAGTCTTAGCTACACCCTTGCTGTGACGACCTTCGAATTGACGGGAGAGCAAGTTTCCTAGCCAGCGCTCAAGCAAGGGAATAATACCACGCATGAAGAAGAGCCAAACACGCCAAGCAGGAGCCCAGAATCCACAGCCAGGACCTTTACCCACAGGGCCAGAATTGAATCGGTAGTAAATTAAGTGCTTCAAGTCTTTGCACGAACGAATCTGGTGCATGAGCTTGTACTTGTACCGATACATACCAGTAAGCTGACCGACATGGTTGAAGGCGTACAGGATACCATCTGCCAGTTGGAAGGCATCAATGTTACCCAGACGATACTGGACTTGGGCGTCCACAATAAGTTTGGTCAAACGAAGAATTTCTCGCATCAGGTGGAAAGCATTTCCGAAGCGAGACTTCTTGCGCTCCTTGGTGGTCAATGTCTTGACTGGCTTCAGGTTGAAGTTGTAGTCAAGGTGAAGATACGTCAAGTTCTTGCGGTGAATCAACAAGTTGAGCATGTTGAAGCCCTGGCGACAAACTTGAAGACCGGCCTCGACCCAGTCGATTGTTGTCTGCTGGAAGAACTTGGTTGATTTCAGAGTCTTCATTAGGTTTTGTTTGCTCTGGGCCTTCGGGGTGCTCTTGTGTAGCTCGTTGAGGACGTAGGTCTTAAGCAGTTTCTGGTACGAGACACGAACCTTGACCGGCTGACCCTGGGGACAATGCTCCAGGTACCACTGCTTGACCAGCGGGACATCCTGTGCACGGACCATCTTACCAGATCTCTTATCGAAGGGATGGGGAGCCCACCAGAGAGCAATGGCAGAGGCAGTGTCGGGTGTGTAAAGGTCTTCGTCGTCAAAGAAAGGCTCGACTTCTCCAGGAAGTTCGAAGTCATCATCTTCGTTGTTTCCGGGGCCGAAAATTTCATCTTCGTGGCTGACGGTGATGTTCTTCGGGGCGACGGAGCGGGAGGAGATGGGATTAATGACAGGGTCGAAGTAGAAGGCAGGCAGGTTAGGGTCCTCCGTGCGGACATAAACCACCTGGGGATGGGAGTACCAAGCGACCTTGACGCTGCGGGGGAGGGTATTGTACAAGAATGGGAAGGTGACTCGGTATTCGGTTCGGATAGGAGCACGGAAGATGATGCGGTCGATGGCGTTGAACTCGCTGAAATCCTCGTCGTTAGGATCGATGTCCTTGTACAAGGGCTCGAAACGGGGACCACCGGGAATCGCAACGTTGAGAGCTTTGGCGGTGAAGAAGCTGTTCAAGTCAAACATGTGGTGGTAGTTTTGGTCGACAACGTCACTCAAAATTTGGTGACTCAGACGATGGAGGGTGGCCATCTGAGGGAGGGACAAGTTCCAGCTCTTGTAGCTTGGGCCATTGACGTGGGGGGTATCGAGGAGGGGACGGTGGTCATAAAGCCATTCATATACGGCCGCATCTTCCTCCTCGTCCAGTTCCATTTGGATGGGCTCCAATGGCTCAACGTCTTCGATGTTCTCGGACCAAGAGAGAGGCGGCTCCTCGTCGTCGAATGGAGGGAATCGCATGCGCTTGAAATGTCTGCGATCGCTCTTTTCACGACGCATGCACATCCACATCGTGGCCCACTGGGCGTGGAAGACAGGCTCGATGACACGCGGTGTCTCATTAACCAGTGTCAGACAACCGTTGACATGGTAGAGCACCTTCACTTCCCTGGCTGACTCCCAGGGCATGGGCATGTTCTCTAGAAGCTTCAAAACGGCATGGGGCATGAACTTGAGCGCGCCAAGGTAGCTCCGCTTCTCGTTGGTGAATTTCTTCTGCGAGACATCGCCGATATCTCGTACGATCTTTCGCAAATGCTCCGGGGGCATATCCGCCTTTTGTGTTTCAACAAATCCCCCTTTACGCTTCTCCGCGAATCGATTGCGTTGCGTTCGGAGCCACTCGTTCTTTTTCTGTGAAAATTTGGCGACGTTTGGGTCGGCCGGGGGCTGGTAGCCTGGAGGCGGCGGCGCCAACGGCATTGAAGAGGGTGCGCCCCATCCAGGTGGAGGGGGCGGCGGCAGTGAAGCCATGGTGACTGATGGGGAGGATCTCCCACCCTCACTCGTGAAAAGTTGGGTTGGTCTCGAGTCGCGTCAAACCACGTCAAAAGATCATGTGTAGCAGGGGGGATCAGCTGGAAAGATAGGTCCAACTGAAAAGGAAGATGAAATGCGATGGAGAGATAAGCAATTAAGATGACGAACGCGACAAAGATAGAGATCCACGACCCCCTACGCGATGAGACTATCTCTGCTCCCTTCTCCGGTTGAACTTTGAGGTGGCGGCTCCGATTGACCCTAATCCGGATTGGGACTAGCGCAACCTCGCCAAAAGTGCGCTAGCGTCGGCTGAAGCAGAAACCCACACAAACCTGTCTCGCCATATTTCACTTTGCTTCACGACAACTCCGACAACTGCCGCCCTTGACCAGTTCAAGTACAGTCAAAATGACCAACAACAGACTGCAATACGTGAGTTTTTAACAGGTATCTATCTGGGTGAATTTTGGATCTGACCATTCTCGATATCCAGCGCCGCCGGAACCCGTACGTTTCTTGAAAAAAATTCCTTTCCATCGAAGATTCCCAATCACACGCACTCTACGGTTGTCTCTGCGATGATACTAGTGATGGGATTTCTTTCTCTGCTTTTCGAACGATTCATTGACGGTTTTTTTTTTGCGCTCGATAGGTACAACACGCGGTCCAACAAGGTTCGCATCGTCAAGACCCCCGGCGGTGAGCTCCGTTACCTTCACCTGAAGAAGAAGGGTACTGCTCCCAAGTGCGGTGACTGTGGCATCAAGCTCCCCGGTGTGAGTGATCCCTCTGCGTCTCGATTGCATTTTTGAACGGTTGTGTGGGATGTGTGCGATTGGGTGGGCCAAGGACCGACTCGGAAAAAAAAAAAGAAGACTCTTGTCTGGATGGACTGGAGTTTCCAACGAATGCCCAATCGAAACAGCACACCTACTCTACGACCGTCTCGCCGAATATCTGGAGTCAGCACGACTGACAAATTTTCATCCGTACAGGTCCCCGCTCTCCGTCCCCGCGAGTACGCCCAGATCTCCCGCCCCAAGAAGAATGTCAGCCGTGCCTACGGTGGCTCTCGCTGCGCTGGCTGCGTCAAGGACCGCATTGTCCGTGCCTTCCTGATTGAGGAGCAGAAGATCGTCAAGAAGGTCCTCAAGGAGTCCCAGCAGAAGGCCGGCAAGCGCTAAGCGTGCAATTTGTCGGTGTTGTTCTTTTTTGGTGGAGCGAATGTTATGGGAAAAACGGCTGGGAATGGTTCTCTTAGAATCTTAAAGATGAACACGAACAGCTAGCACGTGGGTCCAAAAAAAAGGCCGACGGCTAAGCAAATGAATCAATTTCATTTAACTTCATGAATACTCCCTGACATGTCGAATCAAGTTGTCTGAAACGATCCTTGCGCTGTTTTTTCGAGTATACCCCCCCAGGCCACATTCTTGACTGCTCCACGATTCTAGCGGTCAATTCTCCCTCTTGCTGGTCTGTGCAGTGGGTAAGTCTAGACCATGTTAACGGTTATCGGGCTATCGTCTTACCTGTCAGAGCCCTCGATGCACTCTTCTTGTCCACAGCAATAGAATGCTCATGGGTTCAAATGGGACGTAGATGCTGGGTAGGCGAACAATCACATTATTTGCATTAGTAGATTCTGCCAAACGTACATCATGCCCGTGGCTCCATGTACTTGTGCTGCCCGGGTGCCTGAGCAGCTGTCGCTAGCCAAGAATACAGATTCCATGCTTTCCATTGCATTGTCCAGGTGGTGTATGACTCAATGCCCACATTTGAGAGCTTCCAGGGTATTCAGACGTGAAAGTCATCACAGTCCCGTAGGGCTTGAGAAAGGGCATCAGGGAGCATGGCCAACTCACACAGCTTGGAACTAATTAAAATTGCCCCAGGGTCTTTCGTGTGCAATCTAGATATACTGCTACTCAAGTGGATTGATGGCCTGGCCAGGAATCGGCCAACACATCGAAGCAGTGAGTTTCGTTGCTCGATGGCTGCAGATTGCCTCGAGATCTCGGCGGTGTACCTTAGTTGGGAAGTGAGCCTTGGAAGGGGGCTATAATTCTTCATGTTATTAACAAGGTCATGTGTGTTATTGTGTGGAATTATTGTCCGTGGAGATTGGGTCCTTGGTGGATTGAAGTTTCGACCAGTCGTCAACCTTAGCGTCGATGACACCGCTTCCAAGGTTGTCGGCAAGGCTCTCAAGGCCTTCTACCTGGGCAATTTTTATTGGGGGTTTAGGTATTGGAATTTTTCAAACATGATCACTGCAAGACATAGCGTGTGATCATCAGCAGGTCTTTGTACTAGCCCTGAAGACAGAAAAAGGCTATTGTGGTCGTGGTATATTTAGTCCCTACAAGCTGCACCATGCATCTGACCATTCCCGAGGCATCGTATCGGAGATCTTGAAATAATCAATTTAGCGGCATGAATGTTTCTTGGCTTTCGATGGGCTCTTGAATTGCCTAAATTGGCAGGAGTCTATCTACACTATCCCTGCAGGTACTCTGTGTTTTGCCTTGCATGGGCCGATCCATAGGATTGGCTGAATATGACCAAATAAACCACCAGTGACTGAGTTGTGTCCGTCATTCCAAGTGTAACAAATGTACGAAGTACATAATTGCTACGAGTATGTTTGGACTTGGAACGAACAAAAAAGACCACACTCCGGGGCTGATCTTCCGTTTCTTACTACAGAGCTAAACAGTACATCCCCGGGTCTACTCGTACAGGTCTATCTAACATCCCGAGGTCATGAATACACGCACGATGAAGACAATTTGAGAATGCCCCTAATACTACTTAAGGATGTCTCTCGGTAAGTATCTCCTAAAAACTTTAGAAGTATATCTCTAGGACTCCGCCTTTAAATTGCCATTATGCTGTATGGAGTACTCGTACACTCAGCTGTCTCCATCGCTCCCGAGGTACATGAATGCTACGTGGCAGCCGACGAACCTCTGCTGCTATTTGCTCAAACCATTTATCCCGATGAAACCCCAAGCGATAGCCGACAATAGGATCTGCAGCGTCTAACCCTTTCCTGTCTAATTGTGCGAAAACAAAGGGGAAATAATAACAAGAACAAGGACCTGAATACTCCGTGCGAGGTACGGAGTACTAATTCGCCGTTTATCTCCACTCTGGATGGGTCCGGGGATACGGGATCGCACAATGGGATCTCAAATGAACCATCCAAGAAGCGGTCAACCGACTCTGTCCCAACTTTCTTTGGAACGAAGCGCTATCCACAAGAGCTAACGTTTGTCAAATAAAACAGCGCTACGATTACAGATTATGCGATGCATGTTGACAGCTGTCTAACCGGCCCGTTCCATCCCACCAACGCCCAACGGGCGAGGTTCGTGCGGTCTGAGTTACAGAGTAGAAACATATCATCGTTAACTCTCTGGTCGCACCCAGGCACTCCCCAACGGTTTGACCTTAAAAAAAGAACCCGGAGCTTTTACGCCCGGACAACCCGGCTCCCAGCAGGTTGGGTATCCTATCGGCTTTAGAGTACATACATCACAGGGTGACAGGCATCAAGCGGATGCTTTTCGTGGCCGTATCCATCGGTTCATTTCATGCAGATCGAAATTTGGGAAGATCTACCAAGTATGTAGGTACTCCGTACTCCGTACAGATCTACCCCTTTTTGGCGGGATGTTTTTCTTCTTTTGCCCTTTCTCGTGCCCTCGAGAAAGATGATAGATCGATTCTACCCTGGGAAGAACCCGGTTGGACTAGGTTTCAAGGCTGCATGCTTTAGTTAGTGGGCTGAATGATAGTTCTTGTCTCAAGTGGACACCTGTCAGCGCTTGTCATGAGATCGAAACTATTGGTACGGACGACAGGGGTGTCGACAGTTACGAGAGCAAGCTCGGGAGTAGTTACGGAGTGCGGAGTACTTCGTACTGACCTGCATTGAGAGCATATCGAATACTCAAAGCATTAGGTGCAGAGTGTGTATCCTGGAATGGAATGTTGAGTACGAAGTAGCATCTTTGTGCTTCGTGTTCCGTATCTCGCCGAACCAAAAGGGGACACAAGGAGTGAAAAGGGAAGCAGATGAAGGTTCTATTTGTCGCACACTAGGAGACATATTCCGATTGCCGTTGCCATCATTGTTAAGAGACCCCGGCACTGCGGCTCTATTGAAGTGTTTGATATGGCACCTCCATAAGTCCTCCGAGAAAACCTTGGAACAATGTCACGTCACTCCAAAGATCGGCTCCGGGTCGAAACTTGCACCCGTCGGTTGGCGGGCAACTTGACTACTTTGCAAATTTCCATCGCGGTCACTCCTCACGTTGTGATGCATGCAGTGGCTGAAAAGGTCACGAGGAGATCTGCGCCCCCAATCTGGGAAAGGATCCATGCGAGCTTCAAAAAGAAATACTCGTACCAGATTCAGCTACGGAGTACTTGCATACTACAAACATACCTACAAGTATGGATATTATGATACGCTACAGTTGTGAATGGAGATGGCGGTACGGAGTCAGGGTGATATTGATCAATATATCTAGAACCCGCCATGAAACCCTTCCATAACTCAACCTTGGAATTAAGCCCATGGACCCCCTTTAAACACCAGTCCTGGTTAACGGCACGGCCCGCGCGGTGTCCCCGAAACTCACTGCAACTTCCAAGAATGATGTTCAGTGTGAATGACACCGCAGCTGCCACCTGTGCCCTGTTGCACAGTACATACTGTCAACTACTTTAATGCCTAGTCGAAGCTAGTTCCATGCATGGAATTGGCCCACTGTCTCCTAATTCGCGGGTTTAGGTCGCATATACCCATGTGGGTATCTGGTGGAAACTTGTCAATCCAAGTATCTCGATCCGAGGGAAACAATCGACGTATCTGTCAACCGTCATAATATCATCATAAATCTGCTCGAGTGTAAGCGATGTCGATCTGTAAGTACGGATCTACCCTGCCTCCAACGCTAATCGGTACTTAAGTAGGTGCTCGTATTTTCTGGTACATCGCATGAGGGTATTCGTTAGCCCCCCACCCTTGTACCCTGAGTATTTCGGGGAGGTAGGTGCATTTGCCAAGTCGGCCTTTCACCGGTGCCATTGTTGCTTTCTTTTATTGTGCAGATCTGCGATTAATATACTTAGCTCTGCACTAGGGTATCGTCGTTTTTTCCTCCGCGGCTAAAGGTCCTCGTGGGATAATTGCGTAATATAGGGCAACAGTGGTGATCTGCTCGCATATTGCACAACCATGATCAACTTAGAATGACCACTCGTATGTAGGATAGACAAGGGGGTCTAAAGTGAAATAGAATCCTGCAGAGAAGCTCTGTATCTCCACGATTCGGCATATCCATCGGCAGGGAAGATGACAGACTGCCCCTAGAGCATCTCGCAAGGGGGTAAAGTTGGGAACGAAGAGGGGTGGTCATCAGCCAATTGAAGTACGTGGCTTCCAAGGCTGTCCGCGTCACATTGCACTCTGGGAGGCTACAGCAAGAAAATTGCATAGCGGGGTGGTGGGGTGGTCACCCAGATCCCGGGTGCTAGGATGGACTACTCGTACCAGCAGGTGGCAAGTGCTTTCCATTGCCCCTGTACTCCGTACAGAGTACACTCGTGTCTCTTGTCAAAGCACCCTGTAGATCACCGTTGCCTCCCCCGTACTTCGCAGTGTGATATGGTTGGAGATTATCCCCGTCAATCGAGACACCGCTGTTCTGTGTATATGAAGAAAATATAGGTAGCAATACAGCGTGTAATTCAAGCTGCAGCCGGGAATACTTTTAGTGCATTGTCACGGGGAAGTTTCTTGCTTGGCTTTGTAACGCAAAGTGTCAAAAAAAAAAAAAAAAAAAAGTGGATGGATATGGAAGAGTGCGAACATTTCTAAATCACGTTCCTTTGCCTCATTCATGCCCAACCTTCCAACCCTGGAGCATTACATACACATCCTGTAATAAGCATACACCGTGGGCCCGAAAGAAGCTCGTACACCTCATTCTAAGCGGGTCATTGAAGATCCATTTTCTTGATGAACTTGACAGAGAACGATGATCGACAGTATCTACCTCGGTGATTGATAGATCTAGATTAGAGTCCCAGCCTCAAAACACTGCACGCGCCAACCTATGGTACAAAAAAGAAAGCATGCGTTGCTAGCGCTCAAGTAGTCATGAGTAAAAGCACCGATCAAACCGAAGAAACTCCACAGAAAAAGCAAAGAGAGAGAGAGAGAGAGGAAAAAAAAAGGCAAAGAGGCAGAATGTAGATTGCCTTCGTTGGCGCCGAACAGTTGTTGGACATTTTCCCATACCATATCCATATTATGCAAGAGAAAGAAGACAAAAAACAGGGGGAAAAAGCATCACACTCTTCTAGTGTATTCAGCTAAGTTGAAAGTTAGAATGTGATAAAGAGAAGAATCTTGAAAAATGGGGAATGAAAAAAGGAAAATCCCAAAAGTCCCAAAAACCCCGAATCCATGCGTGTCAGCGCCAGCGGGCTGTTCGACAAGTTTTCACCCACACCCACACCCACAACCCCTTTTGTTTCTTTTTTTCGTGATTTTTTTTTCGTGGCTTTTTTTTCTCGCCCCCCCTCATTGATCTTTGCAATCCAGCATGGGACCTGCCGGAACATTGGAACCGGCAACGGCCCTATCATTTGGAACTGGAGATGGCGCATACCAACCATGACCAATAGCATATGTTGGCCCGTAATCTGGCCCCATCTCTGGGCCATCGATGAACACACCATTGTTTCCAGGGAATTGGGCGGTACAGCCACTGACAGGACCCATGCTGAATCGTGGCACGAAATGGTTGACGCTAGGATGTCCTGATGCAAAGACCTGGGGCATGTAACTCATTGGCGGTAGCTCCGTGGTAGCATAGTCTTGACCGAGAATTTCGACGCGTGAGTTTGCCTGATTGTCTGCAATTCCCGTTTTGATCTTTTTGGGGGGCTGTCCCCCCTTAGATTGTGTGGGCTCGCGCTGTGAACCGCGGCCCGCTCCCTTAGCCGAACCTTTTCGATATCTGGTTGTTGATTGGATGCCGCCGTCTTTGATAGCTTCCGATGTAAGACGCCAGAAATTGGCTGGTTTCTCCCCGGGGCGCACGTCCTCTTTCACGGCCTCGAATCCCTTCATGAAGCGTTAGTATATAGTTGATAAGACGTGGCGCTTGATTGTAATTGATATCGATTAAAGTCACGACAATGTGGAGATAGCGTATGAGAAGAGGGAGGTTCATGACTTACTGCGTTCATGGAGAGGTTGTGCCGGATGCTGTTCTGCCAGCCTTTGTGATTTGGATCCTTCGCTTTATCGGTGTGTTCCTCAAACCATCGATAGATGCCTTGCAATGAAAGTTTGTTGCCATCTGCACCTTTCAAGGCCCGGTAGATGAGGACAGAATAGGGCTGGTTGCCGGTGCGTTCTTCCTTGGGATTTCTACTGATCAGGCCTTGAGTCGTTCTTGCTGGGCTAGGGGCAGGGCCAGAGTCCGGCGAAGCGTATGATGATGCCGTCGATGGCGGGGAGGGTGGAGCGTGTGGAACGGAGTGAAGCACGCCAGGTGTGTGATAGTAAAGTTCCTCTTTAAGAGCCGGTCTGAAAGTTCTCCAGTCTGAGTGGTCTTCGTGGACGTATTCCGGCTTAACCTCTCCCATAGGGCCCAGGTCTGGGGAATCCATGACAGCATGGATGTGAGATGGGATATCGTGGTGATCGAGGTAAGAATGTGGACCGGTATCCAAAGGGTGATGAGACATATCCATGTTGTACGACTCAGTACCCAGGATCTGAGGGTAGAAATGAGAAGGCAGACCTGAAGTCATGTAGAGTGGCTGGGAAATGTATCTCGACCAGTTATCCAGGCTGCAGGGATTGTAATGCGGAGGCGAGTTGGTTTGGTAACTAGCAGCCGATGAGGGAACCGTTTGTCCCGAGAGGGCATCTGACCCCTCTCGCTGGTCAGTTGCCATCTGAGCCGAGTTGAAGTTTGAAGAGTGATCTGAGGGATCCATGGCGTTTTAAGGGAAGCCCTGTCCGATTCAGCCTTTGAGGAGAAGATGTGTTTGATAAAGAAGAGGAAGAAAGAATGGAAAGACTGGATGTCAAGAAGAGGTTGAAATCAAGCGGAGGATACAAAATAATTGTAAAGAGAGACGAAGAGAGGGAGAGGAGGCAAGATGATTTTGAAGAGTAGAAGTACTCCTCAAAAAAAAAAAAGGTCCCAACTAGGTTCGATCTTTCAAGATCTTCCAGCACATTGAAGTGAAGGCTCTCTATTCTGCACATAGCCTTGGGAAGATCCATAGGCCAGACAAAAGACGGTCTAGCCCAGAAGCCCCGTATTGCTGTAAAAGATAGTACAATACTCTCTACAGAAAAAGCGCCCTAGATACCCAAGGTCGTGGAACGAGAATTCATACAGCCAGTGGCCAATGGTTTGACCAGGGGGGGTCAGAGTGGCTGATCTTGGGTGTGCTACAGCCGAAAACGAATGGATCTGAGGGACCGACCTGTTGAACGGTCAAATGGCCAGTGGGTGCTTGCATATGCTAATTAATTTCGTATTATTTTTTGGGTCCTTCTGGAAGCTAGGGCATATACTGCATTTTTGTCTAGTATAGCCGGTTCATTTATTTTATTTTATTTTAATGTTTTTTGACCCTGGCATATGGATCTCTCTCTCTCTCTCTTTTGACATAGCCGGAAGTCTTGACCCCTCCGAAAGCTGCAGGCTGTCACCTAGTTGCCTAGGTACCTAAGTAGACAGGCAGTGTTACCAATCGGACTTTGTAAAGAAAAGGAAAATGGAGGGGGAAAATAAAGGGAAATAGTAGAAAATAATAATGATACAAAGTACCCCGTCGGAATGGACACACAATTGACCACTTAAATGCACCAGGGGAGAAAAAGACAATAGGTGGCGAGGTATGAAGTTTAAGAAGAGGTACCCCCGAGGTCAAACTAAGCATTTTGACATCTTTCTGATATCTACTTCAGCTTATTTAATCGAAGGGTTGGGGGAAATCTTTCCAGTCCAATCAACTGGGCGTTCGCGATGTTTACTGGATATGAACTCTCTGGAAAATACACCCCGAAATCTCCCTGCATAACATCCTCTCCACTCCCATATGACGCCCATGTGGACATCGTTGGTGTTACTTCCGATAATAGATCTGAGACAGCTGATTAGTTTTGCAAAAAAATAGACAATTGAAGAAATATCACCACTTACCCTCTTGAATTGGAAATGAAGCTGAAGAATTCCCTGGAGCTTGCGTCAGTTGCGGAACCTGGAGAATATAGTAGCACGGCATACCTTGTCAAAGGTACTCTTGAAACCCCTCTCTCGTTTCGCACTGTAGTCCCACTCTTTGTCGACAATCCGGAAGGCGAGGTCCTCATATGGGGGTCCAGCCGTGAATCGAATGAGACATGTGTCTTCCTCGCCCGCCTCGGCCGACGACTCACCGCGCTTGCGACCATTCTCACGCTCAATCCGGTATGTCGGAGCTTTGGTTTTGTCGATTAAATCGGGGTAAAAGATATTGAACTTGTAACCTTGTACGACCTTGGGTGGCGGGTTATCATGGTCATAGTGGGTTTGGTTGTATTTGTTCCATTCGTATCCCATTTGGACCCGGTTGAAGTACCGCGGCTTTCGGGGTCGGTGCTTGCCCTCCCATTGCGGACGCGAGCTCGTGCTGACGGCCTCTTCGCCAGTGAAGATTTCCTCGTTCTCACTGACGCCCTTGGCGAGCTCTCTTTCATAGAGCGCCTTGGTAGCTTGGGAGAAGTCTTCGTTGGGGATCGATGAGAATCGGGTGGACGTAGAGGCAGCCGCATTTGTAGAGGTAGGGTTAGACACAACCACCGAGGATTTTTCGGCCATTCGCTGTCGCAGTGGGACAAAGCCCATACGGATGATTTTCTGGCGTTCACGCGCCTGCAAGAAATCAGCATTGGGTTATTCATTGACTCGAAGCGGGTTGAAACGTACCACATGATCAAGGAACGCTGACTCGTCCATGATCTCTAAAACCTTATCTTCGGCGCGAACTTGAAGTAATGGATCCGGGTCCAGCCCGTCAAATTCCGCAGGATTGCTTGTGTTCACGTCGATGATGGGTGCAAGTGGCGCTAGTTTTTCCCGAACCGATTCAGCCTCATCCTTTTGCTGCTTCCTCAAGTCACGGACGCGCTCGTCAATGATAGCTTGATACACATTCCTGAGTCTCGCTCTAGCCTTCCAAACAGTCAAACTGCGCAGCAACTCTTCCCAATAGTCCGTATCGATCGGCTCGTTCGAGTTCAACTTCCGTTTTACTTGTACTTCAAGTTTCTGGAGCTGCTCGTAAGACTTTGATCGAAGAAGTTTGTTGATATCGGCGGCAACAGAGCTCAGCGCACGACCTTCCGGGGTTGCAGTCTTTTGGCGGTCTCGGCAGATAACTTTCATGGTCTGTAGCAGAGGCGACGGTCAGCAAAGCACTGGGGTTGTATATCGGAGGAATCACGTTACCTGCCAGAAATCACGGTTCTGGGGGTTTGTTTCCAGGTTCACAAAAGTGTCGATATCTTTTTCCAGGTCCTGTAGTTGAGTTTGTGACAATCCTTCAAACACCCCATCTGGGTCCACGACATCCAAGTCACTATCTGCAATCTCATCGTCCAAAGGGTCGCGGGTAGGATCAATGACCCGCAAAGTGACCGTTAACCAATCGATGGGCTTTGCGCGCCCTTCCTTCACTCGAATTTCTGCCTTCTTCTTGGCTTGCTTCAAGACGAATAGATCCTCTTGAGCGACCCACTCGCGCTCTTGCTGGTCTTCTTGGAGCATGTTGAGTCGAACTTGGTCGCGCATATTGCGAGGCTGCTGCGAGGGGCCCGATCTCTCATTGTCCCACCCACGAGTTGCGTCTGGTCTGTCGCGCCATTCTCTGTCGTCACGGGGATGTTTCTGCTCGCGCCAGGGTGGCGACCGCGATCGGTCTCTCTTCGAATCTGATCGGTCGGGTAGTCGCGTGGACATTGTGCAAGCAGTAATGATAGTCACAGCCAAGGAAAAAGGAAAATAGGCCGGGGCGTATGTGCAGCGCGAAGTCGAAAGATTCGGGCGATCAGCGGGTACGTCAAGCAGAAGGCGGTTTCTGGCGGCTAAATAACGCCTAAGTTCTGAGTATCTGATTGGCTGTTCAAGGGGTTCCTGGGATTTCTGTCTACTTGTGTATAGGGAATTAGACTGAGTTTAAAAGATTTTACAATATCTGTTGTATCTGTCATATCTGTGAATACATTGGAACGTAGATCACTTCAACATCGTCAAGTAATCGCCCGTTGCGAAAGGATGTACATTGCCTAGTCCGCACTAATAACTAGGCGGCAAGCCTTCCCTGCGGCTCTTACGGACTTTCCATTCTTCTCAGCCCACCTACCATGACTTCAAAATGGCAACGTCTTCACCTGTCCGATCAAAGTGTGCCTCCCCTGCTTTTCCAATACACATGGACAAAGCAAGGCTACGAGATTTACATAACAGACCTCGCCTACATCTGGTCGGAACGGCTATCTCAAAAGCAAATTATCAAGCGAGCTGAGGAAGATGCTACCACTATTGACCCTGGAGAGGATTCAGAGCAGCTCAACGTGCTTTTGGAAAAGATCGGGGAAGCCCTTCAAACAGGGAAAGGTAGCGTGGTTCTAGGCAGCGGAGCGCAGACCAACTCGTTAGAAGTCAAAACAACCACCAAACTGCCTGCACCTCTCAAGCCTCTAAGATGGAATCTGAAGCTGGTCAAAGAATCACCGTCATATCTGACAAGCAAAATGCTACTTCCGCTTATCAGCGAGGAAGCTATTAGGGAGCTTCGGCAGCGCTCTCTCTTGCAACAGATCAAACAGAAAGACTCGGTGCTCAGCAAATTGCTAGACAAGATTGAAACGACAGGCGTTGACCTAGGGACTGTATTTCCCAGCGCCGCGGGATCTCGATCGTCCCGTAAGGCTATCACTCGATCCGAGGCTGCTAGGTTTGTCAAAGGCATTGAGCCCTTTAATGAACAAACCTGGCTTGCCAAGACAGAATCGTCCGACGGTGCGGGACTAGCCAACAATTTACTCCAGGAACTCACAGGATCCGGTGAACCTGGTGATATCGCCAAGTTCAGCCAACCACAGGAGCAATGGTGGCATCAACTTACGGGGCTCTCTGGGACCACCGCCAGAGACACCTCTCAAGAGAGCGAAGATCCGCCGCGTATTGACCGCAATTACGACGCACCAGTTTCATCGAGTCATGTTGACATAGAAGGGGAATTAACGGCAAGTAGCGATGATGATGAGTTTCAGGTATGTCGCCACATTTCTTCGGCGAGAGCTATAAGTTTTGATCTGACTGACTCTCTTGGCTAAGCGACAAAAAACACCCCCCCGACTGAAGTCAGAGCCCGCCAAAAGCAAACGCTCACCACTCGGACAAAAGCCCAGGAAGAAGAGTCCATCACCAGTGCCATTACCAGCTGAACCGGATGATGAAGCTACTGCATCAGATTCCGACCCAGAGCCGGAACCGCGCCGAAACCGCATTCCAACGGTATCAAAATCGCCAGAGCCTCCGGCTCCTGTGTCGCAGGAGAAACCCAGTCGAAAAATTGGCGGGCTGGGTATCATTGGTGGCAAAAAAAGCAAAGAAGGATATTCTGTTGCTCCAGCGCAACCTCGCAGTTCCCCGGAGCACCAAGCACCCCAGAAGTCGCCACAGGAGGATAGATTCAACGACAGCCCCCCTCCCACATCCTCGACTCCACCACAGAGAGAAGCAAACGTCAAACGACCAGGAAAGCTCGGTATGATAGGCGGCAAGGCCAAAGCTAAAGTCCCCGTTCCAGTGCAAAAGGACCCTTCTCCGCCAGTAGTTGAGACGCGGGCTTTATCTCCCGACCAATCCTCTCTCACCAAGTCAAAAGCTACGAGGGAAGCTACCCCGGACGTCGCCCGCAAGGAAGGCACCCCATTGTCTTCATCACGGGCCGCTGAGACATCTACCGCTGGTCCACCTGCAGAGCTGGAAACCGATGAACAGCGCGCTGACCGGAGGCGTGAGGAGCTAAAGCGGGCGCTTGAGGCTAAGGGCAAAGCACCTGCGAAAAAGAAGCGGAGGTTTTGAGGAACCCTTGGAGTCAATTTCACTCTACGATCCCTGTTTTTTAATTACCCTCTACACCGTCAGTCAGCACGAATCCTAGCAATAGCTTGAAGGGAGTTCCAAATCAGACCTGTAAGAAATGATAGGAGCAGGGTTCCTGACTAAACTGAATAAAGATCCGTCCATAGGTGTTCATGAAAACCTGTAAGAGCAAGGTTGTTCACACTAAGCGCAAGTGTCTTAGGCACAGCATGAACTTTGGAATCCGACGGCTATTAGGCTCTACTGGCTCTAATGTCTGTCGATGCTGCTCTCTACGTTGGTATAGCTACCAGTGCATCCCAGAATTACAGCCGGGGCCATCAGAGTCACGCGCACAGCTGACATACTGGCATTCGTGTTCACCGGAGTAAATTCCCTAACATGGTCCACGGCTGTTGTCTTGCATGACTAGGCACTATCAGTGTTTCAGTGAGTAAATGTTTGACACTTGGTATCCTTCACCTGGCTACTGGGATTCCATACTACATATGCTCTTAGCGACAAGTGGCTTTGATAATACTAGGTATTCATGTTTATCTCGTCTGTGTAGAACAGAAATTCATTCAGCGCTAAGTCTGGATCGCGATTGGGGAATCAAGTCGAAAAAAAGAAGCCAAATTATGAAAACATGCTAGAAGGGGAAAAGACGAAAGAGAAAAGAAAAGCGCTGTCACACAAGTCGAGACCACGTTGCGCCGAATTGGATAAGCGGGCTCTTGACCTGGGTCTCAGGGAGCAACCATTCTCGCGAAGGCATCGTTCTGCTCCTCCTCCTGCTCATTTGGCGTAACGAGGCGGACGCGCTTGGGAGACATAGCGCCAGGTGAAACGGGCGCTGGAGAGGAGGTGTTGTTATTCGTAGAAGTGATAGGGCCAGCACCACTACCACCGGAAGCGGCGGCCACGCCAGCTACACCAAGCATGCCGCGGACCTTCTCGACGGCTTTGCTTTCACCCTTCGTCCACGGGTCACGTTTGACAAGACCGGCGCCGGCAGAGCGACTTGCAGAGTCACGACGCTTGGATTCAGCTTGCAGGGCTTGGCGGTTCGAATCGCGACGTGGACCGGGCCCACAGTCATGCGAGCATCCAGCTGTGGCACACCCGCCTTCGCTGATTGAGATGTCGCCCAGCCAGGTTGTGATACAGGCTAGATGGCCGCCGTGGCCGCAGCCTTGGCACCAGGTCCAAAGAGCGGAGCCTTGAAGTCGAGGTGCGGTGAAAGGGTCGAGGTCTTCGATCTCTGAAGCTGGGACTGGCTCGGTGGGGACTGACGACTGCGATGAGAAGCTTGTTTCGCCATCGGGTCCTGGTTCAGGGCTGGTGAGGGTGGATGATAGGGTGTGTGACTGTCGCTGGCCCGTGACCCATTCCGGAGGTGGGTCAAGGCTCATACAGATAGAACATGCTGCTTGTGGGGTGTTGCAGCGGTGACACCGCGTGTTGTCTTGCGTCGGGTTCTCGAAGGGCCGTTGGCAAGTGTAACAGTAAACATTGATGAAGGAGTCTGACTGAGCATAATCATAAACGGCCGGGTATGTCGACACGCACGACAAACGGAGTTCTGCTGCCTCGAGATCCATAGAGTGTCGAATCAAGTGCTCATTATAAGTCTTGAAAACCATCTCCGACTCCTCATAGGGGAGAATCTCCTCGCAGTCTCGGAACAGGATGTGGAGCTTTTGCAGGATATGAGCTGCAGTCTGTATGTCGACGGAGCTACTGTTACTATGGTAGTATCGAACTGCCTCCTGCAGAATAGCTTCAATGCCCCACGGCTTTAGATCTGTACCATCCGATGAGAGTGGAATTTGAACTCTGGAAATGCCGTCAAGTGTAGAATAAGGCAAAGGCATGGTGCTCGCGTAAGGAGCACCACCTGCGGGAAAGTGTTCTACATGCTCCTCGAGTGGCGTTGACTCTTTGATCAAGGGCGGAGGGCTGGATGGGCGCTCCAGATGAAGTCGACTCATCTCCATGGACACTTCATCAAGCATCTCATCTTCTGGCTCTTCGCGCGTAGAGGCCAGGTTGGACTCTCTCCTTAGCGTGGTAGCCGGTCGCGTGACTGGTTGCCCAGAATCTTGGAACTTAGATGAATCAAGCTGTCCAGTGGATGAATATGATGCGCCAGCAGACTTCGAGGGATGCGAGCTGTCTGTGGATGTGGAAAACATCGGGAAACTCTCCGAAGAATCATGTCGGCCATAGCGTTCAACCGGTGGGGGTCTATTAGACTCCATTGGTGATTCAAGAGTCAGGACCTTTTTGGGATAATGCTTGTAATCACGAATTGCCGCACGTTTGTCTTCGATGTTTTGATCAAAATCATCTGCGGAACTTTCTCGGAGGAATTCAGGATGTCCACGACGACGCCAATCTGCTTTTCCGGCGATTGCTCGCGGTGCAGATCGTTGATCGCCGTCCAAATCCTCTTGTGTTGGATCTCTGAGATAATCTGACCCTTGTGTGTCATCCATCGATGATACCCGACCACGAGGTAGGGGTATACGATGGGTATCAGAACCAGACATACCCCAGCCGTTATGATCACTCAGGACAGATGGCGGGAGAGGGTCAATGTCGATCGCATCTTCGCTCAGAGAGGGGAGCTGGGAAGCAATTTGGGAATCAGTACTGGACCATGAGTCTTTTGGAGAGTCTGGTAACGGCTGCGCAAGCGGCGTAGTCATGTTAGACGTGCTTTCAGTCTCGGGAACCGCTTCCATAACACCTTTAAACAACCGACTTTTGACTCTATCCTGCCGGCCATCTTCGATGCGGGACCTGTCAGTCAAGGACCCATCCTTAGATGTTCTGTCTTTCAGGGAACCCTTGGCCGGTTGCTCTCTTGTTCTTTGTTGAAGTTCTTGGAGTATGGCATACCTGAGGATTCTCCAGGTTTGGGCTAATTTATCAAGAGCAAGCTCATCTGCACACTCAGCATTGTGATCCAATGACGCAATCAAAGAGTTCAAAGTCTCGGTCTGGGATTTTGTGTCACGGCCCTCGTCCATCAACGAAGTATAGTGGCTTGCCAAATACCGAAAGACTGCTGGATCATTGGTAGCACCTGGGATGTTGGCGAGTGTTCCGACCTGGCAGGGCCCGGGGGTCATAATTTTGGCCAAGCCTTGGTCTAAGGGCAGCACTGGAATCAAATCCACCGCACCGGGGGGAGTGCTGCCCAGGGACTTGGATGGTCGAATAGCAGCGGATTTGGATTGGGCATGACGAAGTGAAGTAGCAAGAACAGCCTCGTCGAGATTATCATCGATAGGGCTTTGACTCAGGGATTTTTCCCCGTTGCTATCCTCCTCGTCTTCTTCAAGGTGAAGGAACTCGGCAACATTGACCCCTCGAGCACGCCGCCTAGGCCGTGGCTGACCAAATGCAACAAAATCACCATTGGGGCTCCAAGCCACCGAGCACATCGGTCGGCGAGTGACCACAGTTGGAGCATACCGAACGTCAGTTTGCGTGAAGGCCCCAGCCTCACCCACTGTCCACAGTAGATCTTTCGAGCGCCAGAGCAGATCGGTTGCGGGGTCGTCATACCGATCAAACTCGCGGAATGGAACATATGGACGACGTAGATCCCAGAGGTGGACGCGTGGATCCTCCTTGTCGTAAGACGTGACGACTTGGGATGATTGCCATTCTCCGGAAGCAGGCGACTCGCCAACCCAGGAAGGAGGCCGCCATCGCACATTAGTGACCGCCTGGGGGGTTCGGAACTGAAACGCAGGTTTCTGCCGTCGCTCTGCAGACGAAGAGAAATCCCAGACTTTGACCTGGCGGTCCGTGCCACCGCTGACAATATGCTTCCCATCCGGGTGCCAGTCGACTGCGAAACATGGGCGATCGTGGGCGGCAATTCTCATCAGCGGGGCATTCACTTTGCGATAATCCCACATCTGGATGGCGCCGCTGTCTGAAGCGGTCGCAAAGACAACTCCATCGGTGGGGGACCACCGGACGTCCCGGATGGAATCGCTATTGCCCTGGTACGAATGCTTACTGCCGCATGTGGAAGTTCCCCTATTCGCAGAAGCGGACCGTAAATCCCACATTCGAATTGTGCCATCTTGGCTCCCAGACAGCAGCCAGGAAGGTAGATGGGGGTTAAAGGCAAGCTTGTGAACCTGACGATTATGTCCCTGGAAGCGACATAATTGGAGGCCGGGCCGCTGTAGGTCGTAAACGACAATCCGACCATTGGCGACTGCAGTTGCGATTATCCGGTCATAATTGCCATGTGACCACTTCACATCGTTCACATTCAATTGGTCTTTGTGTGGCATCGAGACGCCCGCGTTATGGTGGGTGGACGCATAGCTAATGACCGCATTGCGAATATTGAACTCCTCCGAGGAGTGATCTGGCGAGACCCGAATGGTTTTGAGAATCTCCTTGCCTCCGATGACCGCATGTGTCCGGTCAGGCGAGATGTCCAAAGCAGCGATGGCGATACCTGTTTTATGAGTGACGGTCTGCGGTTCTCCTGGACTTTACAAACGGCTGCCGTTAGCACCCGGTGATTCCATTGGTTGCATTTGATGCCGCTCCCCGATCCCACTAGCTGCCGATGACATCAAATAGCGGGGGAAGGGACCGTCTGGAGTCCATTGCATTAAAGCTCAAATAAAGGGATATGTGGAATTGAAGGTATAGCGGTGAAGGCCACTTACAGTGACTTGGACCTGATGGGCCGGGTCCCATCCGCGCGACTGCTTTGCGGGCTGGGTGGTCGCGAGCCCGAGAAGAAAGGTTGGGCAAATCTAGCTAAGGCATTGGCGGCGCGGTTTGAGTACTTTTGTGGCGGAGGGGGAGGAGGGGGAGGAAGCGGCGAGCGCGAACCTGAGAGGTCCGACATCATTTCCAGGGCTCCATTCTGGCACACGACTGAATGTAAAGAAGCGGAGAGTTGGAGATCCAGCAAGCGGTGAAGGCAGATCCCTGAGGCACCCAATCTAGGGACTATACAGGAGTACTTCGTACTTCGTACTCCGGTAGTTCAATCGCGGTTAAGGTGTCCAATGGAAAAGATTGATTTCCACTCAGACAAACCGGACTAGTCGTGCCTTGAACATTTTGATTGTCAGAAATGCACCTTTTACCTCCGACTTACAACCATCGGGCCGAAACACATGTTAGCCCTGGAGCGGTCTAGAAGACAGCACATGAGAGAGATCAGATTGGATCTTGAGTTGTTTATCTCTCTTACACATTTTGATTTCTTTTTAATTTGATTTCTTTTTTTTTTTTAACAAGTACGAGATGCCTTTTATAGGATTATTTGCTTCCGCCGAACGTGTCTGAAGAACAAAGTACCCTCGACTAGGGTGTTTCTACCAACTATATTCCAGGACCGCGACGACAAGTTGATTGTCTCACCCCGGGGGGATCGGGAGGTGGGACGCGAAACACATGGAGAATTCATAGATCGAGTGGCCGACTACACTACGCCCCTAAAGTGCCACCGAGCGGAAAGAGAATGGCGTTATGAGACATCGGCAATATTCAGCTAATCAACCCAGTTGTTCCATGTAGATGTATCCCCAGGTGAAGAGAAAAAGAATACATAATTAATTTTTTTTAAAAAAAAAAAGCCTCAGACATATCTTGGAATGTGCCGAAGCTGGTCACACATTTAAGTAGATGATCTAGTCAATGCACAGCAAATATCTAATTATACCTCCCGAGAGGAGAATTACTTAAATATATATATGACTAAATGACATGCCGCTGGAATTACCGATTCCTCACTTTGTACACATGGGTCCTTGGCTGTGAAGTCATCATATGCGAGGATAATTTAGATTGTTCTCGATTAAAGGATCGACAAGTTCTACGAGTACGAGTCTTCTCTCCCCCCCTCTCCTCCAGGACGATTTGAACTTTGACCATCGGGCACAAAAGTGGATGTGAAGACCCGAGATCATCTCGGAGACAAACATTGTTCGCGCAAGAGGTTATAACTTTCGAAAGCCGCAGGTAAGAGATCCCTTAGTCTGTGTGGATACCCTATGCACTGCTGCATTTTGCTGCAATCCACACCGTCATTCCCCAAGACCTATCTGTGATTCGACGTCTTAATTTTATTTCTTTTATTTCTTTCATTTCTTTCCCTTTTTTTAAATTTTTTTCTGGAAGGAAAAAACCAGAAATTCCCTCTTCTTTGGCTCTGAGTTATACTAGGACCAGGTTTTTATATCTGCTCCATAACTTGTCCCTCGAAAAAGGACACGAAATTTTCATTCCGAGCCCGGAAAGCTTAAGCTTCTATCCTGTGCTGTCTCTGTCTCTATTCTCTATTGTCTCTATTGTCTTTATTCTCTATTTTCACTGTTCAATATCTCCCATCTAAATTGTCGTAATTGACTGGTGTGCAAAGCTTCGAGTCCACGTGGAAACCTGTTGAGGTCCTCCCCGCGTCACATTATCATTCCTCGCGTCGATCCTTCGCCATACCCGTCCAGTCCTTTCCGAACCTCCTTAGCTCTGGTCATGGAATTCGTTTAGAGTCCTTTCATCATGGATTCCCACGCAGCCTTGGAGCTGCTGGAGTACTTGCGCACCGGATATCCCATCCTCCTCTTAATCCTCTTTGTCGTCACCTTCATCCTCAACACCGTCGTTACCGCGCGGAAAGCCCGCAACAATGACTCTCAGCGCTTTGGCCCCGGAGGCAGGTTACTGCCTCAACGATCTCGAAGTGTTCCTTACAAACCCCGAGAATTCTCAAAGAACGTCAAACAACTCTTCACCATCCTCTCCGCACTCATCCCCCTCACCTTCGTTGCCGATGCAACTATTTATATCTTACATGTCATGGCCGCCAGGTCAGAGAACTGGTGGCGAGGCCAGCCTGCAGTGGTACGTTCTTTCCCGGCTTCCAGTTCTCTCAGCTCCTCGTAGTTGACCTTGGTTTCTTGCAACAGATCTACATCGTCGGCTCGTTCTTTGTTTATGCAGTGCTGCTCATGGCATTGCTAGACACCTCTCCGTCCCCTACAATCGCACAATTCGTGTGTTGGTCGGTCGCCATTCCTGTCGAATTGGTGATTTTGAGCACATCCCTCTCGGTTTACACCTCGGTTCACCATGAACCTGTTGTTGGGAACCCAGAGGGCGGCAAGCTTCGGAAAGGGATCACCTTTTGGGAAACCCTGGAGGTAGGATCCAACAGTCTGCGTGTGCTCATTCTATTCGCCTTGGTCGTCCTCTATGCTTGCCAAACGATGAGCTTGAAGAGCCACGAGAAGGAGAACCAGCGGGCCAATGGAGCCACCGAAGCCACAGGACTTCTGGATTCGAGTAGAACCGAAAATGGAAACGGCAATGGTCACGGCAACGGCAATGGAACGAATGGTCACACGTACGGCTCAACAAATGGAACCGCTCGCCCCCAAGCCCCCAAGCCTGATCCGTGGGTGCGTCCCACTACGGTTCCCTCTACCAGTTGGTGGGAATATCTGGCCGGATACTCGCTCTTTTTCCCATACCTGTGGCCATCTAAATCCCGCCGGCTGCAGATTGTGGTGACTGTTTGTTTTGTGCTGCTCGTCTGCCAGCGCGCTGTCAACGTTTTGGTGCCGCACCAAGTGCAGATAATCACCGAGTCTCTCACTGACAATGAAGGTAAAGACTTCCAGGTCCCATGGACTCAAATCTGCCTTTATGTGGTGTATCGTTGGTTGCAGGGCAACCAGGGTTTGCTCAGTTCTCTGCGCTCCAGCCTTTGGATTCCTGTGAGCCAGTATTCCTACATGGAGCTTTCAACTGCCGCCTTTGAGCACGTGCATGGTCTTAGCTTGGACTTCCACCTTGGAAAAAAGACAGGCGAAGTCTTGTCCGCGCTCAGCAAGGGCAGCTCGATCAACACTTTCCTGGAGCAAGTCACCTTCCAGGTTGTGCCGATGCTCATCGATCTGGTCATTGCGTTCGTGTACTTCTTGATTGAATTTGATGCGTATTACGCTTTGGCCGTCGGTATCTCTACATTTGGCTACCTCTATGTCACTATTCGGATGGCTCAATGGAGAGCAGAAATCCGCAGGCAGATGGTTAACGCCTCTAGGCAAGAAGATGCTGTGAAGTAAGTTCGAGGGAAGAAAAGCCAGTGAGGATCCCGATTCTAACATAAACTGTTTCCAGGAATGATTCGATGGTCTCATATGAAACCGTCAAATATTTCAACGCCGAGCAATATGAATTCAACAGATACCGTGGTGCCGTGGGTGACTTCCAGAAGGCTGAATATCACGTTCTGTTTTCCTTGACACTCCTCAATACTTGTCAAAATACAGTGTTCATGATGGGTCTCTTGGTGATGTGCTTTATCTGTGCATACCAGGTATCTATTGGTCAACGCCCTGTGGGCAAGTTTGTGGCTCTCTTGACCTATATGGTGCAGCTTCAGGGCCCACTGAACTTCTTCGGTACTTTTTACCGATCCATTCAGTCGGCATTGATAAATGCCGAGCGTCTCTTGGAGTTGTTCCGCGAGCAGCCAACTGTGCTTGATAACACCCGTGCCACCCCGCTGGCTTTGTGCAAGGGCGATATCAAGTTTGAGGACGTCGAATTTGCCTACGACGCACGGAAGCCCGCCTTGAATGGCCTTACTTTCCACTGTCATCCCGGAACCACTACCGCTTTGGTTGGTGAATCTGGCGGAGGCAAGTCCACTGTCTTCCGTCTCCTGTTCCGGTTTTACAACTCCGAGAATGGCCGCATTCGCATTGATGGGCATGATGTTCAGGACATCACCATTGATTCGCTTCGCAAGCATATCGGCGTTGTACCCCAAGATACCGTATTATTCAACGAGACTTTAATGTACAATTTGAAGTACGCCAATCAGGACGCTTCTGATGAAGATGTCTACGAGGCCTGCCGTGCTGCCAGCATCCACGACAAGATTTTGGCATTCCCTGATGGTTACAATACCAAGGTCGGAGAGCGTGGCTTACGACTCAGTGGAGGCGAGAAACAACGTGTGGCTATCGCACGTACAATCATCAAAAACCCTCGTGTCATTCTGCTGGACGAGGCCACCGCCGCGCTAGACACAGATACAGAAGAGCACATCCAGAGAGCTCTCTCTACACTCTCGCGAGGTCGCACGATGTTGGTTATTGCCCACCGTCTCAGCACAATCACAACCGCGGACCGCATTTTGGTTCTTTCCGAAGGCCAAGTAGCTGAGAGTGGCACCCACGAAGAGCTGCTGGCCATGAAGGGCCGATACGCTAGTATGTGGCGGAAGCAAATTCGGGCTCAAAAGGCAGCAGCAGAAGCACAGTCTCTTGCTGAACGAATTCGCACTGCTACCACCAGCGACGACAGCTCGAGCCAATCTGACGAAGACCGTAAGATTGGTGCTCGTCGGACCAATTAAATTAACCATGCCCACCAAATTAAGGGCACAAGATTGACTCTGGTTTTATGTTTCAACATGTGCATATGCGTTCTTACGTTTTTTTCTTTCCTTCTCATTCCATTTTCGAACAAAAGTTCAGAGCCCGTAATAATCGGAGGCAGCATGAAACGGGGCCCATTCCCCAGCATGCGGGTTGAATTCCTGCTTTTTTTTTTTTCCTTTTTCGGTTCGCTCACTTCAAAGGTTTGCACGTTCCTTCGTTATATGTTGGCGTTTGGGGTCCACGATGCCTACGATGTCATTGTCCTCGTCTTCCCTATTGTCCTTGTTTCATACGAACCCAGACGCAGAGAGGGTCAGGGTTGGGACTCCTGCAAAATCAAAATAGATTAATTGCTAGGCTCAATATTAATAAGATTTCAGTCCATATGCATTTTTAGCGCCAGGTCAAAAGTACGAGATAGATCGCATTTACTCAGTACACAATTGGTGATACTCGAACCGAGCGTCCTTCTTTTATGAGCACTCACAGTTCTTGCTGACATGATCTACGAGTACATATTCTCATCAGCTTGGTGTAGTAGATAGAATGAGAGAAATAGAGCTGTCAATGGTCCACTTAGGGCTTTTGGGTCCTTTTGGTCATGTACAAATGACAAGGGTGGCTCTGAGCTGCATGTTGACGGCACTAACTTTCTCCGCCAAGACCTGGAGGCCCGGAAAGCTTTACCTTGACTACCACCCGAACCACATCAACCTCCAAATCCCAAGACTCACCTCGAACCATATCCCATTGGGCAAGCACAATGAAGTCACCATCTCCCCAACTTCTCCGCGCCCTGCGCACCTCATTAGCCAACACCCGGCACAATCCCGGCCAAACTCGATTCTCCGTTCTACCAACCACCGTATCACCATGCCATTCTATCACCCCAGGTGCCGCGATTCCTTCGGCGCGACGACACAACAGTTCAGCCGTGCGGCCGACTCGAATGGTCTCACGCGCCCATGCCCACAAACCTACCAGCCGTGACCGGGGCCCAGAGTCCCAGGAAGACACTCAGACCGACTTCAATGCGTTGAATGTACTGGGGAACATCCCAGCGCCTACTACGGCGATTGACGCATGTCTTGACTCAGGCTTTCACCTCAACAACGGGGTCAAAGTCAGTAACGGCGATGGAGTCTTGCTTGTTGGTGGTGAGGCATTTGCCTGGCGGCCGTGGAAGGCCGTGGAGGGTGCTGAGAATGACAGTGCGGCGAGGGATTCTATGCTCAATGCCAAGGGGCAGTTTGAATTGGATGAGTCGGTCTGGGGGGTGTTGAACCTTGTGTGGCCGAAGCCCGGTAAGTTCATTGCGGTTTATGGTCTTTGGCCGTGTGCTGCTCCTGCAAATGGCGTTTTTATCGAACCTATGACATTTCTATTGGAATACTAACCATAGAATTTTGATTTTAGATATGTTGATCCTCGGTCTTGGTGGCTCGATGTTCCCGCTTTCGCCTGAAACCAAGCGTCATATCAACTCCCTGGGGATTCGGGTTGACATTTTGGACACTCGGAATGCGGCCGCACAGTTCAACCTACTTGCCACGGAGCGTGGCGTGACTGAGATTGCTGCTGCAATGATCCCCATCGGGTGGAAGGCCCGACCTCTCTAGGTTTGGAGGTGTCTTAAAGACAGACAACATGTATATTACTTGGCATAGTCTCCAAGGCTAGCCTCTAGGCTCAGCCAATATAAAAACTAGCAACTCTCTTCTCAAAATAAGGCCTCGTACGAGTATAAAACCACTGAACTGGCAATGCTACCAATGCTACCAATGTTACCGTGATGCAGGAACGTGACGTATCATGTGAGTCTTGGCCGCTAATCTTATCTCACCTCCGCCTTCAGGGCCCCCGGGTCCACTTAGGCCAACGCAAGCTCGCAAAGGTCTCGTGTGCCTCTTTCCTTGACTCTCTTCGCTTGACATTGCACTCAATTTGCCCTTTTCACCCGTGTTGTCTTAAATTCAGCCATGGCGCGGGAAGAGCCACTATTGGCTCCGCGCCCGTCCTCCGACGGCTCGTCGATTCGAAACGAAGAAGAGGAATTCGCCCTACTGACTGGCGAGCGGACAGCTCAAAGAGCCGAGAAACAACGAGGCTGGAAATTCTGGAGGGAGATCGGATTGTTTGCCTGGGCGTTGCTTGCAACAGTCTTGGTGATCGTGCTGGCCGTGGTCTACCAGCACAAACCAGCGGAAATCCACGGCCCCAGTCATGACTCGAAAAACATCACATGGGGCCCTGGGGGCAAGCCGACAGGCAAGCGCAATGTGATCTTCATGGTATCAGACGGCATGGGACCCACGAGTCTTTCGCTCACTCGGAGCTTCCGGCAATACAAGGAGGATCTGCCGATCGACGACATCTTGGTTCTGGATCAGCATTACATTGGAACTTCCCGTACACGATCCAGCTCTAGTCTGGTTACAGACTCAGCAGCTGGAGCCACGGCATTCTCGTGCGGTCGCAAGAGTTACAACTCTGCTATCTCGGTGACTCCTGACCATGCGCCTTGTGGGACTGTGCTTGAGGCGGCCGCACTGGCGGGCTACAAGACTGGACTGGTTGTGACGACCCGCCTCACGGATGCGACTCCCGCTTGCTTTGCTGCTCATGCTAATCTGCGGAGCTACGAAGATTTGATTGCCGCTCAAGAGGTCGGAGAACATCCCCTTGGTCGGGTAGTGGATCTCATGCTTGGCGGTGGAAGATGCCACTTCTTGCCCAAATCACAGCAAGGAAGCTGCCGTGGTGATGACCATGACCTCATCAACGTTGCTGGCAAGAATGGCTTTGGTTATATTGACGATCGTGCCGGATTTGATAGCCTGAAGGGAGGCGACAACGTTAGCTTGCCTCTGCTTGGTCTTTTCGCCGGCGGGGATATTCCGTATGAGATTGACCGCCGTACTCAGAACGAGATATACCCTTCTTTGGAGGAAATGACCCGCACTGCTCTGAAGGCCTTGAGCAAGGCAACAGAGGACAGCGAGCAAGGATTCTTCATCATGATCGAGGGCTCTCGCATCGACCATGCCGGCCACGGCAATGATCCTGCTGCGCAAGTGCACGAAGTCTTGGCTTATGACAAGGCATTTGCTGCTGCATTAGAATTCGTGGAGAATGACTCTACCCCCGGCGTGATTGTCAGCACATCTGACCACGAGACTGGTGGTCTGGCTGCGGCACGCCAATTACACAAGAGCTACCCGGAGTACCTGTGGCTTCCTAGTGTGTTGGACAAGGCAAGCCACTCTGGCGAATACCTCGCGGCTCGCTTGAGCGAGTATCTTTCTGGATCTGGCAAAGATGGCAAGGATTCAGCTAAGAGAGACTGGGTCAGAAAGAACCTCGTCAAAGACGGACTTGGCATCACTGATTCTTCAGATGCTGAAATCGAGGCCCTGATCCACCCGGAGCCAGGTGTTGGTCCTTCTTATGTCTTTGCTGATATGATCAGTCGTCGTGCACAAGTTGGCTGGAGCACCCATGGACATTCTGGTATTTTACCCCTTGGCACCGATTCATTGCATCTTGCTAATTCAAACATAGGCGTTGACGTCAATATTTATGCATCATCTTCTAAGGATGCTTGGCCATTGGTCGGTAACAACGAGAACACCGATGTTGGCGCTTTCCTTGCCGACTATCTTGATCTCGATGTCAACAATGTCACAAAGCTGCTCCAGGATACCAAGACTGGACTCTTCCAATCATACGATTGGATGGGTGACCGTCTCGGTTTGAACTTCCACTCTGAGGGGTTGGATACCTACCATGGAGACTTCAGGAAGCGATCTGAGGACGATTGCGGGTGCGGTGCAACCCACTAAACCATAGGAAAGCTTCAATATCATCATCTATCTCAAAGCTCTCCTTTTTTGCAGTATTTAGGGTCATGGACAGGCGTGAAATTTCGGCATATCTTCTGCAATTCAAATCATTTTTTTGAAATCTCAAGTTCCAAACACAAATAATTCAACTAGAGCATACATGTTCATTTTCAGGTTTTCTTTCTCTGGGAGGCCATATAACCCGCCCAAACCTCTGGGGTCCTCGACTGCCTATCTCTCACCGCCGAGTCTGCCAACAGTCACTGCTCATGTACATCGCAGTCAGGGCATACTTCCAGCAAGTCCACCACCCTCTGCACAATGTTGGTTCTCAGGACACCATTGTCAGTTCGGCCGTCTGAGCCAAGAGGCCCCGTCGGATCTCCCACAAAGACATACGGCTCGCAGTCTGGACAATATGGGTTGAATGGCAAATCATACATCTCCCGTTGCTTTGCATCGGTTATGCGAACCAGTTGGGTGAGAATCTTGTGGCAGTACATGTAGAGCTCGAAGCACGTGTGTTTGCACTGGTACTGGGTCTCTATAAATAGACACATGTTCAATCCACCCTGGGTATGAGTTGTTATTCCTGGTCTTGCTTGAGCTGTTAGATTGTTCCTTTCTGTGTGTCATCGTATCTCAGGCGTGTCACAATAGTAGCTGAAGCTGAAAATCATACCTTATTGCGTCGACTTTGACCGGCCGTTTTCCGTTTGTGGCTGATTCCTGGAGTAGGCTTGCTCGTGTGTCTAGGTATAAAGATGTCTTTTTTTTGATTGTGTTTCTGACTTTGCTCAAAGGGAGTTGATATCCTGAGGCCGTTCCTTCATGCGGTAGACGATCTGGAGGAAATCTTGGAGCTAAGGTGACGATCTATATGAGGAATAGACATTGCGCAATGGGATGGCCATGCTCTCACCCTCAACTGTCGATAAAAGCCTTTATAGACCGAACATAAAGAAGTGAACATAAAGCATTCTATGCAACTATCCCGCTACTCTTACTTCATGTATCACAAGCACCGCAAGGTCCCCTTTTGATCATCATGTGGGTTTGGCTCTCAATGATAACCGAAAGACCCTTCTGTCAGTCTTCTTGGCGTCAACGGGTACCTTGAATATCACAGGTAAAATTATACGGACTTTGAGTGTTGCTAAGGGTGCTGTAGTCCAAATGTTATTTCTAACCCAGATGTCTTCCCTTTTATGCGTGAACGTTACTCCGTACAAGACAAAGAAGCTCTAGAGGGATTCATCAATCCCATTGAACACTGGCTGAAAATTCCATCTAGCCACCTTATCGGCGATGATCAAGAGATTCAAGGTTTTCCTATAATGTCATTTTCCACAGAGATTTACGGTTCACTGGTGGTCCTGATGAAGCACGCTTGAAACAAGACATGGTCCTTGTATTGTGGGTTTATTTGATCAAATTGTTTTCCGGTATTCTTTTTCTGTTCCCTAGAGATCAATCAGATCAGATCACCGCATCGTTCATATCGGAGCTAACATAATATTTCAATTCTAGACATCGGAGCTATGCTCGGTCGCTATCGGGACGTCTGCAAACAGTGAATGTAGCTTCAACACCGTGATTGTTTTCGCCATTGTATCCGTTCTGCCGGTGGAAATTTGCGTGGCAAGATTGGTGGCTATGAAGAATGAGGCTCGGGCGCGGTTGACGAAGCTATGATGCTATTTGGATCCTTGGTCAATGGTGAATGGTTTAAGCGCAAACCATGAACCCGGTTGCAAGACATCGAAACTGTAAGAAATCGCCCAAATAATCAGCGGATGCAGTATAGACGGCAAATCGCAAGATCATTTTCTAACCCAGACTCATTCACAGGCTCAGTCCATGGTTATGAAGCTGGCTGCCGATCTGAACAGGTCCAGTATTTGAAATTGAGTAGGGATCGAGAGAACAAGCTTTTATGCATCAACGGCCATCCACGGACTCGGCCCAGTCTTGCCCATTGGGTTCCTCAAGTAAGTTTGTGCCCTCACTGCGGGTAAAGTCACACCCAGAGCAGACCATGCATTTATGTGACGCTGAAAGCATGTTGCCGGGCCACCAGCTTGTGTGGAGATCGAAGACGATGTTTTGAGCGCAGCTGGACACTCGGGGGTGGAATTTGACGGGCCTCGTCGCGCGATAGACCGGGCATTGAATAGATAAAGAAGACGATTAAAGCATAGCCAACGACCAGCGTTGCCAAGCCAAGGAAATGCGCCGGTTGGTGTGTCCCAAATGTAGGTTTTCCCCAGCGTTGGGTAGGAAGTTACTAGCTTACCCTAGAGTGATAAAGCTAGCTCAGTTCTACCGCAACCACATAGATCGTATTCGATCGTCTCTGTCTCGTATCAGGTCATTCACGACTCAGCGTAACGACTCACCTGGGCATCACGAACGACTCATCGTGGACGACTCATCGTGGACGACTCATCGCGAACGATCGTTGCCTGCACCCTATGCAATCGCATCAGCCTTCTCTCGACTTTGAACTCTCCACACCTCTTTCAATCAGTTCACATTCCTAGGAAAGATTGCGATTGGTAAGTCATTTCTTCCAGTTTCTTGACTTCCTTTCCTCTGAGCTTCCTTTTTTCCCAACTCAAACAACAGACTCATCTCATCAGACCAACCCAGTCCTTCACAGAGCTGGTTCTTTCACTCACTTGGTCCATAAAGACCGCCTCGAGGTTTCAACACAGCATTCATCAGGTATGTCTCCAACCCCATCGTCAACATCATGGTGTGATTGTACTAACTGTTCAGCGGATATGCCTCGACCACGACGCGAGCCCTTAGACAAGCCGAAGCCCCTCATCATGAAGCTAGACGATTGGCTTGACGCGGAGCAGAACCACAAGCTGCTAGCCGAGCACAACGAGGCCCAAGAAGAAGCCGGGAGACGCGAGGGCACCGTCTTCAAGCAAGGGTCCTTTCAAAGGCTCTCAAAGTGGTTTGAAGAAGACGTACAAACGTACAGGGATCAGACTTTCAAAAACGCACTCGAAGTGTCGTTCGCTCCTTCTATGTATGACCCATGCCCCAAGCCTTTGGATGAGCTCAAGAAGGTCATGATCAAAGACTTGGGTTGTGGACAACGTGATATCGACTCCTACATACTCGTTAAAACGGTCAACAGGGCAGCTACGCTGTCTTCTTTCTTCATGGCCATTGTCACTGACGAGAATGATAACCTTGTTTTGTTGCGAATTGCGATGGAGGCGTTTCATTCGCATGACGTTCTGGTTCTTCCCTTGGATACGGTTTTGCTGGTCAAGCAACCCCGCTTGGAATACATTTCGCACAAGCAGTACGAGATCAATGTTCATCATGTCTCTGATATCATGTTCATTGCCCCAACTGATGAAATGATCCCTTTGGCTTGGAGGAAGGAGAAGTACAAGAATGTCTCCAACTGGTCGTTTGACAAATGGCTTGACCTGGGCGAGAAAGCCAGCAACAAGTTTGAACAGGGATTATCAATCCAATGGTACCGAAGCCACGATAATATTTGATGAACAGGACAAGCTGACATTGCGAATAGGTGCAACCAAGCCATGAAGCGTTCGCCACCCGAGGAGGATGCCAATTTTATCCATGCCCTTCGTTCAAATGGAAATATGTCGACTCGCCGATTGGACGCAGCTCTGAGTGATATTCAGAAAGCCATCGTTATTCCAAACTTCAAAGAGCATGTCCTGCGCCGCATGGGACAGATCTTGTACAGGCGTGGATCGTATGAGGAATGTATCGAGATAGCCAGGAAGCTTCGGAGGGCTTTTCCGGGGTATCGCACGGATAAGATCCTTATGGTTCAAGCCAAAAGAAGAGTGGCAGAGAAACTGCATGGTGCCTATGATTTCTGGGACATGCAGCGTGGCGCCTCGTACAGCCAGGCCCTTGTCTTGGATCACGCCAGTCAGGACATGCAGCGAGGCGCCTTGTGCGGCCAGGCCCTTCTCTTGGATCATGCCAGTCACACAGGACCGGTGGCCGTTAGGGAGAGCAACTTGCATGGACGAGGTCTATTCACGACCAAGGACGTCAAAATCGGCGAGCTCCTTCTATGTGAGAAGGCCTTTTCGTACGTCGTCGAGGATCCCAACGGGAGGGTGATTGCCTTTGACGGTCCCTTCCACCCATGGTCTCGACCCCGAGTTCTTGATACTGTCCAAATCAACACTGAAACCAAGACAATTATCCGAGGACCACTGCTTGACCTAGCACTCGAGGTCATCACGAAGATGCACAAGAATCCGTCTCTGAGATCTCAGATCACTGATCTATACAGCGGCAGCCTCGACGGCATGAAGCCGGGTGACGAAAACTCAGTGAATAGGTAATTACAGACTAAACCCATCTTTTCGTCCAGAATCACCACAAACTAACAGATTCCAGCTTCCAAGTCATGCAAGTAATCTCGCTGAATGGTTTCGGCGCCCCAATGACCACCAGATCGATGCATCTTTACAACGGCAATGATAAAAAGGTGATATATAGGTACATCTGCCACGGTATCTGGCCTCAGGCCTCCTACATCAACCACTCATGCGTCTGCAATGTGCGCCGCGCTTTCGTCGGTGACATGATGATTATACGGGCCGCGCAGGATATCCCCGCCGGCACTGAACTGACTTTCTGGTACACTGTGCCGTCCCAGACTAGAGTGACCGACACCAGCCACTGGGGATTCGAATGCAGCTGCGTCCTATGTGTCGACCTGCGCGATACACCTGGTTGGGTGCTTCAAGCTCGGGAGTCCGCACGCTCTGGTCTTTGGAAACGCATTAGACCAGACTGTATGGGTGAATACGATGAGCTTGAGAAGGAGCTTGCGGATTTCTCGTCACTGTTCGTGACGCCTGCGCGGGTGGTTCCGTGGTTTGCAGCTTGGGATTTGTACTTCGAAGCTGCAACTATGTTTGATAAGGCACACGAAGATGGCCACTCAATCCGCTGGGCCCTTGAGGGGCTAAAGGCGTGCGGGTTTGTCATTGAAGGGTGGGAGCCACGGGGAACTGAACTGAGAGTCGAGAAGTGGGGTGTCGTGCTCGAGGAGCAGATTGAAATCTGGCTCCTCTTGTTCTTCTGTCTGACTCGAGTTGCGCCCGGGCTGGCCCCGACAGCGGAAAAGTATGCCCGCCTTACATACTTGCTGTGTGTTGGGGAAGACGCTTCGTTTGAGCGGACTGTGGGCCAGCAATCGGGCCGCTTCTGGCCCCACACCTGATACGAGAAATGAAACTGATGGCCATTATTTCCTAGTCCCAATGGTAATTGTAGTCCGTAGGGTTCTTAATTTTACTTAAGAAGTAAGCTAAGAACACTTCACTGAGGCTTGATATTGGAAGGGGTGAACTTAATTGAAATTGAGTAGGAAGTGAAAGGCAATCCGATGTCGGATCTACTTCACTATTCTTTTTCTGATGCTGCAGTCAGAAAGCCTGTACAGATAGTATATGGTCTCGGGATCAGGATGGCATGAGGCAGCTACTCAAGTATTGGGAAACGAAGGAAACTAGGAAGGCCCACATGGGTTTCAAGAGATTCGTGAGCATACTTTATAACCTACTTTCGATCAAGTATAAGGAGATAGCGATTCATAAGTGGTATAAAGGGCCGAGGCCAAACGCAGATCAGGTATATAAAACGAAACTCGGAAAATAAAACGCGAATGCAGTCACTGGATGGCAATTAGATGGGGGAGAGATACAGTCAAAATAATTCATTAGGTGGTTTGTTCAAGGTTCAGTCAGAGACTGACACAAAACAAAAATTGCACATCGATGCGCAGGTTGGAAAAAAAATGTACTCGGTGCGTGTGCAATGAAGCATTTGCAAGAAAGAAGAATGGAACAAGAATGGCGAGGATATGTACGTATCAAATCCAGAAGAGAAAAAAAAGGGTACATTTACAGCGTCACGAGGACAACAAGGGCCACCAGGACACCGAAGAGCGAGCCACGGAGGACACGCTCGTTCTGGCCGGCGGCACCACTGTCCTTGGTAGTGGTGCCCTGGCTGAAGCCTGAAGAGGTGGTTGACGCCGCATCGTCGCTGGTGGAAGTGCCTGTGCTGGACTCAGAGGTACCGTTGGTAGCCATGCCACCGGAGCCACCCTTGCCAGTGGGAATGCTGTTGGAAACGGAGGTGGAAGAGGTGTTGGAAGCGCTGGAGCTAGCGCCAAGATCCATGTCGAGACCAGTGGCGCCGAGGGAGCCGAGAACGGTGGAGTTGTTGGTGATTTCGATGTCAGACTCCATCGCAGCCTTGTTGGTGTAGAGGTAAGCCTTGTCGCCGTTGTTCTTGGCGTCGGAAGGAGGGTCGTAGCACTTGACGCTGACCTCGCCAACGGTGGCGAAGTCGTAACCAACGTTCTTGATGTCCTCGCTGTTCCAGTCAATCTCACCACCGGCCCAGTCGATGGTACCTTGGGCGTTGGAGGCCTGGCCGGCGGGCCAGAGGGACATCTGCAGGCGGGCGGGGGTCTGGGGGAATTGGTACTGCTTGGAGGTCTCGTTGTAGGTGTCGGCCTTCTTCAGAGTGCGCTGGACGGAGCCGTCGACGATCCAGTCGACCTTCTCGGGAGTCCAGTCGATCTCGTAAGTGTGCCAGTCGTTGAAGGTATCTTCATCCTTGACGGAGATGTTTCCGCTGTTGTGCCCTGTATATCCACAGTTAACATCAAATTCACTTTCACGGTCTGACGCCGTTGAGACTTACAGTCAAGAACACCCTGCCAGTAGTAGTTGGTCTGGACCAGGGACAGGTCGGCGCCAACCCACTCGTAATCAATTTCGTCCTTGACGTCGGAAAGCAGAATGAAAGCAGTGACAACACCCTTGCCGCGGGAGCTCTTAATCTTGCCGGAAACCTTGCCGTACCAGATGTAGTGGTTGTTGGCGAACAGAGTGCCGACACTCTTGGCGGGCATGGTCATGATCAGGTTTCCGTCCTCGGTCTTGGGCTTGCCGGAGTAGGTCCAGTCATACTCGGTGGCGTTACCCAGGTACTTGTCTTGGGTGACGGCATTGTCGAGGTTGTCCCAGTTGTAGGTCTTGCTCTCACAGACGGGCATGGGGGCACACGAGTCAAGAGAGAAGGAGGCGAGAGGGTCGCAACCACCGAGACAGAAGGCACCGGTACCACACTCACCATATTCTATAGCAATTGATTAGCACGCGTTCGTTCGCAGCAAAATCATCAGATATCAACACTCACGAGAGCAACAGGGGTACTTCTCATCCTTGCACTGGCTGCTTGTGCTACAGGACTGGGCGGCGAGGGCGGTCACTGACAGCGAGGCCAGGACAAACGGAGTGGCGAAACGAACCATAGTGTATGTACAGCCGTAAAGAGAAAGTCGAGATTGGAATTCAAGCCACAGAATGAGAGAAGTGGGCTAAAAGGGGGGGGGGTGTGGGAGTATATTAACAATGATCAACGAGGGGATAGGAAATAGTTCCTGCAGTATGTGAGGGTTGGGTAAAACGAGTGCATCCAATCTGCAAACGGGGGGGCCAATAGTGTCTTAATATACAGAAAATAAAAAAAAAGGGAATTAATCTTATGATTAAATTCAATATGAAAACATGACATGAAAAAGCCGCCAATAACAGGAAATACACAACTAACCCAATCAGGGTCCACTCCGTAGGCTCCAAGGGTCTCTTTTTTTGTGGAGTTTGTCTGTGCGTGTTCGTACAGTATACAATTGACTCGGCTTTTATATTTGTACTCTTTACTCCGTACTTAGTATGAGTACGGAGTATATTGAAGGCTATACTTAAGTATATTATGTGCATCTGGCTATGATATCTTATAGAATATGTTATATGCATATTAAAATGTAATGCCAACTGACCGTTGAGTGAGACACCCCAGGTGTTTGCGGCGATAAGGGAAATTGGCCCTGTATTTTACCGTACCAATACAGTGGGGAGAGAACCGACTCTTTTTTTTTTCCCGTAAAAACCCCAAGCACGTTGATCGACATACCATGGCTACGTTGTACATATGTTATCTGCAGAGACGTACGTATACTCGTGTACTTGAACCTGCACTTGAACTCATCTGTACAGCTTGAAAGCAAATGAGACATTCTCCGCATTAGACCCCATCGCGCCAAGCTATTCTCTTCTAGTCAAAGGCTAAAGAGGCGAGAGAGAAAAAAAAAAATAAAAAAGAAACAGGCGAACACAAAGAAAACCAAAAATTATGACTACCTACGCGAGACACTAGAAATTTAGGCTACCGAACTCATGGCCTCGGCACCAAGCACCCGACCCAAGTTCAACTTCGCCCCCAATTGAAGTTTGGTGAACCAGTTCCCCCCTATCACACTAAACTTTATCCAGCTACGAGTAACTACTGACCAGTCACCTACGGAGTGCAGGGTGGACAGTGCTGGGCAGATCAAGGCCCTAGTGCCCTTAGTCTCTAGGCACATCGTGGTCTTCCGTTTCCAGGGGCTGATATCACTTGATAGACGCCACCGCGCAACCGCTTTCACAGGTATTCTTCTGGAAGGAATGTGGCTCGGATCGACATGTACACAAACATCCATGTCAATCTGATAGTTCCCGGTTGCAACGGGGTGTCCTGGAATGTAAGGGGAAGCTCGTCATTGGCCGTGCTCAAGCTTGCTTTAAACTTTGCACTGAAGCTGTGGTCTGGTTGAAAATATGCAAGGCACGTTGTTCTTCAGTCGCTTTCGGCATTGGCATTGTTGGTCCTGCTTGGCTCGCTTCAAACTTGGATGCCCAGTGTCTTTGTACGCTATCGTGTGGTCTTGGCTACTCGTACTTTCTTCCTGCCAATCTTTCTAGAGTTGTTGTGGGTACACGTCATACTAACATTGGGCGGGACTGTATAATGAGTGTACATGTCAGTGATGTTGTACAAGTAATCGTAGATTCCACAAACGTAACCCTTGGGCTTGACCAGGTGAGACCTGAGGTAAGGTGTGAAAATATATCAGAGTCCACGGGTATCCATTGTGTTTGTGCCATATTCAAGGCCGACTTTAGGAATATTCCAAGGTTGCTCAAGCGGAAGCCTTGGTCACTTGGCATATATATTTTCAACGCACACTCGGGCAGTTGGTTCAACGCTTAGAACTTTGGAAACTTGCACTGTGCTGTTCACCCGAGCAGTACTCCGTAGCAATGACTCGTTTGCATATGATAATATGATAGAATACTACATACCTGCTCAAGTGGATTTGGGTAGAAGTAGGAACAACTTTAGAACGCATTCTGCAGAGTCCCTGTGGCCCTTTCCCTCGCAATGTGATCTTGCACATAGACACTACCTAGGTACATATATTTTTCATAGGCATCACAACCCTGGGTCTAAATCAGACATTAACGCATACATGAAAGTCAATTGTGGAAAACCATAGGGCTAATTGATACAACTTTAGAAACATTTTGAATACCGATCGCCCATTGGTAAAAAATCAGGAAGCGGGTTGGGTGCACCCGTGGACGCTAAACAGGTCGCATCACAATGTCATTGGTCAGGTCGTGGATATAAACAAGAATGCGTCCCGACTTAAAATAGCCGGGTATGCGTGGTTATAATCTATGAAAAATCGGCACACCGCGTATCTTCTGGATCTTTTATGTAAAGTACGAGTATCTTTCACGGCAGTGAAAAAGGCTGGCCACTGAGCAGGCGTATAGAGAACATGGTCAAGATTACGCCGTACCTACTTGGTACTTAAGTAGGTAAGAACTTACGTGTTTCTATTCGCTTTTCAACCCCCAAGCATGACATGGGTTCAAGCCTTGAAATACTCTAATTTTACATCCTGGCTCACGACAATTCAACTACTGGTATCAGGACTACTAAGGAAGTATTGCAACCAGTCTCAGTTCGGGTTTCTACTCGTACTAGGAAAGTATGACAACCAGAGTCTCATTCATTTACTAATGGTCGCGGGGCCAGAAGCACCCCGACAGCCGGCCCACAGACGGGCTGAATGAGGCCTCCTCCTCCCCCCCTCCACACAGCAAGTATGCCATGCGGCCATACTCTTCGGCCATGGGGGCCAGTGCAGGCGCAATGATGAAACGCCTTCTTTTCTCAGTGGCTTTCGTGCTTCAAGTCATCTGAGACAACGAGGCGTGAGATCTGCCCATTGTCGAGAGCATGGCAGGGTCCCATAGCGACAATCAAAGCCGGGTCCGGACGAATGAGATCTGCCACACTGTCTAGGTCTATCAGTGCATCGACCTTGCATCTAGTGGCCACTTCGGTTGGGATTGGAGAGGTAGTAGAAGCAACACCCATAGCTTGGGGCTCTGCCGGGAATTCGCTGGTAATGCTGGCATCTGGGCTAGTTGTGACATCGCTAGTGGGTTTTGTGGCCAAGTGGTCGACTGTGGACTCACTGCCATCACCAAGCAAGGTATTGTGAATCCCATATTTCGTTGTCAATTCCAGAATGAATCGTTTCTCGTCTAGTCGGCATGCAGGGTCCATTTCCCTCTTAATGCCAGGGACAGTTTTGAGACCTCCCACACGCGATGTGGACACTTTATGGCTTCCATAGGAACAGGCCGGTGGCTTCTTGGACAGAGGATCCCGACCGTGGATAGTGGGGGACGCACTTGGTATGTTCGGGACTGGCGTGGGATCAGGGACCTCAGCAGGGTCCGTAGGGGGTGTCGCCCGGCCTAAAATTGCGGACCGGTGTGTGGCTCGTCCATTTCCGGGCTTGTGATTTCCTTTGTACCCACGAGATCCACGAGGTCCACGAGGTCCAGGAGGTGCGGGAGGTGCGGGAGACTGTAGAGACTCAGGTGTCAGATTGGGCATATCAATCTTGGGATGAGTTCATTCTACTTACAGGTTGAGCAAGGACGCGGTAGTTATCGAGAGCCAAGCCGAGTCTGGCTTGGATGTAGGACAATTCAGTAGACAGCCGAACCTCCTCGTATTTGGCGAGCTATCACCATTATATGTTAGCATGCAGACCCAAGTGGCGGCTTTTGTGGCCAAAACTGACAATAGACTTCACTTCACAGATGAGGTATCGAGCTTTATTCGCCTTGGCCATGAGCTGCCGAACAACATTCTCTGGTAGCGCGCCCATTGTGCCGAGGTGAAGTGATCACCTTGAGTAAATCGCAGGAAAAGAGAGCGAAGTACTGGTCCCGTCAACGGCCGAGGGGGGAGAGATGGGACGGTGAGCTGAGATAGAAGTGAAGAATATGAGATATGGCGAGTTTCCAAGTCTGGAAAAGTGTTAGGACAGAAGGATGAGTATGGGTGTAGAGGATTAAAGAGAAAGAAGAGTTACAAATCACTTACTTGGGGTATGAAGATAAGTGCTTGGGACATAGTTGGAGGATCAGTGTAAGTGGGCATCGAAGCCAGCACTGGAGACACCTGGGCAGGTCAGTCATAAGACAAACATGGTGGTCACGAAGTGAGAGCTTATAGTTGGGAAAAACATACCACCGATGCATGTCATAGCATACTGGCTTCCAGTTTTTTCTTCTGAATGCTCAGACGTGTTCTTCCATAGTGTCGATGATTGTGTGGCCTTCCACGATGATGCCCTCTGACCACTCAGTTTGGTTCGAGGAGGGGCCACGAAAAGACTAGACGCATGACTCGGCGCCCAAGGGTAAACATGGTGATCTGGTCACCGTTTTCGTCGGTATACGAGGGACACGACGAAAAGTAGTTTAACCCTTCGTTTTTACACAAAACTCGAAGGCCGGCTACATACAGCCCGGCCACGAGACGACCCATGAGAGGGGATGGCATGTTGGAGACGAGCTTGACTCGATTGTAGAAATTCAAAGAATTGGAGATTGGTTTGGGCTTGGAGAGACTTTGGGAGCTGTAAGATCGAGAAAGTTCAGTGAGGAAAGACAAATAGAAATCCGGAGAAAGAGAGCTGTGAAGGACTACATATACGGAGTGGAAGTGCAAAGAGCATGAAGCATAATAGACAATGGAGTTATTGAAATATCTCAATTCAATGGATCTATAGGATCACCCATGACCTGAAACAGCCCTATCACGATGCATGGCAACAATGAACAATGGATCCAACAAAGGAATCAATAGGGTGTCATACAATAGCTGAATTAGTGCTTTAACCTGCGAGATAATTAACCTATACAAAAAGAAATAGTTTGCTATCAATCAATAGGTTGATTCTCGCAGGATGTACTAAATACACAAAGATGGCATCATTTAAAATACATGAAAAAGTCATAAATCCCAAACCAAACAGATGTGCAGCATTATTTCGTGAAAACAATAAGAGACGGACAATATAATCACCATTATTAAGGGATTGAAGGGAAGAGTAACCCATCCATGGTCATATCCGCCTTCAGTCTTTGAACTCCGGCCATGCTCGACCTGCCCGCTAGACCCCCGAAACCCCTTCGAAACATAAAAACCAGCAACCGACGCAAAACGAACGTAATCCACACATGAAAGGAATTCTCCTGATCCAAACGCCGAGATCAATTCACCATGGTAAAGCAGAACTAGAACAAGGTAAGCCAAGGAATCAACCTGGGCGAGTGGCAGAAGCATAAATTATGTGCCAAGGAATGTAATTATGCAGCTTGGTATGAGAAGGTAGGGCAGACGTCCAAACGTGCGGGGGACACAATATTCTCCAAAGATCAAGTGCCTGCGAGAATACTCCAAGCTGGACCGTCATGACGATTGTTCATCGACGAGTCTTATTAGGAGCGACTGTTTTGAACTCAACTCTGGGCTGATACCGAATCGCACCTCCGTCCTCAAGCCAAGGGCCAAGATTCTTGCATTGGCTGACATCAAAGATCCTAAGCTGATGGCATCCCTCTGCCACAGCTTCAACACCAGTGCCAGTGACTCGTACACAGCCACGTACGGACAAATGTTCGAGTGAAAGAAGGTGCAGACCGATACTCCTCAAGGAGGGATCGGAGATTGCAGAGCCACAGAATGCCATGTTGAGATACTTCAACTTGGAGCATTGCAGGGCAAGAACCTCAGTTGCTGTATCTGATAACGCACAGCAGAATGTCTGACGTTTGTAAGCGAATGGAACCTGCCGAGGGGAGCAACGAGGCGACTTACCAGATCTAATTCCTCTAGGTTCTTGGCAGCATTGGTTAGGTGCACAATGGCGTTATCCGTCAGATAAGTACAATCCGCCAAGCAGAGTTTGCGAAGGTTGGTAAATTGAGCGTTTCCCCAATATTTGAACCCTTGGTCGGTGATCGTGGTGCAACGCGTCAGATCCATTTCCTCAATCCGACCAGCAGCGTGGGATGCAATGTGATGCATAGATCGATCGGTGACGTGTTTGCAATACGAGAGAGTGAGTTTCTTCAACTTGGGACAACCATACACCGTGCACTCTGGGGTCTGGATAGTAGGCTTGATGGATGATTTGTTCTCTTTCTGGTCGGCAGGCACGACCCAGCCCACAATTCGGGCCAAGAGTGTGTCACCGACCTTGCGACAATTGCTCAGATCCATTTCCTGGATATTGGTGGCCTTGCTGGACATGTCAAGGATGGCCGAGGCTGTCACATCCCACGCACTCTTCATTTTCCAAACAATAGTGTTTTGTGCACAGGCGGAGGCCAACGCCGTGAAGCCCTCATCTGTGATATGGAAGCAATTATTGACATTGACAGACCGGGCTCGGCTGCCGACAAATGGGCAGATGATCTTGGTCAGAACATCGTCTGTGACTCTGCGGTTGTAAACACTCAAGTCTAAGTTATGTGCCACGCCTGCAGATTGGGTTAAAAGCTCGGACCAGTGGGACGACACAGCCCTGAGCCGAAGAAGGTGATGTAATTCCAGATTTCGGAAAATGTTGATCAAGATACTGTCCGGAAGAACACCATTGGCCCCGTCGACGCGGGGCCGACCAATTTGATGTGGCCTCGAAAGGCCGGCGGTCTCCGGAAGGGCTATGGTCGAGGAGCTCGCAGAGCGTGGCTCGGTGGGAGATGACCGCTGGCTTTCCCCCGACACCTCCTCGGGGGCCAGTGGTGCCACCGAACCACGTCGACTTCTCAACCGAACTTTGTCTAGACCCAGACTAAGATATGGATCAGGATCAGATGGTCGCAGCACGGCCTGATCCTGATCCTCAACAGGAGATGACTGATGTGGCCCGTCAAGTTCGGTTTCAGTGAGTGTCAGGAGCGGCATTGAACGCCGCCGTGACGACGTGATCTTTACTCTGTCATCAAGGGCAAGATTTCCCATAGAGGGCTGTGCATCTGCCTCATCAGACATAACCACATCGCCATCGGCGGCTGCCTGAAGTCTTTCCTGGGCAGTGCGTTCGACCTGGTCGCGCACGCCACTGGGGCATTTCTCCCAAAATTCAGCCAGAACGTCTCCGCCCAGCATCAAACATTCGACGGACGTTACAGATCGGACTGTAGCTGTCCGTCGGGGTGCGAGAGCAAGACTGACAACCTCGCCAAAGTACTGGCCCTGCCTAAGTCGAGCTTTCACTTCTATTCCCGGCCTTCCTACTCCGTTTGGATGATTACTGGAGGCCGGGGGAATCGTATCTGATTTCTCTGTAAGCACTTCCACCTCGCCGCGAACAATAAAATAGAGTTCGCGGCCCTGGGAGTCTTGTTGGATAATGTCGGTGAACGGAGGGAATGACCGCGGTTGGGCATTGAGGCCGAGGAAGTGAAGAATATCGGCAGGTAGGCCAGAGAAAAGTGGCAGCTCTTTGAGTAAGAGACGAACATTCACTAATCCATTTGCCAATGCACTGGAGCCATCCCGCCGACCGGGGCTTGGTGATTTCCTTTTCTTATATACCGACTTGGTACTTAGATCCTCGTCATCTTCCACAACGGCTAAATCTTTGGAAAAGCTTTCACGTAATCTTTTAGAGCCTCTTCTTCCGGGACTTGGCGGATCGAGCGCAGGTGCAGACGTTTCTTTCTTTTTCTTTTCCAAAATCATCAATCGCTCCTGCGCTTCCTCCCGGATGGCTTGTTCCACTTCTGGAAAACGGGGCAATATATTCCGGAAATCGTCCTTGGTCAGCACGACCAGCATGCATCTCGTCCGGGCGATAATGGTTGCCGTGCGCGGACGATCCATGAGGAGTCCAATCTCGCCGAAGAAAGCACCTGGTTGGAGCTCGGCGTATATACTCTCCCCATCCCGGGATGTGACCGAAACCGCACCCCGCACCAACCAGTATATTGCTTTGGCCTCATCGCCTTCGGTCAGAATGTAGTCGTTGGGCGCGTGGAGTTGCGGGCGCAGATGCTGTCCCACTTCGAACAGGAAGGACTCTGGAGTGGCCTGGAACAAGGGGAAAGACCGCAATCGATCGATCAATTCGAGCGGGAGAGCTTGGATGTGGGAGGAAGCTAAGGGCGAAGGGCGCGTGGGTCGGTTTGGGTTGAGAACTGAGTCGAAAGATCGAATGAGAGATACGTTGTCAGACAAGGGCGAGGCGGCCTTGGTCGAGCCGCCACTGGACCTGCCATGACGACGCATTGTGATATGGTTGAAGAGATGTGAGAGCAATTATTGTGGACCAGGTCTTTGAAGCGATGACGTCGACGAAAGTAGTATCGAGCTTCGCGGCATCTTCAACACCCAATGGGCAGTGTATCGCGGGGTTCAGTCAACATAGATGCAGGGTTTAGAGAAGAAGCACGGAAAACCCCAAGAGCTATGTGAGGTGGGGGATGAATCGACGTCAAAAGCGGTTTCTCCACCGATCACCTGGGAACCTTCGGAAACTCTATGGGAACCTCCACTTTCTGCCTCTCGGGCTCTTTGAGGGGGATTTTCGCAAATGTAACAAAAAAAAAATTAGAAGCTGGTGGGGGAAAATGTCAGAGCGGTCAATCACAGTCCCTTTGAACCTGCATCCGGGCCGATCGTTTCTTTAACAAAGAAGTAGTATACAATTTCTCGCTCTATTCTCTATTCTCTGTTCTGCTCTGTTAATGAAAAAATATCCTTCATCAATCCTGACTCAGACTTTGAGCCGATCATTATATCCGATACAATCGTCATACCACAAACCCTATGGAAACTCTAGTATGGCATATTAAGTACCGCGCCACTATGGCGTTTTTAGTCGACTTGGTATTTCCCGGGGAATCTGAGGTCACGTGTGCCATGATCCAGCTTGATTGACTCGCTAATTATAGAGGGTATCACAATGTAGGGGGTACATTCAAGCAATATGAATGACAGAGAATTGGCGAAATTGGCGTTCAACCATGGCGTCCATGTCGGATTTACACCATGTGAAAGGAAAACCGAGCTTTGATTGACTCCGGCTGTTTCAGCAAGCCCTAGTGGGAGTCGATGCATGAATTAAAAAAAAAGCCTTTGGTCGGGATATGCGGTCTTTCCCTGTCAATGGGTTTGATTGCATGGGGTATGCATCAGTATCTGCCCAGGTGATCGAGAGATCACACGTCGAAGTACCAAGTGGAGGTGGCAGATCTGAGGAAATGCCATCTCGCCATCGCAGGAACTGGAAGGCTGCCAGCCTGTACTAGGTATACCTGACGCTAGGCTGGATGCCCCTGTTAGATAAAGGACTTCGGTAATCAAACCGACCCTTCCTTTTGAGATTTCGACCGACGGTTACCCATGATGAAGTCGATGTATGCAGGGTGGTTTCCCTTCAAGGTCTCAAGGGCGTCTTGTAATATTCCATATGTGAAGCTAAGCTTCAATCCAAGCTTGGCTGTTCGGGCGGCAGTGTAGACATCGTGACGAGCTAGAAAAGGTAAACTATGTCAGTCTGAAAAGCCCGAGTGATTCATTTGGAGAAAATCAACCATACCAAGCAAGCTGTATATTCCGGAGAATGACAGCCCAGCCGTGACGGTGGATAAGAAATCTCTCTCGTCATGCCGAGCGTAGTCCACTGTCTCCTCGAACAGGCAGAAGGCAAGTGCACCAGCACCGAGTTTGAAGCCCATTTTAGCACCATCTTTCGCACCTCCGACTACGCCAATATAGTTTTTCGTTTTGTGGTATTGGAACCAACCCGTTGACGACGTGGGGAAGCGATGCGCATTTTCCGCTCGAAACACGAGACCCGCCTTTTTGCTGCCGTGATAGTATCCCAAGGCCACTCCTGTTGATAATGCGGACATTGTCGCATATGGTATCCGCTTGCCAACCTCAATGCCTAGTCGTGGAGGACTATCGGATTCAAAGAGCTTGTCCCAATGAATGATTTTGAGGAGAGTGGAATTTTCGCGCGCGAGCTGGGCGGATTGGGAAAGATCAGACTCCATGGTAGATATAGAGAATGAAGGAAATTGTATGTTGGAGACTTGAAGTGGTCAAAGGTGAGACTGAGCTGTGGTTGCTGCCAAAGCTCAGAATTTCGGCACCTGGGGGCGCGGAAAGTCGCAGTCCCGCCGGATTCTCCGCCTTCGTCACTCATCCGCTCCAATTCGATTGATATTCAACCTCACCTTCAAATCGACCAGAACCCTCAAAATGGTATTTTGCCTTGAGATCTATAGCTCTTACACTTGCTTTACTTTGACTCTGTTTGCTAACAATTGAGTAGCCACCCACTCAATCCAAAATCGACTCGCGCGCTGCGACACTCCTCTTGAAGAAGCACAAAACCACGGTCCTTCTGATGATTCAACCCCACGAAACACTCGATTACCTCAAAGAGATCTTGCTACAAGCTTTGAAGTCGCGTGCTTTGAATGAAATCAGCGGCGACTCTGTTCCTGATGACTCTTTTGATATCGAGCTTGGTGTGCCAGTGGATCGTGCAGACCTTGAGAAAGGTTGGAGATCTCTAGAAACAGACCTAGCAGAACTTGCCGAAGAAGGCGCCCAGACGAAGAACAAAGGAAAATCAAGGAAAGAATCGCCCACTATATTGGAGACAGGCATCCAAAGTGGTCACACTCTTGCATTCCGCTTCCGCAAGAACGAGGGTCAAAGTCATGATCAAATAGATCTAGTAACGGAGGACCCGGGCTGGGATGTCATCATTCCAAGCTACGACGACGAGGAAATGTGATAGGAGGTCATAATGAGCAATGACACCAAGCATATGTACGTCCCCAGGAGACTCATGGCGCGTACGGCAGGAGGCTAGTTGATTTCGCACCGACGTATGGAGTTTTTGGTTTTGATTTTTGACAGTTGCCTCTTGGGTCTAAGGACTGGGACTAAGTGTAGAGAAGCAGAAATGTGTTATATACTAATATACTTGAAGAATAGTCTCCAAGAAGGCAATCACATACAGCTCTGTGACAAGTTTGACACAAGGTCTCTAATGAGATCCTGAGTGTTATCCAAGGCATCAGAACTTTAGAACATCCAAAGATACCATCTGAAGTAAGGGTGGTAGATTGACATTAAGATCCTCCCCCCACATCATATATCGACCACATCTAGGTCATTGGCGATCTTAGGCCTGGCGACACATGGTGAGATAATAGTGCGTGCATATTAATACGAGAGGACGTGTCTAGTCTCTGAGAGGGGGATAAGTACCACCTGATTACCTTACAAGTCACAAATGCCACGCTCGATTGCCCATAATGCCACTGTGAAACCAGTTGCCCAGGGCAACGATTGCGGACAACACGTAAAAGCATCAACAAATGAGATCGCTTCCAGGAGGCCACTCGGAGAATACTGCATCCCCTACCCCATACGATCTTAGATCCATTCCTCAACTGTTTGACATTCCCTATTCACGACAACCAGCCTAGCCGCACCCCCTCCCCCTTGGCCTTGTGCAGGGCCGCCAATTGTCTGACGTACCGGCCCCGCAAAACAGTGCGAGTCGGGGTCAGATCCGACACATTCAACATGGCTGCCTCCGATGGTGCTTCCTCGATCAACGTTGCAGTCAGAGTCCGTCCATTCACTATCAGGGAGGCAGCCCAAATCACCCGATGTGATGATGGTCCCTTGTTCCTCGGTGACGGATCTCTCGCCGGTGCGCCAACGCCAAAGCTTAATCAGAAAGGTATAAGGTCAATCGTCAAAGTCATTGACGATCGATGCTTGTAAGTATTTCCGATAGCTGTCCACTGGGTCCAACATCCTAACTGGCATAGGGTGTTTGACCCCCCCGAGGACAATCCTGTCCAGAAATTTTCCAGAAGCGTCGTGCCCAACGGCAAGCGCGTCAAGGATCAAACCTTTGCCTTCGATCGGATCTTCGACCAGAATGCCTCACAGGGAGAGGTCTACGAATCTACCACGCGTAGCCTGCTCGACAACGTGCTCGATGGATACAATGCGACGGTCTTTGCCTATGGTGCAACTGGATGTGGAAAAACTCATACAATTACTGGAACTGCCCAGCAGCCCGGTATCATTTTTCTCACCATGCAAGAGCTATTTGAACGGATCGACGAGCGGTCAAGCGAAAAGTCGACTGAGGTGACACTCTCCTACCTGGAAATCTATAACGAGACCATTCGTGATTTGCTGGTCCCCAGTGGTAGCAGCGGTAAGGGAGGTCTGATGCTACGGGAGGATTCTCAGCAAACGGTCTCGGTGGCTGGCCTGACAAGTCACCACCCGCACAACGTGGGCCAGGTCATGGATATGATCATGCAAGGAAACGAGCGTCGCACCATGTCCCCCACCGAAGCGAATGCCACTTCCTCTCGATCACACGCTGTTCTTCAAATCAACATCGCCCAGAAAGATCGAAATGCGGATGTCAATGAACCACACACTATGGCCACTTTCAGCATCATCGATCTTGCTGGCAGTGAGCGCGCCAGCGCGACAAATAACAGAGGAGCGCGCTTGTTTGAAGGTGCCAACATCAACAAGTCTTTGCTCTCTTTGGGAAGCTGCATCAACGCCCTTTGCGACCCTCGAAAGCGAAACCACATCCCTTACCGAAACTCAAAACTCACTCGGCTGCTCAAGTTTGCTCTTGGTGGAAATTGCAAGACGGTCATGATCGTCTGCGTTAGCCCTTCCAGCCAGCACTTTGACGAGACCCAGAATACTCTTCGATATGCAAACAGAGCTAAGAACATCCAGACCAAGGTAACGCGAAATGTGTTCAATGTCAACCGACACGTGAAGGACTTCTTGGTGAAGATTGATGAGCAAATGAACTTGATCAACGAACTCAAGGCGCAGGCAAAGGATCACGAAAAGGTTGCCTTTTCTAAGTTCCGCAAACAGGGAGAAAAGAAGGATGCTGTCTTGCGCGAAGGCGTTTCCCGGATTCGCAACGCCTATGAGCATACCTTGCCCGAAAGACAAGAGAGGACCAACAACATGCTGAAATCACGACAAATCAGCCGCCGAATTGCCATTTTATCATCATGGATTGCAGCATTCGATAACGTCTGCGCTACACGTGAGAACGAGGAGGGTTTGTCCAGCCTTCATGCAGTTCGCAAATCTGCACAAGGAATTCTTCTTGAGCTGGAAGGCAGCAGGCACCATTACAACCAAAGATTATCAAAGAGCACGTGGGACCGGCCGGTTGTTTCAGCAGTTGAAAACGCCGCGAAGCAACTCAAGGAGTTCGATATCGCCGATAACAGTGACTATGCGAACTTGAACCGGGAAGCAGACCTTCTGAGGTCTAGCGCGGAGCGCGAGGCGTTGTCAGCTGTGGCAGAGCAAGATAAAGCTGGAGAAGCTGCTGCTGTGCAGCTACTGCTTGAAGCACAGTTTGAGCTGATGGCTTCGATCAAGGATATCATGCAACTCAACGCAAGCGAGGCTATCCAAAAAGGACGTACTATTCTCTCCAAGATGCTGGATGATTGTTCAAATGCCGCAAGCAATCTTGTCAAACCTGATGGTAGCATGCCATCCATTCCGAATTTCACCTCTGCCAGGCCTCCCAGTCCCACGAAGCCGAAGAAGAGATTCAGCTTGGTTAATATACCAACAGCCTCTACTTCCAACCCTCCTCCGGTGATGATGACCTCTGCCGCTCCACCTTCCCCCACCAAAGGCTCTCCGCGACGCCGCAGGGCTACTGTGGGCCGAAAGAGCGTCAGCTTCACGCCCAAGAAATCCCAAGCAAAACCCCCGAAGAGATCTGTTCGCTGGAGGGATGATGAGCAAGAGGGCGATCTCACTGAGTTCCAGAAGACACCTAAGAAAGCCGAATCCACAGATGAATACAGCTCTGAAGAGCCATCGTTGCCTCCTCGCTCAGGCTCTCCTATTCCACGAAACTTCCCGCGAATTGTGAGCCCATCGGGTTCAATCTCACCCACCTCTGATGAGCCCACTGGGCCAGTCGAGCCGACGCTGAATGTTCAGAAGAATAACAGCCGGTTCCAAGCGGGATTCCTCTCGAAGAAGAACGGTAGCTCACCGCTAGCACCACCCCCTACTTCTTCCCTTCCACTTTCTCGCAGCAGAGAGAGCTCCCCTCTTCGTGACATTGAGGGAAGTAGCTTCATGAACCGTCCTGCAGTGGAGCGTCCATCACGAATCGCCGTTCGTAGCCCAAGTGGAAACCTATTGAGCAGTCCGGTGTCCGAAAACCGGGACAACTGGAAGTCGAACAAAGAAGACGCTATTAAAATCAACTCTGCTATGCGTCGGATGTCTAGTGGGCGGGTGACGAGTGGACAGCATGGTACCCCGTCGGCCAACGCTCTTCGCGTCCATCGTCGACGCAGCCCCACTGCTGCTGCCCACGGTATCTCGCCAAGTGACAATCACATGTTTACCGCGTCGCAAGCACGACGCATGGTCAAGAGCGAGCGAGAACATGATGCGAAGCCTCGTGTATTGAGTCCTCACACGCTTCCTGTCATGAAGAATACGGGACGTCGCTCTACTTTGGGGGACGGTCGCCCTCGAAATGTCAGCCTTTCGAGCCGGGATGCCATTCGTCTCAGTGCAATGGCAGCACCCCCTGCCGACCACAGTGCAGATGAATGGTCTTCTAGCGGACTACGATAAACGACTATACGAAGGAGACTTGCATTGGGTTTGGTTCCAATTGGCGTTTGGGATTGGCGTTGGCGTAGCAGATACCACCATTTTGCTCTTTTGCTCTTTTGCTGTCTTGCTGTCTTGCAGTATTGCTCTTTTGTGTGTGTACACTCATCGACAGATGAAATTTTCGGCTGTCATATCCACGTTATTTCAGGAGTATGGCCATGTACAATATTTGTAGAATATGAGGTTCTTCAGCCCTAATTCTCCAAAATTCAAATGCCGAGCTCCCCCGCGCTTTGTAAGAACCAAAATGACGCCATTCACCGTCTCGGACATTTGAAGCTCCTAAATTTATTTTCTGTCAGCTTTCTTATTTGTCTTTCTTCAACATCACTTCACTGCCTAACAATTCTAGGGTAAATGCTGATCCACGCCCTTCACTGACACACGCGAACCCGCTAACTCTCCACTTCTTGACCAGTACGTCTCCACTTGAATTTCGGATGTCTTTCGCCGCTCCGCCTGCCTCGACGCTTTTCTCACGCTTCTTCCGTCCCTTTTCTACCGGCTCGACTCGTTCCCTCGCGCCAGATACCCAATCGCACAACATGTCAGACACACAGATCGCAACCATAGCAGCCGGCTGCTTCTGGGGCGTCGAGCACCTCTACCGCAAGAATTTTGGCAACGGCAAAGGTCTCCTCGACGCCAAAGTGGGATACTGCGGTGGCTTAACTCCAGACCCTTCATACCGATCCGTGTGCTCCGGGACAAGCGGTCGTAAGTGCCAATCCGATCAAACACAAAATCGCCGCGCTTCCTTATCGCGACGCGGCCCGAGGCGCATACACTAATTTTTCGATTTTTTTTTGGCCCTGGTCTACAGACGCCGAAGCTCTACAGGTTACATTTGATCCCTCAATCGTGACATACCGCCAGCTCCTTGAATTCTTTTACCGCATGCACGACCCCACAACACCAAACCGCCAAGGTCCGGATGTCGGCACACAATACCGCAGTGCGATCTTCACACATGGCGCCGAGCAACAAACAATTGCGGAGCAAGTCACACAAAAGGTTGGCACGGAGTGGTACAAGAAAGCGCTCTCTACCCAGATCGTGCCGGCGGGTCAGTGGTGGGATGCAGAGGACTACCATCAGCTTTATCTCTCGAAGAACCCAGCTGGATATGAATGCCCTGCTCAGTATGTGGTCTTGATCCCTTCTTGGGGTCTTGTATTGGACATGTCACTAACTTTTTGCTTCACAGCTTTATTCGGGACTTCCCTCCTCTGTCTGAATGACTACACCCAAAATTATGACTTGATATAAGCCCCGGTGTCTATGATACACCGCGGCCCCCGATAATTCAACATTTATCATCTAACTACTACTAGGTAGCAATTTGCAACTAGCATTAATTTAACATTATCATTTATTACCCATTGGTATCATCCCATGAATATGCGTGTCATCTACCTAGGTCCATAATGGACACCTGTAGACCTGAACAGGGTCGGGCCACCAGTGACGAGCTCAGGATCTAAACATACCTCCATATGAGTCCATGGCAAAGGAACCAAGATGGGACAAGTCTAGTGCTTAGACGACGAAGAGAGGGGGCTTACATCCCCACAAATAGTTGACATACCTCGCGACATCGATTGCGGGAGTCGGGGAAGGAGGCTCTGAAGTGACACAGTCGACGTCTCGTTCTTCAACGCTCGCATCAAAGACCCCAGCGTCAGGGCTTCAAATGAAAGCACATGTCTCACATAGGCTGTGGTCCATCACCTTGATCAGGTCTAGTTCATTGATATAGTTCGAGCTAAGTGAAAGAACAATCATATAGAAATCCAAAGAAATAAGAGACTTGGTCTTACTCCAGTCTCTGATACAATGAATTTTACCTGGCAAATCGATAGCATATGCCAACAATCTATCTCAGAGGATAAACAAGGGCTCTGTGCGTGACGACCATCCCATTGTGAGCGAAGATGAAACCCACAAAGACAGGAAACCATACAGTCATTTTTCCACTCCACATACCTGCATAACAAAGGCTCTGTGTCTTCTGATAGCTTTGGATGGAATTATCTGCCATCTAGACAAGACTATTCACACAGTCTCCACTGGATCAAGTCTAGGGGTTTTCCGGGAGTTGAAAGGCAAGTCCTGGCATCTGGACTGATCCCAAACGCAAGCTCGACACAGTGATATTTTCGAAATTGCATAAATGTCTGGAAAATACCTGCTTACATGGACTTCTTCCAGAATTTATTCATTTCATCATGGATTCCCTACCGAGAAGCCCAAGCCCCGAATCTTCTAACAAACGTATCAATGATGATGCCTCTGACAACCCTCAACCCAAGAAGCATCGCCGCAGCCGCCATGACCCTGAGCCAGACTGGTCTGCACTAATGCGCGAGAAGATTTCTAAGTCTTCAAGCCGTGTTGGACAAGCTTGTGATCGTTGCAAGGTATGCGAAGGACCCCCCCCCCCCCCCCAAAGTAGTCTGGTCAATGTTGGCGACTCACGGGATCGAATCTCCAGCTCAAGAAGATGAAATGCACCCCCGATTTTTACGGCTGCAGCTGCTGCCTCGCCCTCAATCTTCCCTGCAAGGTCACAGACCGTGTGACCGGGGAGACCTTTGTTCGCGGCGCCGCAGGGAGGATGTGTCAGGAGATTGATAGACTCCGCCAGGAGAGCGTCAACCAGAAGCAGCAGATTGTCAACTGGCAGCAGAAGTGTGTGGAGCTTCAGCAGTCGCTAGACAGCGTGAGGGGACGTTTGGCCACTCCATATAGTGACGACTTTGGTATCTACGAGGTAGGAGCATACTTTTGACCGATACGTCTCCATTCTCACTCTGACTTGATTAAATGTTGCATGTGGAGTTGCCTTGGGATCTAGGGCTAATACATTGATAGCATGATCTTGATCACGAGCCCCTTCACCATCCTTCTCTGTGAACATATTGGCATCTACGGCTGTCTTGCAGTTCTTGTGGCTTTGGCTTTGGCTTCATTGTGATCGGGTGTTTCCTGTGAGTGTTTATCCAAGGATGTCTGAGAGGAATAGACAAATCAAGATCGAAGGGCACTCTTGTTGAAGAAGGATAATCCACAGTTCCTGTATTCCAGTGTAGCAACGAAGAGCATGTAGTGTCCAACTTTGTAGGGCGAGTCTCCTGCCCATAGGTACATGTATGTGTCGATTCTTTTAAAACCCGAAATATATGCACCTCATAGTCAATAATCAACAATGCTATCTGAAGAACCTCCAATCACTTGACAATGCAAATACAACCCCGCCTATCACCAGCTTGCGTTCTTCTTCCAACAGCAACAAATCCCCTTGCTTTCACACCACTCTCTAACAGATGCTGTGCCAACCTCGAAATCCTCGCCAACAAGTCCAAGTCCCTCGGTATTAAGCCATGCTGTGAAATCTTCCAGCACAATGGGATCATACATGAGTATCTTCTCGTGCCATGTTGGGTGAATGCGGCTGCCGAGAGATGGTGATCGCGGCTGCATACGAACGGCTTTTGTAATTTGCGTAGAAATGTCTGCGAGACGGACACGCTCGGAAGATTTACTCACGCGAGAGATTGCCTTGCACGTAGAAGATGTGGAGTTTATTTGTTTTGTGACTGATGGTTTGGATGAGACAACCTTGCGCTTCGTTGGACTTTGTGGCGGCGTTTTTGTAAGGATATTCAAGGAGTGTTTGATGACTCCTTTGGCTGCCTTGTTTCTTGAGGATATTTCATTGTGATGCTTTTGTACGTGACTTGGCGACGGGGTGATTTCTTCTTCCGAGTCTTGAATCTCTTCGATGTCAAGGAATGAGGTGGAGTTTGAAGTAGCGCTTTTGTCTCGAGTTTGCCTCTGGGGGCTTGTTTGGATGTTTGTTCGCGCTTGGGATACCGCGATGTTTGTCTCGTTCGATTCTTCGACAAGAGTGGTAGCCGCAGGAGGTCTCGTCTTTGTCGTGTGTTTTGATCTCGAGGTCAACTTTGGAACTTCGACGGATTGGGAAATGGCGGTCTTTCCTAGTCCACTTTGATTGATGTTCTCACAAACAGGGGTACTACTGCCATGTTTCGACTCCCAACATTGCCGTAGGAGTTCAATCATTTTTTTGCGGCCCCTGACTGCCTTGAACCCAAAAGTAGACACCTGTTTCGACAACTCGGCGTCCGTGAACCCAGCATAATTTGGCATAACGGGCACTTTTGGACCAACTGCCTGGTGATTGACCGCCTCAGTGGAATCACTGCCTGTTCCTTTGGCTGACTCGGTAGCTATACCTTTCACATCAGATGCTGGCGCCAGCGCTGGAGCATGAGATGGAAGGGTCACCTGAGCCTGCTGGACTGAAGCCGAGCTTTCTTTGATCATTGTAGACGGCAATGCTTTTTTTTCTGGCGTGGGATCGATATCTGCAAATGCGTGCTCATACCAATTGTCTGGGAGGGTTTGGCGTGAGTTTGCGTTCACATTTTCTAGGTCCTTTTGTGGCGGTTCGACCTGATCTGTCAAGTCAATCACATTTTGTGCTTTTGCCTGGACCAAAGATCCCTCGGTATCCCTGGAGGCAACACACCACAAGTTGCGGGTTCCTGTCAATTTTGAGACGGAGCGGACAGTCGGCCCTTGCATGGCACCAGGACTGTTGCGAGGATCGCGTATGCCTTCGGAGTATGCAAGAATTTCGGATGCGCGGATAGCCTGTTGCATTTCGCGCATAGTCTGGGGCGAATCCTCTCTTTCCAGCTGACTGCAAGTACCGAATACAAGATCCTGATCGTTCACAAACCCAACTGCGGCCTCTGGGGACAGAATGGTGAAACGGGGATCTTGAGCTGTCTCTTTGGCCTTTGATCGTCTGCTTTTCGTGGGTTTGACTTCTGGCGCCCATTCGGCCGCTGGCTCGTCCTCTTGATCGTCATCAATTGCATATTGTGCAGTCATCCGAGCAGTCAACGTGGTAAACTTCTTAGGTTTACTGTTGGTTGTCTTTTTGGTCTTCCCAGCCACACCCTGATCTTGGCCAAGTGCCTGATCGAAGGAATCAGGCTTTCCATTCAGGGCTGATTGAACCACAGGGTCTACTAGATCTATACGACGGCGTTTCGTTGGTGCTTCGCTGGTCGACTTCTGGATAAGGTCGCGTGGGTTTAAGGCATTTCCAATATAATTGAAATCGGATAATGAATTGCCAAACCCGAGGGTGCCATTCGGACCAGCACCACCTTCATCTTGGTTGTTATCATCACACATGACTGCGATATCACCGCAGAGGGTCTCTCTTGGCGGAGTCCAATCAACCCTTCTGCGTAGAGCTTCATCCAAATGCAAAGCTTCATCCTTCCTTAGAGCATTCGATTCTTCGTCAGCAGGTATTTCTGTAAAATCCCCCGGCGATTCTGTATCTGTTTTGGTCGTCTTTTTCGCACGTTTGCTGGCATTTTTGGGCGGCGGATCTCCGCCAGTCTTCGTGACTTTACCAGCCAAGGTCATATTTGCTGGTGCTTTACTCTTTGCTGTCTTTCTCGGACGACCTTTTCTCTGTTTCGGTGTGTTTGCATTTGTAGCTGCATCCTCCACTGAGGGGTCTCCAGGTCCAATTGATATTGGCTTGTTTGTGGTGCGCTTGGATTTCTGATGCGGTTTGCTTGCGATACTCTGATCATCGCTATTTGGAAATGCGGCCTTCCTTGATACTCGGGTCCGCGGCTGCTTGGCATTTTCGTTGTTTTTATCTGCTGCACTTGGGGTGGCGAAATACCGCGAGCGCGTCGCAGGTTTCGCGGGTTTCGCGTTGGAAGCGGGCGCAGGCGTTGGCGTTGTGCTTCGAGGAAAGGTGCCAGGTGCCTGAATCTCATGCTGAGCGGCCAGACCTGGAGAGCGTGGTGGATTCGGAGAGGACGACAAGATGATCACGTCCGCAGTGTTGGCCATTGTGACGAACCGCGTCGCTGCGGAATTCAATCAAGGTGAGTCGCGTGTGTTTGAATTCGCAGCAGCAGTCATGTCTTCGACACTTCCGCACTAGCGCTTATTAGTGGTGACTCTGTTCCTGAGTTGTTCCTTAAAATTATTGGCAATTGAAGTTCCAAAGGACGATCAAAACCGCAGTCTTGGCAAAGTTGGAGGATTGCCGTTCTGGGATGACGTTCTAGTTTGGCCAGGCAACCATACATGTGTGTAAACATTCCCAGAGAGACTTTCTCTGATATCTTCCACAGCTATTGGAGCGTTATTTTGTAATGCCTTTGTTTTATGTTTCAGACATTGACAGTGAAGCGAGCCTTTTAAAAGATGAAAAATACAGGACTCCCCGTCATTAGAGCTTAGGTATTCAAGAACTGTTGAAGTCAAGCACGTCAATCTGAACGAGATTGAAGTCTTAATTGGGAAGTATCAAGGTTTCATTCAATTCATAAATGTCTTAACGTCGTGGTTTTATCTTGGTAGAGACAGGCGACGTATCCACCGCTTCATCTCAGGACCGAGGTGCATTGTGTCGGGGAAAGACCATGTTGGTCTGCTCGACTAGCCATGGGAATCCATGTATGTTTTGAGGCCAACATTTCCAGCTTCGGATGCAAGAAAGCTAGGTTGATGACACCCAACAACACCAATGCAAACCAGTGCAATTGCGAGTGGCCAGACTCGAGATCCATTCCCTCTAATCCCATGGTAGATCTGTGATGGATGGGGTGCGGGAAGCTTCTTAGTGTATGCATTCTTTCAAGATCCCCTCAACGCAATTGCTCCCAGAAGAGCGTTTTCAAGTCGCTGCTTAGTCTCCACGTTCTCCTTGGAGGCAACTTGGTCTGTGGCCTTGGTGGGTGAAGCAAGAGCTCCAAGCTTGTATGCCTTTTTGATCTTGTTGATATCTGAGAATTCAAAGAGGGTCTGGTCGTCAAAAGACACAGATGTTCCCTCTACGGCGCTGCTCAGATGAGCGGCGACAGTCTCATGGGTTATCTCTGATGAGGTTGAGACCTTGATCACTAACAGATCTTGGGTAGAGTCACTGATACCAAATCTGCGAAATGATTCGGCGATCTAAGCCTGTGTTAGCTTTGTAACTGGCGCAAGCCGTATAATTTTCTCAAATTGGTGATTTACATTGTTTGTAGGGTTCAACGAGAACACAATCTCAGAGTGCACATTGTGAGACTTCAGTCGGTTGTGCGCGTAATCATTGAGAGCTCTGAACACAGCCGCAATGACATGGGCTCTTGACAAAGCCTATTTTCAGATGTCAGTAATGAGCCTTCTCATATGCCTATATCATGCTAAGAAACACTATATGCACAACATACCATGCTTGCATCAATGAAGGCATACTCATATTCTGGCTGTCCGGCGAGCAGTTGGGACTTCAAAAAAGCAGTATTTTGGACATTTCGATACACAGCCACATGCACCGGCAACGACGGCAGATGGGGCAGATTGATCGTCTCGAGACTTGAAGCCATAATATCCAGCTGAAAGTGAGAATGACGTATGAAACCAATCTGATAAAAATAACGCTGTTGCAAGTCTGTGATTCACGTGAGTTCTGGAAATTTCGCCCGGCCCGGAGTTAAGCGGCAGAACCGAGAAATGAATGAGTAATCACTAATCGGGGCTCCGGGCATCCTGATATCACCCGCCCGCTATCCTGCGTTTCTTCCTTCTGCATCACCTACGAGTACAACACAACCATGGCTTTCTTTCTAAGGCGCCCATTCGCTGTGGCCTCGGCGCTTCGCCAGGCCCCTAAGCTTTCAAACACTGCGCGCTTCATCCACAACTCTCCTATCAAGCCTCAGGGAAAGCCTCAGGGCATCTCGTCTGCAATCTTCGCCAACTCTCGACAGAACTTCCACAATGCCTTCCGCCGCACCTATATGCAGCAGAGCTACAACACTGCCCAAGGTGGTAACATGACTCAAAAACTCGTTTATGGCGCCGCCATTGTTGGCGGTACCATGCTGGCCACCAACTTCATCTTCAACCGTGAAACCCGCGAGGACGGCGGCATGCCCGCTTTCGAACGTGACTTCTTGAACGAAACATTCATGCACACTGGTCTCGGTATTGGTATCATTGGTGTTGCTGCTCGCGCTCTCCACATGAGTGGCTGGTCTTACCGTCTTATGGCTATGAACCCTTGGCTCGTCATGGGTGTCGGCCTCGTGGGCAGCATCGGCTCCATGTACGGAACTTTCTACACCTCTCCTGATAAGTAAGTTCGAACCACCACATCTTCGCAAGTTGCCTCAAATCACATTGCTAACGCTCTGGATAGCTACGTCGCCAAGTACGGCTGCTGGACCTTGTTCAACCTCACCCAGGCTGCTCTTCTTTCCCCATTGATGTTCATGAACCCCGCTATCCTCGCCCGCGCTGGTCTCTACACCGTCGGTATGATGGGATCGATTGCTTTCGTCGGTGCCACTGCCAAGCAGGAGAAGTACCTGTATCTTGGTGGTCCCCTCCTCGCTGGTGTGGCCATTGTTGCCCTCTCTGGTCTCGCCCCCATGGTTCTCCCCGCCACTGCCGCTCGTACTCTGATGTGGTCTGAGCGCCTCTGGCTGTACGGTGGTCTCGCTGTCTTCGGTGGCTTCACCCTTTATGACGTGCAGAAGATTCTGCACCACGCTCGTCTTGCCGAACGTGGCTTGATTAAGCGTGATGTGGTCAACGAGTCTGTCAGCCTTGAGTTGGACTTCATCAACATCTTCATCCGTATGGTCCAGATCCTTGGCATGGGCAGCAACCGCCGTTAAGCTACCTTAATGTCTCTTCCGTGGCAATTTGGATAGCGGCTTGGCTTGCATCTCTTCTTTCGACCCTCCTCCGATATCCCTCTACGAAACCCCATTTGTGTAATCCTATTTTCAGATTTTCTTTACCTTTTTTCTTTTTTTTTTCGTTTTGGGTGGACATTGATTCCTATCCATGCGCACCATTTGAAGCGTCCATTGCCCGTTGCTGTAATCTACGTAACAAACCGGATAGCAAATGCAAATCTCCACTCCAACGGTCTTCCTCGTAGAAACAATAGATGTTCCATGCTTGCCAGTAGGCAGCAAATTTGAATGGTGCACCAGTGCATACTTCCTCTCAACTCTAGTCTCTTCCTTCCATTATTAAAGATAAAAAGCACAACAAGCACAGCAAACGCTGTTGAGAGAGAGAGAGTCTAAGAACTGACCAGAAAGGGCAGTCGAGGTCATGTGATCACGAGCTTCCTTGAGGTTGGATTCCCCATGACCGTCAGCTCGCGATTTCAAGTCAGATCCATTGAACATTCCCAACCCTCAAATCAAACCTCAGAACTACACCAGATTAATCGCAAAATTCACCAAAGCTCTCATCTACACAAAATGTCGACCGAGATGGAAGTCGACCCTCCTGTCGCACACGACGACGCTCCCGAACAATCTGACCGCAGCTTTGAGCCACGAACCCAAGGAAACGCGGTCGCCGTGCGCAGCATTGAGGGATGGATCATCATCGTCTCCAATATTCACGAAGAATCATCAGAGGAGGATGTTACCGAGCTTTTTGCGGAGTACGGAGAGATCAAAAACTTCAGTCTGAACCTCGATCGACGAACAGGTTATGTCAAGGTGCGTTACTGATCACGCTCATTTAATATCTTCGAATGACTGGAGAGGCCGTGATCTCTCAACACCAAGCTTCTTCGGCACTGCATTGAAGGGACTTTTACTGACATCTTCTATCTTTTAGGGTTACGCATTGATTGAATACTCAACTCTTCCCGAGGCGAGCGAAGCCATCCAACACCTTAACGGAGCCAAGCTCCTTGAACAGACCCTCCACGTTGACTATGCTTTCGTTCGCCCACCTCCGTCTGGCAAGGGCAAGAATGGAGGACCCAAGGGCCGGGCAGGCCGTAATCGCAGCCGCAGCCCCAACCGGAGCCGCAGCCCTGAAGCTGGGGGTGACCGGGATTAAGCTTTCTAATGGATACAAACGACAACGTTCTGGGGAGCATGCATTCCATGTGATTTCTCACTTGATACCTGTGTTGATGAATGATTTTTCGCCTTTTTTCCACCGCGCTCTTCGCACTATTACCCTCCGAGGTCTTGTCCAAGGACTCGTATGTGTTTACGGATGATAGTCGGATCACCCGGACACCGCTGGCATGCTTGCCTCTCTCGTTAGATTCCTCTGAGGCCACAGCTCGAAGGTGGAAGTCAAGGATCGAACCCGAGGACGTGCCAGCGCCATGATAGATTGCCATAATGGTATGGAATTTTTGCCTTTAGCTTGGCTACAAAATTGCTGACCTCCACTCAGGTATGAATTAAAACTACCTTCAATTCAATCCTCGCACGAAGTACATGATCAGCGAAGCCTGGGGTCCTGAATCCCATTCACAATTTCATGATGTATATCGTGGGAAGCCACTATCTGGGTTGAGAATGACAGGCCAGAACCCTTGCTAGTTTTCCGACTCTTCTCGTGACCAACTCAGATGCCCGGCTCATATCAACGGCTCTGATTTGATGTTGCGCCAGCCGTGATGATAGACTTCCCGAGATATAGACTTCCCTACAGAGTGCATCACACGACAGCCATGTGGCGCTTCATGATAGAAAGTGCATAGGAAATTGAAGTAGACGTTACATTCTCAGAGAGTCAGAAGCCTCGAATTATTTCGCAAAATGGATCCCAAGGCTCAAACGCTCTACTTAGCTATGTATATGCTGATCTGCGCGACTTCGGGAGACCAGTAATGCCTTAAGTAAGCTGAAACAGGCGTGGACCCCGGGGTCGGCCCTCCCCCGCATGGCGCATGGGGTTCCTCCTCGTTTCTAGACTCTGCCATTGCCGACTCGCTCTATATATTCTTAGGGTCTCCAGATCATTGTGTCTGGGGATCTACTTCTGGCAGATCTCTCCTTCAGAATGACTTCCCGACACACGTATCGTACCCCTCCAGGGTCACGGTTTCCTCATCACATCTTTATCCTATGCATCTTATTCCTTTGCAGTCGGGTCAACTCGCTGGTCTTCCCGGCCCAGGATGTAATGAGAACAGCCCCTACGCTTCCTCAAGATTGGAGCCCAGTCGATGATTCCTCCAAAGAGACAGCGTTGGAAGCCATGGATTCAGTGGCTGAAGAGCCGATCCACGAGCGTATTCTTGACACCTTGAAAGATCTGATTGACGCCCTGCAAGTGATGCAAGATAAGTATTTCGTGCTATGGCAAGGCACGTGGCCGACCAGCATCGATTGGACCGCGGCGGTGTTGGGAACACACGTTTCTGCGGCATTGTCATCTTTATCCTCTGGGCCGCTCGATATCCCAGGCACAGATGAACTGCAAGGATTGTCTTTCTTTGCACTCGAGAACACGGTCAATAAATTCTTCAGTGACACTTCTGCCTTCTACTTCGGGGAGAATGCCTTCAGTGTCAGGAACCAGGCATATGATGACATGCTATGGATTGTCCTGGGGTGGTTGGGGAGCATCAAGTTCCAGAATCTTCACTCTGATCTTCACTATCAATCCTCCAACGCCAGCTCTGAATTCCCATGGTACGGCACCCAGTTCCGTGTCCCTGTTGCACACAGAGCACGAATCTTTTATGAACTTGCTTCAGCTGGCTGGGACAAGGTTCTCTGTAATGGTGGTATGATCTGGAGTCCTTATCTGCTACCGTACAAGAACGCCATAACAAACGAGCTTTACATCGCGGCGAGTATTGAGATGTATCTCTACTTCCCCGGTGATCCGATTGACGCCCCTTTTGTCGTTGGTTCAAGTGGACAGTCTTTGCAAAGAAACCCGCACGAATACGCTCATCTCAAAGCTGCAATTGACGGGTACGAATGGCTTAAGAGCTCTCAGATGACAGGTGCGGGGGGGCTCTATGCAGACGGCTTCCATATCAGTGGCTGGCAAAGCACAACAAATCCTGGCTCACGCAAGTGTGACGAGCTGAACACCATGGTCTATACGTACAATCAGGGAGTCATTCTCAGCGGGCTGAGAGGGCTCTGGATTGCTACATTGTCCCAGGTCTATCTGCAGGACGGCTATGAGTTGATCCACAAAGTGTTGCAAGCCACTGGATGGCCCCATATATCCAATCGGCAATGGAAAGGTCTCGGGCGTGGTGGCGTTCTAGAGGAGGCATGCGATGCCAGTGCAGCCTGTTCACAAGACGGCCAGACCTTTAAGGGAATATTTTTCCACCACCTGGCCGAGTTCTGTCGACCTCTTCAGCCGCAGGAGAAGCAATTCCTAGCCAGCGCGGCTCGCAGCCACCCAGAACGCGATGACTGGAGCGAGAAATATGAACTACATCTGCAGCAGTGCCGCACATATGGCTCCTGGATCGATCACAATGCGCAGGCCGCTCTGATGACTCGGGACAGCGAGAGCAAGTTTGGTGCCTGGTGGGGTCGCGGCTACCGTCAGCTGGAGACTGATGGGGTTCTTCACAGCAGCCCATTACCAGTTGGGGCGGTTGACTACCGCAACACCGACCAGGACTCTGAGCCTTTGGCCGCAAGCTTTATATCAACCACGGACTACAATGATCGTGGGCGTGGCCGCACAGTGGAAACTCAGTCTGGGGGGATTGCTGTGTTGAGAGCTTTGTACCAGTGGCAATCCTATGATACCCTAAGCTGAGTTTGGAAAATCCCGCATTGATGGTTTGGCTGTAGATAGATGTCATTGCCTGGGTCCAATGCATTGGTACAGAATTTTGTTCTGATCTGGTTTTTTCGGTTACTCTCCTTTTCCTCCTATGTATAAATAGACTTCAACAGTGGAAATATGACATTTTTCATATACAAATATTCCAAGGTTCACGTTTAGAATACTCTCAGCGTTCGCACTAGTCCTGCTTGTAATTTGTATCCATAGAGATTCGTACGAGTATGACCAAGATCCACAAAGGTTCCCGCTGTTAAGTTTCGAGCAGTATGTAGCAAGATGGCCGATCAAACTCTCGTAGCCCTTCAGCTGCTCAAGTTCACGAGCACCGTGACACTAGGATCGAAAACTTTGTAGATCAAATATCTCGTACTGATCAAATTCCCGGACGGGATGATCGGTAAAGAAAATGGATCCCCAGGTCCCATTCCGCAGATAGCTTGATCCCCACAGGGGCACGGCACGCAAAACAAGAATTCAGATCTGAAAACAGGATTGCCCGATCGTCGGATTTGCAAGAAGGGATCACCGACCAAGCGATACACAATTGTCTCTGTTATGTGTTACCTGGGTTGGGGATTTGGCTTTTAGCGGATGATATTGCAAGACATTTTGAGGCTGAGGTGTCAACTGTGGGGGAATGTCTCTGATGCCTCTGATGTCCGAAGGTAGATGTCATGGACCGTTTCAATTCAGATCTGCTGCTGTGCTTGTTTGGGTCAATCTTACTTAGCCTCATGATAGGCAATGAACATGTGGCGAGTAAGACCTGGTGGTTGTCCTTTAACCGCAACCGGCGAAACCCGTGATGCCTTCATCCACAGCCTTCATGAAGGTCGATGGATTGGCCGTATGCAGCAACATCAGAATCCATGCAACTATTTGATCTCGTATGAGATATTGTACTCGTATGGTGTATTGTACTGGAGGATACATAGCTGAAGCTGCGACACCAACATGCGAATGTCACGGTGCATGGAATGCAGGCATAGAACAACTGGAATGATTCTAAATCCTTTGCCGTTCACCCCAAGTTGCGGGGCACAACATACTCGTAGACAGTAGACTATGCACCATGTACGAGACGCTGTACGATATACAGGGCAGAATCAAGGATGAGATGATTGGATGTGAAATCCAAAGACGGGAAGGCGACCAGTAAGAAAATCCACCCAAAGGCCAAAAGTAAACTCCACCTAAGCGACTAAACTGCCCTTAACGCTTCCGTTTGGGAAACGCGTTCGTATCGGTGGGGACGGCAACAAATCAACCATAGAATTTACAGATCGGCGGGTATTTGGGTTTGAGGTCAAGGGTTCAGTACTCGTACGGAGGATACTCCGTACGAGTACTGACATCAATATTCCAAAGTTGAACATTGAGAACACACTGTAGCACGATATCGGACAAAGTAATAATAGCGCCGTCGTCATGGTCTGATGTTGACTGTCTCAGTTGCCCCAATTTCCACGTTTTCTTTTGCCGCCTCGAGTGGGGCAACCATAATTGTACCTGTTCCCTTGGAGACTTAATATCTTGTGATATTGAATATTGAATATTGAATATCGAATAGTAAATAGTACATATTCAGTTGTACTTGGTAACCACACTACCGAGGCCCCCTCTTACCCCCCTTAGCGTGATCAAACTGTAGATTGGGGCCTAACGAGAGTGTCACACGCCCCTCTCACCTTGGGAAGGCTTCGGTGAACACCTTAGTTACACTTGTGTTCACTACGGAGTAGGGTTCTCAGCACTATCAGGCCTGAGCGTACATTATGTTATTATATCGTATTGCGATTATACTTGAGATCTCATGTGACTCACGGAATCTAGGAACGTACGCCACTGGTTTGATACTTTGATACCGTGATGGAGGGGTTTTCCTGTACAGCATAAGCAAAGCCAAGAGTTTTGGGGCAGACAGAGGTTGGACTGCGATTCATCATATTTCTTCGCATTTAGCCTACACTAGTCGGCATAAATGGCCCCAAGTTCGACAGGAAGGCTGATACGGAACACTACATACAAACCCTAATGTGAATCCATTGTCGATGCCGTCATTCCTGGAACTCAGACGGAAGATTACTACCTATCCCCGGTTTCCAAATGTAAAACCGGAGTGGCGTCGGCAGATTAGATGCCAATTCATCACTCGGCGCAGTACGGAGTACGTGCGGCCGTGGGAGTTTGGCTCGGTAACGGCTAGTACAGTAGGGAAATTATACCAGACACATTGTACGAGTACAATGTCGCAGCGAATCTGGAGTACAGAGTACAGAGTAACTACGCTGTACCTGTACACTGTCCACAGGCTGCAAAGAGCCGTTTCACAAGATCGGCGTTTATGGCACAGTTTCACATCCATATCGGCTAACGGTCCATCAAATAATAGAGAAGGATATCAAAAACCTACGGAAATAAATCGTCTGAAGCCCAAGCGTTGGGCGCACATTGGCTGTGAGGGAGTGGGCTGGGGACCGGAGATGGTGACTGGTTGCGGGATATTACGACAGGCGGGCTTGGTGCGGAGCAAGACTGCAGTGTGCCAATTGTCTGCATCACTTGTACAATGTCCTTGGGGACACTGCGCATCTTTGCCCATTGCTATGGGATTTGACCCGGTTGCTTTTTGGTGGCGGTGGAAGCGGCTAAGAAATGCTTTGTGGCTCGGAATCATTTTCCTGTCACCATTGTACAGCTCCTTTGCGGCCGATTTTCTTTTTCTTTGAAATTGCTCTTCCCCGTGAATGACATCGTACAAATATATGTTGTTTTTGGATGAAAAACCAGGTCTCACCTGTCAAAGCCGAATGTCCGATTAGGCAAATACTCGGAATCCATTGCCCAGAAACAAGGCTATATGTGTACCAACTAAGTATGAGGTGAACGGGGCAATATCCTTTTATATCGAGTGTTGTGTAGTGTCTGGGTTCCCGTATATTGGACTACGGAGGACCTCGTATGTCGTAACTCATAGGCTCTATAGGTAATGTCCGCGTGAATGATAAATGTGGACCAATGATCAAGGCTCATTTTACTGAGGCTCGATCGACATTGCATGCCCCCCCCCCCCCCCTCCCCTGAAGACGGTATCCTTTTTACATGTGCCGTTGTGTATATTGAACATAGCCTCCCACCTAAGCTACCAAGAATAGTATCGTGATCAAAATTGAAAGAGGATCATCACCGACGAGGGGCAATCCAATTATCTGAGCGATTAATACCCACACGGGGGAATACCGGTATGACCGAACGAGCAAAGACCTCACGATGTAATAAAAGCACGGAAATACAAAAACACCAATACGTGTCAAATCCAATATGCCACACTGGCGGTGGGGAGTGGAACCGAGCATGTATCGAGTACCTGGTCGGACCACGACGCAGATATGGAACAGCGGTGTACCGGGTACTTGTCCGGAAGGTGTGGAAAGGGGAATCCCAGGAGCCAGTTGGCCCTAAACCCGTTAGTTGGCTAGTTGGGTTCCTGAGCGCCTCTCTCATTTGCACGAATCCCTCCCCCCCCCCTCTTTTTTCTTTTTTCTTCCCCTGTACTGGTCCTCCGTAGAAAACCTTCGGTTGGGTTTTCTGGATGGTTTTAGTACTTTATGATGATATTCTATGGCTGCCACGAGCATCTTCAATATCCATTATCACTACACTCACTATACTCATGATGTTCACTATTTTCACTATCTTAATTTTCAAAATAGAGGAAATGTCTAAAATCCCCCTAAAACGGGCAAAGAAAAGGACATGAAAACAGGACAAATACAAAGAAAGAGAAAGAAAACCTCTCGGAGGGATGATCCAAGGGACTTGGGTTCCTCCACCTACTGAAAAAGGTGCTAAGATAGACAATCCACCGGGAACTCCAGTGGTACCACCGTGTACCGCACCCGTCGCACTACAACCAAGGTAACTGCAATGTACTCTCTGCCGTAACACCGATACCGACCTAAACCTTCTTCCCTTTTCCCCAAAGCTCTTTTCGGCTCTGATTCTCCCTCTCTCACACCTCTCATCTCTGGTCTCTACTCTCTCACTCTCACTCTCACTCTCTCTTCGGAAAAAAGAAAAAAAGCTTGTCAAAGAAATTTACGCTCCCTTCGAACCCACTTCTCTTCCACACCCCCCCCCCTCATCGCTCAACTCGAAATTGCATTCGATCCAACTCGAAAAAGTCGACCCCGGTCGTCTTCAAGATTATATCTCAATCTCCCTCTCCCTTTCGACTTTCCACCGACCCCGGTAGCTACCTCAAGCGTAACACAGATTTTTCGTCTGGGGTACATCGCTAGGGGTAGACCGTGGTCGTTCATCAGCCGCTTTTCCTCCGGCCCTTTTCAATCCGCCAACCCCCCTCCCTCTCCCCTCCCCCTAATCGTGGGCATCTTTACACACCGCAATCCTGGAATTCTCTTCGATTCTGCATCTCTTGACCAGTAACCCATATGGCAACAGATACAGAGATGACTGAAGCCTCTCCTGTTGATACCCTGCCGCAACCGAACGACGGTGGCCGCATGCACATGTCATCCCTTTCATCATCTTCATCCATATCCGACGCAGAAACCGAGCGCCGAGGCCGATCAGAACGTCCGAGAATGGCGAGCCGCAAACCCAGCGCGTCAATTTTGGTTCCGCGGGACCATCCTGAAATTGAGATCGAGGAGGAAGAGTTCCCTCCCGATGATGCCCGAGCCATGAGCCCACGACGCAATTCCGCCGACCTCGAGCGCCTGGGCAAGGAGGCTAGACAGACTTTAAAAGAGTGAGTTTGGAATTGGTGTTTCGCCAACTCTTAACGCTTGAAGTGCTCCAAAAACTAACGACCGGGAAAATAGACAGGCTAAAGCACTTCAATCGTCCCTTCAGGCTCTCGCCGAACGCATCGATGCAGTCAAATCAGACCACGACAAGTTGGAAAATGAGAACAAGATTTTACAAGACTACATCGGTGGTCTTACTCGCAACATGACCAAGAGCGAAATGACCCGCAGTACAAAAGCACGCAAAGCGCAGCGGTAAATTGGCCATCCGAACATTGCATGGTGCAACATCCTGTCCCGTGAACGTCAATCGGGAAGGGTCGCCTTATTTCTACGACACTTATTTTCGATGCGCCGCATACGGTCGCTCTTTTCCACCGAGTTTCGCTCTATTTTCACTTGCCCTATCACGATGATATCCCCGGTCGACTGATTTTTCTTCTCGTCGCACGATCCATCCGGTCGCTCTATTGGTGCTGCGGTAACTAGCGTGTTACATTTTACAGTCTGATAGGACGACAAGGTTGTGCTTACGAGAAACACGAGTTTTCTCCCTCCGTAATCGGTCAGCAGTCACCACGGAGGAAATCTTATTTCCGCCACTCTTTCACACATCACATCTGCCACCCGACTGGCTCGAGTGGCTACTCTCAAAACCTCCTTTCGCTTCTACGCCACAATCTCATATGAGTGTCTCCACAGTCCCCCTGGTCAATCGGCGCCAACCGCTGAATCAGTGATGAGGCTGATTTCGAATCCATCACTCAAGGGGGGTGTTCAAGGGATCATCCGTGACATCATTACATGCTTGATGTTTGTCAAGTGGTTCGCCACCTGACTTTCCGGCATTCTGATTTCCGTGATCCTGCATCAAAGTCGGTGTGCGTCCTTGCTCTCATCTCCCGCAGTGGCCACCCTGCCTCTCTTTTCGACTCCACCGATATCATTGGGCCTCTTTTCTCCACCTATCTCTCTTATTGGCGTTCCTACATACGGCGGATCTGTGAACACATGCTTCACGTGTACTTTTTTTTTTTCTCGCTTCTTTCTTTATTTGTCTTTCGATGCATAGCACCTTGGGCGTTTCGGGGACCGGGACTAGACTCGGTTTGATTAAATGGCTCTAACTGGAGCCTCACTGGAAATGTTTGCTGGACATTGGCATTGCATGGGAACGGTCATCGCCACAGCAAAACGGCATGGAAAGTGGAAAGCATCTTTGGTGTCTTTCGGAGCAGTCCATTTATCTGCCTATCTTTCCTCTCATGTGCCCTCTTGATTTTCATGGGGGGCTCTCTGTACATCTGCGTTTTTTTGTCTCTTCTCTTCTTCAATTTCCCTTCTTCTTTCTTCTTTCTTTTCCCCCTTTGCTCTCTCTTCTCTGTCCAGCGGGTCGACCGATCTCAACGCCTGATCCATACCCCAGAGACAAAGAGGCGTCGCTTTGTATCATCATCGCGGCCTCTGTTTCTCCTGGCACTTGCCAAGCTCCGTTCCCGTGGAACGTGCAAGTCTCAAGTCCCCCTTTCTCACTTCTTTCTGTTCTCATACCCCTTTTCATCGGGCCCGCATAGCTGGTAGTATTGTGGTTCCAACCATATCAGCAATGGAAATCATTTCAATTTCAACTATTAGTAGTTCTTCACCCCCCGTACCCTTGGCCTTCAAGTTCAGTCCGTCACTGTAGACCAATCCCTTCCCGATGCAATCACCAGGATCGACCGGTCAATTGGAACACATTCGAATACCCCGGACCCCGTAATGAGTCAATATACACATCCAATAAGATCCTACCGCTCAATTGACGATCAGCCGAAATATGACACCGTAGGTAGGGGCTGCGCATCCGCTCGTCAGCGCCTAACGGACACAGCCACTGATATCATCGAGGCTTCCGTAGGGTAGGGGCATGTGCAGAATCTCAACCGTGTCCCCACTCATGCTTCAGCTCTAGAGACTTTCTAGCGCCCGCATTGTACATCAAGGTGCGATGAGGTTTACGTGTGCTCCATACAGGCCCCCGGTACCCCGTATATTGTGGCGTTGTGGTGATGGCATAGTTCGCCGGGCAGGCTGATCTCTTGTTTCAGTCAGGTACCTATGTGCCTTCTGTACCTTTGGATCGTATTTTTTCTAACCTTCAGGAGTGAATTTCCGATATACTTTTTTTTTCTGGCTGGAAGGTTATATAACTTGAAGATCAACCCGGTGAACTCCTTGCGTATAGATCTTGCATGTGGTCTGTAACTTCAATTTTAGATGGTTCGTCCAACCCCCACGTGCTTGTGATATAGTCTCTCATATGGAGGCTGTGCCGCAAAAGACTTGCAAGTCTGGTTTACATAGCGAATGGTTTACATGTTCAAGTGCGAGTTCTTTTCACATCTAGAGATAGAAACACCCTGACAGATACGGAAATGGAATAGGAAAATGGGAAATAAGCGACGCCAGGGATCGGCAGGACACCCTCGTTGAAGTCCTGATAAGGAACTCATTTAAAAAAATAGAATCTGTGGTCCGTGTGTGTATGTGTTGGGGCTGAGTGCGCGCAAGGGGACTCTTTGGGTAGTTCAGAGGCAAAGTAGACAAAATAACAGGGAGAATGAAAAACGAAAAGAGATGGGGACTTCCCCGAAACAGAAAATCACAAAGGGGATACCATAGCAAAGGCAGAAAGGATCTGAAGCATAGGGGGTTCAAAAGAAGCATCAGAGATGCCGGAATATTTCTCACGCCAACTCTTGCGAGTCTCAGCGATAATCTAGGCCGTCATCAGAAAGAATGCATCTCATGGTCCCCTTCCCTTTCAGCTCAATTCTATGCCCTTGCGCCGAGAGAACCCATCATGCGCAACCTGTCCGGGTTGTCCCATCCGTCCTGAGGACGTGAGTCCATCATCAAGGTCTTTTTATGTGTTACTCGTTTACTCGGCGGGCTTCTCACCCTCGGCGGCGGGTGCCTCCTCCTTCTTCTCAGCAGGAGCGGCAGCGCTATCGCCGGTGGCCTCAGCCTCGGACGAGGTCCAGAGGGTCTAGTGACAAGTGGTTAGCGTGAGTCCGAGACGCTCTTCCAAAGGGAGCAACTTACCAGGTTGTCACGGAGCAGCTGCATAATGAGAGTAGAGTCCTTGTAGCTCTCCTCAGACAGGGTGTCGAGCTCTGGAGATAGTTTGTTAGCACATGTCGAAGCAGAAAACCGAGCATGCGTTAACTTACCAGCAATGGCATCGTCGAAGGCAAGCTTGGCAAGGTGGCAAGCCTGGTCGGGGGAGTTCAGGATTTCGTAGTAGAAGACCGAGAAGTTAAGGGCGAGTCCGAGACGGATAGGGTGGGTGGGGGCAAGGTCAGTCGCGGCGATCTCGGTGGCAGCCTTGTAGGCCTCAAGAGAGAAGTCGGCAGCACCCTTGCGGCGGTCGCCAATGGCGAACTCAGCAAGGTAACGGTGGTAGTCACCCTTCATCTTGTGGTAGAAGACCTTAGACTCGCCGGACTGGGCGGACTTGATGAGGTGTTGGTCGAGAACCTCAAGGATGTCGTCGCAGATCTTGGCAAGCTCGGCCTCAATCTTCTGGCGGTACTCCTTGATGAGAGTGACCTGGGACTCGTTGCCCTTAGACTCCTCCTTCTGCTCGATCGAGGTGACGATTCTCCAAGAGGCACGGCGGGCACCAATGACGTTCTTGTAAGCGACGGACAGGAGATTGCGCTCCTCAACGGTGAGTTCAACATCGGCCGAGGCAACGACCTTCATGTTCTCGACCATCTCTGTCATACCAGGTCAGAAAGTCCGGGGACGCGGTGAAAATGTTCATGACCAACCTTCGTAGCGCTCAGCCTGCTCAGCGAGCTTGGCGAGGTAAACGGCATCTTCTTGACCCATGGTGAAAGAGTGATATCTAAAGTCGAAAGTTAGCCCTGGATTCGCCAGAAGTTGCTTGGTGTCTTTAAATGGAGATGTTCGAGATTACGCCATTCGCAGTGCAAACGATGACGAGGGGTGGACATTGACCCCTCAAGCCTGGATGGGGAAGGAAGAATGATCCAGTTCAGCCTTCCACGTATGATCCGAATCCAACCATTGAGCTGAGCAAAGGTCGATCCTGACGATTCAGCAACACAGTGCTTTCCCACCCGACTGGAGTTGGGTATCGTAGGAAAGCGGTCGCGGGAAACCGTTCAGCGGGTAAACAAGGAGTCCAGAACATCCACGTCTATTCCACCGTCCAGATTGGGGCGCACACCATGACCCCCGGGAGAGATTGATGGTGACAATTTTTTTTTATAAGGGAGTGGGGGTCTCGCTGTCTCTTCCATGACTAGGGTTGTGTGTGGGATTTGTGATGGTCGAGGGTTGGACAGGTACAGGGGGCCAGAGGGCAGTACCTCGAACAGAAAAAAGACCGGAAAACACTGACCTGATTTAAAGAGGAGGTGAAAGGTGAGAAAAAGGGAAATGGATGAGAATAGATGAACAGGGAGAATAGGAGGTTAGTTGATTGAGGGAAGTTGAGAGGGAGGAAGAGGGGGGGCAGTCCTAACACCGCCTTCTGTTGTTGGGAACCCACTTTGGTTATATTTCTGAACTAAAGACCACTAGGAGCCTCTTTTCGGGGTCACAAGAGCTTTCTGATTTTATTTGCTACGATCTCTCAGTTGGATAAAACCCCCCTTCTTCATTGTATACAGATCACCTCTTTCTTTTCTGTGTGGTTCGGTGGGCCTCTACGGCGTCATCCCCCATTCCGCAGCCGCTAATTGCCCGGTTCCTTACTTTGCAGAGCGTATTGCCAAATTGAATATCATATAATGTGCTAAGGGGGTGTTGGTAGAGCATCTAGATTTTGAGGGGCTTGGATCGTCTTATTTTCATCTATTTCGTGTCCGTCATCATCCCATGATCAAGTCATGTCGAGTCGAATGAGAGCGCAGCGACTTATCGACAGAATTTTGTGAAATTACCGTCACATGACCATGAGTTATCTGACATAAGCTCACTGTCACCTGACATGCCTTGGCATTGTTAACGTCATCGTAGCCTTGGAAGCTGTGCCTGCTCGTGTACTTGTTACTTCTCCTCATCTTTTGTACCTTTGTCCATCCCTGAAATAATACCATCTTTCAATCCATTCAAGATGCTTCGTCAATCAGTTGTTCGTTCCGCCAACACTGCCAGCCGGGCAGTGTTCACCCGTTCATTCTCGGTGGCTGTCCCTCGTCTGGGTGAGGGCGACACCGGCGCTCCCCGCAGCTCTGGCGGGAAGAGTTCTGGGTAAGCGAACTGTCCATTGACTGCGGCAGATGACTGCAGTCTCCCCTAGGCAACAGGCCACATCCAGTCTGCCTTGCTGCGGTTAGGTGACATCATACCAGAATGACGATGGCTAACTTCCCCCCAGTGACGCTTTCAGCCGCCGTGAAGCTGCCCAAGAGAGCCTCTACATCCGTGACAAGGAGCTCGAAAAGTAAGTCAAGCAATCTCAGCACTGCCGATTGGTCAACCAAGACGAACAATCTAACATTGACATTGCAGGCTCGCTCAGCTGAAGAAGAAGATTGGCGAGCAACGCAAGCACCTCGACGATCTGGAGAACCACATGTGAGTACATTTGCGAACCAATCCTATCACTTCTAAAAATACTTCGCCATCACCCCGACCATTTCCATCTACTTCTTTTGCTAGGACGAGTTGAACGCATAGCTGACCTTTCATCTACAGCGACGGTCTGAGCAAGAAATAGAATAATACCTCCCATTCATAGGCCTGATACCTATGCCTGAGTCACTTCAAGCTGCTATGTACAATGCCATCTCCTCTTTCGCAAGCCCCATTGCTGTTCGCTGTCTTGAGATCTTTTGATTTCCAGCACCTGTGCTTGAATAAGACGTTTCTCTGCATAGCATATTTGGAGTCCTTGATCCAGTCTTATCTATTTGTCCAATGACGAATGTAGTAGCTGTAAATTTCTTAACGAGCGTATACCAACTAGCTGTAAGCATCATCAACCTCGGAAAGCTTCCGATGTTGGCGTTGACCTCGGTACATTGTACAATGGTTCTGTGGGATTCAACTCGCAATGCCTTTCCGCCATCATTGCTAGGCACTGACATGACATCGAACTATTTCGTGAAAATGAACCAAGTTGGGTTGCTATTCATTATTTTGTTGATATACTCATACTCGTTGCCCAGGTGCGGATCTCGGAAGCAACCTCGGCCATCAACAACGGTGTATTTTGAAGCGATATCTAGTGGTGTCTCTGTATAATTACTTTATTCAGCAAAAGCAAAAATGAAGCTCATACTTCATACTCCGCCAATGTGTCAACCCCGATTTTGGCGATCCACCAGGGTACATAGCACTACTGCTGCTAGTACGTAGATCGTGCGGTCTCCACTGGCAAGCGGGACCGCCAGGAGACTTCCTACGGTGTAGGAAGCATTTTAGTGATCTGGATACCCGTGGACACTCCTCGAAGATTGTTTGAATTTTGCAACCTGTTGAACACGCAAAGGGCATGTCACACAATCTAATTCTTACACCGCCATGCCTCTCCTTGCCCTGCCAAATGAGATCCTGCTGGTCATAGCAGAAGCGCTGGACTCCCAGAACAGCATAAACGCATTGGCAAGAGCAAATCGCCGATGCTGGAGTCTTTTGAACTCGTTTCTCTACGCATACAATGTCCAACACCATAATGGGGATGCACTTCATTGGGCGGCAAAACATGGCCGGCTACAAACAGCTCGAGAATCACTTCGGCAAGGCGCCCATGTTGAATCAATAGAATTTGATCTTCGACCTTTGAGCCAAGCTGCTCGCTCAGGTCATGCAGATATTGCTGCGCTTCTCGTGGCGCATGGAGCTGATGTCTACGCCAAGAAACACCGTTCTTCTGCCAATGCCATCACAATAGCTGCCCACGGCAACAAAACAAGCGTGCTTCGTGTGCTGCTTGATCATGGTGTGGATCCAAACTTCCAATGCCCGAACGAAGATAGACTATTGCATGTTACAGCCCAGAGGTCGACGCAAAGCCGACTGGCAATGGCGAAGCTTCTGGTTGAGAAAGGTGCCGACCTGGAGACCCTTTCGCATCTCTCCGAAACTGCTCTGCAAACAGCTTGCAAAGACGGCTCTTCAGAGGTAGTGCGTTATCTCATTGAATCTGGAGCCGACCTTGATAAACGGAGCCGTGAGGGAAGAACGTTACTACACCTAGCAGCTTATAAAGGCAATCCGGAGGCCATCGGGCAATTACTGGCAAAGGGCGTCGATATGGAATCCAGAGATAATGAAGGACATACACCATTCCATTTGGCATGCTATAACGGCCAACTCGAAGTGGCAATGCTCTTGCTGGATCATGGTACGAATATAGAGGCAAAGTCTTACAAAAGACATACACCACTGCTCATGGCAGTACTTTGGGAAACCACCGTCTATGTTGGGGTGGATTCAAAGCCCATTGGCATAACTTCTTTCTTGCTGGAGCGAGGCGCGGACCCAAACGAGCCAAACGACTCGGGCATCGCACCATTGCATATTGCAGTGGCAAAGGGGGATGCGCTGTGCAAGATGTTGCTCCAGCACGGAGCCGACCCAGACTTCAGAACTGAGACTGGCTCTACGCCGCTACACAAAATAGCATCAGGCGGCTCTATTGAGTCAGCGAGGCATTTGCTGCAAAGAGGCGCCGATGTGCAGCCAAAAGACGCGGACGGCAATACACCACTCCATTTGGCAGTGAGGAAGTATGATTCGGCGCTTGTGAGATTACTTCTTGAGGCTGGTGCCGACCGACTTGTCAAAAATAACCAGGGCCGGTTACCCATACATCTTGCAAAGGAGAACGCTGTGGGGACACCGCTCGCCAAGCGATTCAGGACTGAGGAGGTTATGGATCTCTTGGAAGATCTTCCCAAGGGGAGCAGATGAACAAAGACAGCCTTGGAATCATCAACTGAAAATACGGCACGGCTGGGACCCGTGCCTAATTAGAAGTAGATATAGTGGAAGCGCCACCTGAGCAGGCGACAGGCTTGAGCCAGAATATACATAAGTATTGACATGAATGTCCTCGAGGTCCAGAGATCATTAGTGAAGCACATGCAAACAGTTTATTGTGACCGACTATTAGCATTTCCTGACTACAAAAGTACATCCCCCAAAGCCCATCAAGGTGCCAGATAGCCGATAACTCCAGGTTTAAATCATTAAGAGCGACCATTATCCACCATTTACCGCCCTTGCATGAAGGAGCGGTAGAAATCATCAGCGGTATTGTCATTTCCCATGCCAGTGTTGTTATAACCGTACCCGAGACGAGCAGAGATCGATTGACCGGCCTTTTGAGCCGCAGCAACCTTGGTCTGCAGATCAGAAGTACCCTGGTCGATAAGTTGCAGTTGGGACAGGTGTGCGTTGAGAATGCGAACGATTTGCGAGATCTATAGAGACAGGTAAGTAGGTGCATCGGGCATGGATTCATAAAAGGAGTGTTGGCATACCGGCTCGTCAGCTTTGTTAGTCTTGCTCAGGGTAGATGAAGCGCTGTTCACCTCCTCGATCATGCTGGTAAGGTCCTTGCCCATCTCGTCCAAGCGCTCCGAGAGCTTCTCGGCCAATTTGTAACTATTGAGGTGGTAAGTAAAAATAAAATCCCTGGGGATAGTTAATGTGGTGAAACTTACGTTGCCTCGCGCTCCTGATCCGGCCCTTGAAGGGATTCCCCGGGGCCCACCTGCTTAGTGACCATCTCATCCACCTCATGTTCATATCGGTCAAGCCAGGAGCTCAGCTCATCTTGTTGGCCCTCAACTGCTGCTAGCTGGCGCTCAACCTCCTGGGTTGCGCGGTCCGCATCAACGGTGCTACCATATAGCTTCTGAACCTTGGTGCCATTGTCAACCAGTAAACGATCCCACTCGGAGACCTTCTCTGCCTGCTCACGGAAGTCCTTCTGGTATTTACCGAGGTCCGTAGCCCACCGAGTGATGATTTCATCCATGGTCTTATTTTTCAAGCGTGACTGTGCGGGAGGGGCCGGGCCAGCGGTTGATTGGCCAAGTGCAGAAGCTCCAGTTGGAGCAGTACTAGCAGGTGCAGCTGTGGCTGGAGCGGCAGTCTGAGTCCCGAGGGTGGGCGCTGCAGAAGGGGTTGTCGTAGGCGCGGAAGATGCAGCCTTCCCGAACAGACCACCCGCGGGGGCAGGTGTGGGAGCAGGCGCCGTAGTTGCTGCTGTTGTCCCAGGAGTTGTGGAGGAAGCGGAGCTGCCAATTCCACCAAAGAGACCTCCACTAGGGGCAGCCGCTGGAGTACTGGAGGGGGCAGATGTGGAAGTGGCGCCTCCTATGGAGGGAAACATGGACTTTTGGGGCGTGGCAGTTGAGGTGGCCGGGGCTCCGAGGGAGGGGGTTGTGCTAGAGGTCGTGGCAGAAGAAGCGCCACCAAGCGTTGGGAATGCAGGCTTCGGGGCTGAGTCTCCACCAGGAGTTGCTTTGTTGAAGAGAGACGGGGTCTGCGATTGCGCACCACCGGGGGCCGCGCCAAACAATGATGGCTTGGCAGCGTCTGGAGCAGCTGAGGGAGTGCTTGACTCGGCTGGTTTGTTTAAACCACCAAACAGACCGCCGGCAGGCGCAGCTGCGGTAGTGGCGGCTCCGCCAAATGACGGCGTGGGGGCAGCTCCACCACCACCACCGAAGAGGTTGCCAGATGGTTGTGAGATAGCGGGGGTAGTAGATGCTGCGGTGGAAGGGGCGGCGGAAGAGGGCTTTGCGGCCCCGAAAAGGGTGTTGGGAGGATTCGCTCCGGGTGGAGGCCCAGCGGGTGTAGTCGAGTTGGTACCAAACAGGTTATTTCCTACAGGAGCAGGGGTGGCTGTGGAGCCTGCACCACCGAACAAACTCCCACCTGCACCTCCAGCGGCTGGGGTAGCACCGAACAATCCGCCGCCAGCAGACTGCCCAGGTGTTGTCGATTCCGCGGTCTTATTGGGGGTTTGGCTGCCAATGCCGCCGAACAGGCTTCCTGCGGCTGGGGTACTTCCAGTCTTAGGCTGGGCGCCAAAGGAGAAGCCGGAACTGCCACCAGAGGGCGCATTTGCAGTGCCTGTGTTCCCTCCAAAAGATGGGGCAGCGCTAGAGCCGGCAGACGAAGCTCCAACATTTCCAAAGAGACCACCGCCGGACGCATTGTTATCTTTATTGGCGCCGAATGCATTGCCTGCTGTGTTAAAGAGGCCTCCACCACTTGCGCCGGTGGAGGCGGGTGTGCCGAAATTGAATGCCATATTGTGGTGCTGGCGCGGTCAAGGTGATTGAGCAAGCTTGCGGTGATGGGGAAAAAGCTGGACTGAGAGGGAGCGCCAGCGAAACGAGGCAGGAAAATGAGATCCTGCAGTATGGATCAAAGACCCAGCGATAAGAGAAAAATGCTCTTAATCGAATAAAACCGGTGAAAGAGACCGAGAATGGGATGAGGAGAAGCAATAGAAAATCCAAGGTTAAAGCAACAATAATCGGAAGGAGTTTGGCACGCGCAGCAGTGACCGCCTTGGAACTAAGGCGCATAGTATCGACACCTGATATATCTGGCAGAATAGCACACCTAAGGCCAACATGTTCTGGACTCACATCGATCGTAAGGGAAACAACTGTCGTCACTCCCACACTACCCCATAGCCCTCGGTTTAATTATTCTTGGTGCCCCTTCTTACATGTTAAAATCCTGATCTCCAAGCTGCAGCTATGTCGGAGGGGCCTTCCGATCTGCCCAATTCGCATCTAGAGCCCCCCAGGAAGACTACTGAAATGCAAGATTCAGGAGCTGGTGACCATAGTATGAACATCCCTATTCGTTGGGAATAATTTTGAGAACATATAATTGACTTATTTTTCCTACAGTCTCCGAAAGCGAGGACGAACACTTCTCAGATGCCAGTGAAGGCAATGCAGAGCCTCAGGCGCTCCCACAATCTGGACGCACTTCCCCTGTTCCGCGAACACGAGTCGAGAGGGTCGACAGTGGCGCCCAACATGGCGAGGTCCCTGGGACTGCAGCATTCGAAACGAGGGGGCAAGACGCCGTCCCTGACGAAATTATAGTGGTTCCAGAGGATACACACAGCCAGAACCAGTCGGCCGCGGGGTCGGAAGACCGACCTCTGGACTCCGAAAGCTCGCCCATCCCGCGGACAATGGTTGAGAAGGTAGATCCGGATGAACCTAGCCACGGCGAAGTACCGGGTACTCTGGCAAACGAAAAGCGCCTCGCCGATGCGGTTCCTGACGTGGTGACAAAAGCTTCGGACTCGGAGGGAAGCCCGACGCCGCCAGCTCTAGACCCTACGCCCCCAAATGATAACGTTTCCCAAGAAAACATCCCAGAGACACGACTTGAGCGGGTGGAAACCCTACCTGTTGGTGAAGAAGCATCCCCACACCCACAGGCTCACCAGAGCGCACCAAGTGACACATTACCCGATATGGTAGAAACCGTGCCAGATGTTTCAATGTCGGATGACCCCGAGCTTCCAGTCCAACATCTCTCTTTAGAAGAGAGGGATGCGAATGAATATGATGAATACGATGAGCAAGAAGATGAGGAAGAAATGGGGGACGATTTTGACGAATTCGTAGAAGAGCAGGATGATATGGGAGACGATGATTTTGGAGATTTTGATGACGGGTTTCAAGAGCCCAGTGCAGAGGATACAGAGGAGCCTCCGGCAGAAACAACTGCAGCATCTCAACAGCATCAAACACTCCCATCAGTTGTACGTCCTCACACCTAAAAATTGCCATCTTCCAACTAACATGAACACCAGCCCCCTCTCATTGATTTCAACACCTTCAACTCAACATCAGAACTCCTCAACTCCCTCCAAGACACCCTTGACAATCTCTTCCCCTCATCCAACGACCTAAGCTCCCTCCCCGCGGTCGAGCCAATCCCAGACTCAACCGCAATCTTCAGCACCGAGCGCTCCCTCTCTCTGTGGTCCCAACTCGTCGCACCACCACCCCTTCAACCTCAAAATTGGGTCAAATCCCGCATCCGTCGCCTATTCCTAGTATCATTGGGCGTCCCCGTTGACCTTGATGAGATTCTCCCAGCCTCAAAACAGAAAAAGCTCATCCTCCCCTCCATCGACCTAGAAGGCACAGGGGCAAAGAGCCCCCGCTCAACTAGCCAAGTCCGCAAAGAAGGCGCCCAAACAGACCCCGAAAAGGGGCCTCCTCCGCGCCAAAGGACCTCTCGGCGTACCGATCCATCCCCGCCGAGCATGGACCTCTCGGCGGTTCGTCGACTGTGTGCCACTACCGATGCTGCGCTGGGTGGCCTCACCGACGCGGAATTGAAGTTGCATGTCCAGGAATTGGAACAGGTTACCCAGCGTGCTAGCGCGGTGCTTGAACACTGGCTTAAGCGGCGGGATGGCCTGGTTGGTGAAAAAGAGGCTTTCGAGGGCGTTATTGAGAACCTTGTTAGCCATGTTCGGAGAGTCAGGAAATAGTCTTTTCTCTTCCGGGCATGTGGGGTATACACTATCTAAATGTCCAATATAATGAACTCTGTATAATCTAATGTTGATAGCAAAGTCTCCACACAACGTGAATGTCTTCCCTCTTGTATACTTAAGTGGTATGTCCAGGCGTGGGTGGATGCTTCATAGGATCCGGTGTTTACTGTTGGGGAGCATGATTCATTCTGGAAATGAGATGGAATGGAATGAGATTGAGACTAAGAATAGATAATATCTACACAAATGCCTTAACAAAATATTTTGGTCCACTCTGATCCCAGCGCCGGCCAAAAGATGGCGAACAATTAAAATCGGGAACACCCGTCAAGTCCAGTCTTCTGGCGCCAGTAATAATATGCAGTCGAGGAGCGTTGGTAGCACGCAGCACGGGGTATCTTGCTTTTTGAAATACATGCAGACGTAAACAAAGAGGTTTGTGTAAAGGACAAGACAAAATAAGCAAGGGCAAGAAGGGAAAGCGCAAAATCAAATGATCCAAGCCACTGTGTTCTGAAGATGGACCCAAAGCAGAGTGGATTTTTTGACAATGAGAGGCGGCGGCAAAGAGACTTCAATCCAGCTCAATAATCTCGTGGCTACGAGATGGGGCAGATGGCGGTTGTTGTTTGCTCGGTTCCTGTTTTGGACGCACAGCCACATGCTCTGAGATTGTCGAATCTGGGGCCTTGCGTTTGAGCGAATCTGGGTTTGCAGGGCTCTTTGAAGTCTCGGATGAAGCCTCATCGGAGTTGACTTTGAGAGTCCATGTGCCATCAGCCTTGATTTGAATCGCTTTAGCTTCCTCCAGCCGATTGGTCTGGACCACTTCTTCGTGAACCTCAGCGAGGAAGCGATCAACAACGAGCAGCTGTGGGCGTGCATCTGTCTTGCAAATTGGGCACTTCCACTCCTCGATCATTGGAGTCGGGCCGGAGACAGACTCTCGGGTTTTAATAAAGGTGTCCCGGTCGAAGCATTCGCTGTGGGTGCATTTCCTTGACCGAGCAGGAATGTCGAAAACCCGAGCAGTGAAGGGATCAACAAGGTTGATGGTAAGGTTGTCGGTGACAACGGCCAGATCTTCATCTTCAGTGAGGGGGGCAAGACGCTTCACAATATCAGCGCGGGACTCTGCGGCTGAAATAGGCTGTACCATGCCAAGTACACCTTCAAAGCTAGTGACTTCCATGACTTCAACGGCGAAGAAGTACTTGATCTTTTTACACTCATCCTTTCCAAGAATCAGGTCTATCCGGATAGAGTTCTCGCCCATCTTCAGGTTTTTGGTGATGTCCAGAGCCAGGTCTTTGAGATGTTGCACCTTTCGGCGCACCTGAAGTTCCGTGCCATTCACGTTGATGTAGAAAACGCTAGGCCAGAATGTGGTACTGGTAATCCATGTATCGTGGTCAAATGATTTTGGGTCTCCCGCATGACTGATGCATCGCAGGCGGATGGTGCGATTTCCGGGTTGGTAAGTCCAGGTCGCGGGACCTGTTCCGTTTGCTTCGGTGATGTATGGGAACCTTCTGAAATCATCATCGTTGAGACGGAACTTCCAGGTATAGCTCGGCTCATCAGCCTTGATGAGACATGGCGGTATCAGAAAATCACCGAAATAGACAAACAATTCGGTGTCCGCCAGTTGTCCGTCTGGACCTGGTCTCACTAACTTCTTCATGGGATCACGGAGGTTCGCTAGGTGTAGACCGAGCCGCATAGGATCACCATTCACAGTCACCGGTGCGCGATAGCCGGGCGCAGGAAATAGAGGAGATGAAAGTCGGGACTGTGGCGGTGGTGGATGAGTGGAGTGAGGCAGTGGAGGTGGGTGAGGAAAGTGCGAGGCCTGGGATGAGTGAACCCCTTTTGCTGTTTGAGCAGATGATACAAGAGGTAAGTGAGAACCCGGAGAGCGTTGATGACTTGATCGTTGAGACAACTGTGAGACCACCTGACTAGTGTTGTGGCCTGAGTGGGCGAGAGTAGATGGAGGGAGGGGTGACTGGGTGTTGGGTAAAGGTTGAGGTGGAGTGAAAGCAGTTGGGGATGAGTGGGCAGAATTTGCTGGATTAGGGACTGAAGGTTGAGAGAAATGGCCTACTCGCGGACCCCATACAATTCCCATCTGACTATTTGAAGGGGGCACTTGTCCATAACGCAGCGCCTGTATGTGCCTTTGTGCTAGTATTTGCGCCTGAGCACTGTGTAATTGAGGACTCTGTGAGCTCTGAGGACTCTGCATCTGATGAGAAACTCCATCAAAACCATACACTAATGACGGCCCCTGAAGGTACTGGGGCACATGTGAACCTTCCAATGCCTGCACTGGGATATTTCCACCCAAAGGTGGGGTTTGTCCAGCTGGTCTCGGGTGAGCTGCTTGTATTGGGGGACTTGGAACAGGATGAGCAGCAGGCGAGCTATGAGGGACCATGGTCTGAGTGATATCAGGAACTGGAGATGGGGCAGCAATTTGAGCCCTATCTGCAGGACGGGTTGCAACTGGCCTATTTGGATGGACAGTCTGACGTTGATCTTGGGGCAATCGTGGGAATTTAAGATACTCCCGTATGAGCATCTCATCATGAGTTCGGATCCTTTCAGGAGGCTGTTGGGTCTGCCAGAACATCCAATCACCCCAGAAATGTCGCTGCAGGTGTCCAACATATTGCTCTTTGTGTAGATGCCGGGAGACACAGGTGAACATCACCGACATCATGACTGGAGAGGGCAGCGCAAAGTGTTTGACCATATCTGTCACCAATGGAGGACGGTTGGAAGAGGCCCAGGAGTGGATCCATCTATGGGCCACATGGGCGAGGAACAAAGGGACACTCTTGATTGTATGTTGATACCAAGCTCGTTCAAGCAATCGCTCTGGTGAATCTGGGAAATGCGCAAGTCTGAAGGTGGCCGAGAAATGCATCTTATGATTGTCTTCCAGCAGGCTGGTCAGTGTCTGGACCCCTTGCTCTGAAGCTCCAATGTGAGATATGGATGAAGGGTCAATGGTATACAAACAGAACACCTGGTGCACCACCAGATAGAAGGAGTCCCGGTTGGAAATAGCCCTGCGTAGCAAGTCAAGCCGAGGCTTGAGGATACTGGACCCCCCAGCCGTGGCAGGCTTTAACAATCCATTTTGAGCAAATCCAACATTCATTGCCTCCAACTGAGCCAACCATTCGTTCCATGTCGCTTCGGATATAGCTGGAGATGGTAGTCCAGCTCTGTCCATCGGCATGGCAGGCCTGGGCACCTGCATGTGCCCTTCCTGGACTGCCTGGACTGTCTGCCCTGTCTGCCCTGTCTGCGCGACTGATGATGCTATGCCTCCCGCGCCAGGGTCCCGTTGGGTGCCGTTGGGTCGAATCGCCATCGGGGCATCATTTCCGTCCACCGGCCGTGTCGGGACTGGCGGAACGATTGGCGGTACAGTTGGCGGTACGGTCGTGCAGTCTTCAGCTGCATCGGCAGTGATAGGACTCGGGTGGGAAATTGTCGGTGCTGGGGACGGGATGGTGGTGGCGAGAGTCGCGTCGGGTTTTTCTGCCGTACTGAGGTTCTCTGCCGGATTTGGGATGTCTCCGGGGGTGATCGGGGTCATCAAGACAGCGTCTTCAGGCGAGACACTTGGAGGGATCGAGACTTGATCATTTGGGAGAGGTCTAGGCACCTCACGTCGAGGCTCCACAGCTCCCATCCACTTCCTCCTAACACCGCCTAGGAAGAGACTGGCGGTTGAATTGGATTCACCGATGTTTCTAGGAGATTGGGGTGACACCATAGTGAATGTGGCATTGTCAACTGTATCATAATTTCCGTCCTAGGATATGATGCTTTGTTTGTTGGCAAACAAAGAAATCGGGCAGGGGCTAGGTACTTTTTTTTTCTTTTTCAAATTTGACAAAAAATCAAAGTCCAGGCTTCTTTAACAATACAGAGTACGAAGGATCTTCGTATTGGCTGTTCGCAGAGAACCTTGAAAAAAAGACTATTAAGAGTATCAAGGACCACAGAGTTGAGGAATGGCCGGGTTCGGGTTCGACGCAACCAGTTCACGCGTGAATTGTCCAATTGTTTAGTTTGGTAGTTTAATTAAATATCCTAAATATACACTAATAATATACTAATATATACTAATATATACTAATATATACTCTACTAATATATCACGCTAATGCTTACCTTTTACCCCTCTCGTGTACTCCCATTTGACTTGCGACTGAATTTCGACGGAGTTTGTGTCCAGACTCTTGACGGTCCGCACACGTCACTTGCGGATTTTCTTCTTTTCTTCTCTTCTTTTATTTTCGCTTGGCTCGCTTTGCTCCGAGTATTTTGGCCTTCATCTTTTATATATATATACAACCCTGGTTAATTGACTTCGGTCATATACCTCTTGTGCTCGAGGTGCGTGCGAGCCCCGCGAAATTGGACCAAGCTAACATCTCAGCTCAGATTCCTCCAACATTCTCTCCCTTCTGTGTTAATTTCTTTCTGTTTACCCCCCGAAAAGGGCGCTTGCGCTCGATGCGTGATCGTGATTCCTCTCAATTCTTTTCCCCGATCAATACCTAGGTATTCAGGATGGTTACCATGGGCCCACCTCAGGGCGTTCGTCCTGGTGACGTTCTGGAGGTAATCCGTGAGTGACGTCGGGTGCGACACCTCGATCGCAAGCTAATATGTGTGTTCCAGATGATTTTGGTGGTCGTGGTGAAGATGAACTGGTCATGATGCCGCGGGATAAGATCGAATTGATCGAACTCGATGAAGAATTCGGCGATGCCTGGTATCTCGGCAAAAACCTGAGAACCGGCCAAACCGGTCTCTTTCCAGCTAGTATGCGCTCCCTTGAAGACCTTCCCCCCGACTGGAGGTCGGCCAGTTAATGCGCGCAATAGATTTCACCAAAGCGGCCCCGCGGAAGACTCTCGCCGAATCGCCCGTCTTCCTCGAGTCGCCTGTACAATTAGAACCTGACGCACCCGATTCATCATTCGCACAGATCGGCAGTGGGCAAAGCACCCCTCAGGCGTCGCGCCACGTTAGTACCGCCGACATGCACTCACCTCAGGTCGGCTCGCCAACTCAACAGCGATCCGCATCGTCCCCGCTGCCCCAGCCGAGTCTGGCGGCCGATATTCAGCAAGCCTTCCGCAGCCCTATGGACAACCATATGAATGGCGAAGAAAGTCCGGTGATGAACGAGACGCTGAGCGTGATTGATGAGCACATTACCGGGATGAATACCCCGCGCCACAACAGTGTGTCGACACAAGAACCGAAAACCATGAACGATTCCGCCAGCGAGTACAGCAGCCACATCGACCACAGGGCTTCGTATATAAATGGTCACGAAACCGATGATGAGGAGAAAGCCCATCCCACGGAAGAGGAGGTTCGCAACTGGAGTCAGTTGGAGACATCCAGATGTTTGCGCAGTCTCGATATCGATGCGAAGCATTGCGACATTTTTGAAGAACAGGAGATAACGGGTGATGTTCTTCTTGACATGGATCAGGATTTCATTTTCATGAAGGAGTTCGACTTTGGTGTCATGGGGAAACGATTGAAAACCTGGCACAAAGTCAAAGCATTTCAGGAAGAAGTGAAGGGCTACAATCAGCAAACAGCCCGGGGATCCATTTCCAGTCTCTCGGGCCCTTCGGATGAGCGCACACTTTCGCGCGCTGGTCACACTGGCCCGCTTTTGCCCCGGATTCCCACGTTGTCAGAGAAGAATGGCGCAGGATACCCACGAGCTTCAGCGCCCGCGCAACACCCACGATTGACCAGCAACAATAGCTCCCCTATGACTCCGCATACACCTCCTTTCAGCCATGATTCGCCCAGGAGAATCTCAGCAGCCTCAATCCGCGAGCTTAACCACACGCGCCGTCATTCGTCCATTGATGCCACTCAACGGGGTGTGTCTGATTCAGGCTTCCATCAAAAGAAGCCCTCCTTTGATCGCTCCTGGACTCTGAACTCTGGCCCGCATACTATGCCGGCTCGTCCAGGGACCTCACTCGGAACGACGTCCGGCTTCCGGGCACCACTGATGGGGGAGTCTGACTCTGTCAGCAATTCGTACACCACTACTCCCGATCAAACAGATGATCTAGATCGGGGCTACTTCTCAGGCACTGAGGTTGATTCGCGCCGTAACCGTCGGGTTTTACAGAAGCGCAGCTCTACCGGTGGGAGTATGAATCACTCTCGCAAGTCGAGTTATGCGGATGATCCATACAGGGTCATCTCACCAGCAAAGCGCCACTCTCGTGTCAGCAGTGTTGACTCGATCCGTGAAGCCGCCAAGCATGTGTCCCCTGCAGCCCAGGCCTATCATGGCACCCCACCAAAGAGTCGCCTGCGCAGTCTAAGCACGCGTGTCTCAGAGCGTGGAGGCTCTAACTCTCAATCATCAAATTCCGAGGGCAAGAGCGGCGGGTTCTTCGCCAGCTTCCCTCGGGTTGGAAGGAGCGACTCGGACAACTCGGCTCGTCCTTCGCCGACGCCGTTCCAGCCACTGAAGAATGCAGGCCCCAAGTTCCGTCGGGCTATGGGTCTCCGTGCCATCTCTGACGTTGTCGGGAAAAAACTCGATACCTCGGCGCCCGCTTCGCCGAAGGAATTTGATCCCTCGCCTGCTCGCACCGGGTCGACCACTCCATCAGCGACGTCGAAGAGCTCAGAGCGCCATAGCACGGATGGGTCTGGTAAGGCCGTTGATAGCCAGGCCCTTGCTGTTCGCCCTCGTACTGTCAAGTCTAAGAAAGAGACCAGTGCCTATACCCGCGGTCTTGAGAAGAAGTCGCCGCAGGAACAGGTGGACGGTTGTGACTATAGCGGGTGGATGAAGAAGAGATCCTCCAACTTGATGACGACCTGGAAGCCTCGTCTGTTTGTTCTGCGTGGCCGTCGCCTGTCATATTACTATTCCGAAGACGACACCGAGGAAAGGGGATTGATTGATATCACTGCCCACCGCGTTCTCCGAGCGGATCAAGATCCTATAATTGCCCTCCATGCAACAATCACCGGATCAACTGCCCTGCCGGCAAATGCCAACACTACTGTCGACAGTACAGGTGGGACCAAACTCACAACTCCTTCGGTCATCCAATCGCTCACTAGCAAGGATGGGAGTGGTCCATTCTTCTTCAAGCTCGTGCCCCCAAAGATGGGCAACTCTCGCACCGTCCAATTCACCAAACCCGCCACCCATTACTTCCAAGTTGACAATGTTCAACAGGGTCGCTTGTGGATGGCCGCCCTGATGAAGGCGACCATCGAGCGTGATATGGGCAAGGCCGTTGAAATGACCAATAAACAAAAGACTATCAGTCTGAAACAGGCCCGCTTGATGAACCAGCGACCACCCGAGCTGATGCCCGCTTCTGGCAGCACCAAGACGGAGCAAACGATAGACGAGGAAGAGGAAGAGGCTGCTCCTCAGAAGGACAGCTTTGACCTCTCCAACGGCCAGGCCAATTCCATCAATAACCACAAGGAAAGCCTGGATAATGGTTCCTCTGGCTCCAACGATCCCAATGGCCTTGACCGGCCGATGTCAAATCACAATGGCGATCTTCATTCTGCCTTGCTCCCTGATCCTTTGGCCAAGACAGAGTCCAAGTGATCTTTTATATTTTATCATTTCTTCCTACCTTTCTTATATTTCCTTCACTTCTCAATTTTGCTCGAGCCATCTTCTGCTTCCAGCTATTTCTTTCACCTCCCCCCTTTTTTTCTTCATGATTTGATCATTTTTGTACCCTTTTCTGTACCCTTTTGCTGGCGTTTGATGTGATATACCCCTCGCTCAGCCTTCTTTCCTTTGTTTATGATCTCGGACCCTTTTCTACGTTGGTTGCGAGGGATTTATATGGGAGTGTATGATTGACTTGCTTACGGATATGAAGTTGACTGACGGTTTGAAGCTGAGTTGTTTTTTTTTTATAATAATCTCACTTATGTAGATAAATTATCCCCTTATATCAATTTAGTCGATTTTGTGAATTTCCACCACTGTGTACATTGCATCTAGGGCTTCCATCAGTAACCGTTCTTCTATATACTGACCGCTTTTGTTCCACCTGGCAGTATCCTCACTCGGGCTCACGGGCACCTGAAGTTCGGATTATTCAACTGTTCAGTCAAATGAATTAGTTGAAGAAAAATAGTTTTGGGCTGCAATGGGCCAAGGCTTGAGCTCTGAGCAAGTGGTGATTCCAACGCCAGGACTTTCTCATTAGAATCACAAGATCACCGGCACTTGTTACCATTTACCCACTTCTTCTTCGCATCTACTCTCCGTACCCCAGGTCGCATACTCAACATGCTGTATATGTTTCAATAATACCCTATCCTTCTGTCATTCTAGCATTATTCTTCATGTTTCTCCGCTGGCTGCTTTCTCGCACCTTTGCGCTTCTCATTCCCTTCGCAGTTACCGCCACTGTTTACCTCTATTTATACCCCGTCCTCAATGGATGCGCCTTTCCTCTACCGCAGACTCGGGTCTCAAATTCCAGCGGGCACGATACTCTAGGACCACTACATCGCAATGCCGTGCTCAACACCCTCACCCAACACCTCGGCATCTCAGCCCTGGAACCAGACAACCAACCCGCAATCTTCAGACTCCTGGTCCTTGCGGACCCCCAATTAGAGGGCGATACGTCCCTTCCATTCCCCGAATATGAATTATACCCTCGCATGCGCACCCACTGGCTCGCCGTCCAGGAAGCAATCGGCAATGCCTCGACCTTGTCGCAAACCTCCCCATTCCTAACCCTCCTGAACGACGATGTTCTCTCGAACATCACAACCGGCCTTCGAACCCTGGCCTCCGAAGACATCCCCCGCGCCTTCAAGTCGGCTTTGAAACGCCTAGACCTCTTCGGCAACGACTACTACCTCGCGCATATCTATCGCACTCTCTTCTGGTGGACCCGACCCACGCATACTACAGTATTGGGCGACTTGGTTGGAAGTCAATGGATATCAGACGAAGAGTTTGCACGACGTGGTGATCGCTACTGGAACCGAGTGTTTCGGGGCGGCCAGCGCGTCGACGATAATATCACCCAGACAGGCGCCGCAGGCTGGGGCCAGGGCACAAATGACCAGTCGACCCCTGTTGAATCCCTCGACGCGGACTCGTCTTGGGCGCGGCGTTTGATCAATATTGCGGGGAATCATGACATCGGGTATGCAGGCGATATCAGTGAGGCTCGCATGGAACGGTTTGAACGCGAGTTCGGTCGTGCTAATTGGGATATTCGCTTTGAACATCCGCCTGTCTTGCGCAATGCTTCTTTGGCGCCTGGTGGTGACGATCGGACTGTTACGCCGACTTTGCATTTGATCAATCTCAATACTCTTATGTTTGATACTCCTGCCCTCTCCTCTGACATCCAGAGCAATACTTATACTTACCTTAATGAGTTGATTGCTCATCGGCTCTCTCCGGTCGAGGACCGGTCAGAGTTTACGCTCCTCTTGACTCATCTTCCTCTCCACAAGAAGGAGGGGGTTTGCACTGACGCGCCGTACTTTTCGTTCCATGAATCTGACGATGATGATGGACCAAATGGTTTGCCGCGTTGGCTCGACGGCGGGCTCAAGGAGCAGAATCATCTCGGTGATTTCATCAGTTCTGGCGGTATCCTACAGGGAATCTTTGGCATGAGTGGCGATGAAAGTACGCCTGTCGGCGGCAGGGGTCGCAATGGACTCATTTTGACAGGACACGATCACGCTGGTTGTGATGTTCTTCACTATGTCAACCGGACGGCCAAGGAATCCGTCGACGAGGAGAAAGACAAGCAGAACTCCACTGCTGATAGTCCCGTCCAGAAGTGGCAATGGGATGCTGAACGATTTGATAAGAATCACCGTATCGAAGATCCTGCCATCCGTGAGGTGACTCTTCGCTCCATGATGGGAGAATTTGGCGGCAACGCTGGTCTTCTCTCAGCCTGGTATGATGTTGCGGCCGGCGAGTGGAGCTATGAGATTACCATGTGTCCTGCTGGAGTGCAACATATCTGGTGGGCTATTCACATTCTGGTGCTTGTGACACTGGTCGTGGGTCTGCTTTGGTTCTTGACTACTCTGATTGAAGGTGGTGGATCAACAACGAAGCAGACCATTCACCTGAAATCACCAGAGGCTCGACAAGAGAAGGCTCGTCGGCCAACTGCACAAAAGACATGATTGTTCTGTGGATATGTATATTAATGTTTTCTCTGTGTCAACGATTCTTATAGATGAGTAAGGTGTGTCCGCAAACAACCCTAAGGAATGGGATCGAAAGAGTTCTAAGTTCCAAGGTCTCCGATCTATAGATGTTCTGGAGCACATTGGAGACCAGAGATACTTAAGTATATAAAGATTTATGACGTTACCGCATACACTAAAGGTGCAGACTGCACATGTAAACACCGCAGCAGTAGACGGCATCCATCTATAGATGTCCATGGGCATATAGCTAGGTATGCGAAGCCTACGACGAGGTCCATTGGGTAGTTGTGTAAAGAACCAGGACCATTGACCCTTCGAATACGTGGAGCCCAAAGCCATTGAAAAAGGATGTGATTTTTTTTCAAAAGTAAAAAATACTTCCGAGTCGCCAGTAAAGGAAGGGAGGAACACGAAGATGGAGGATAAAATCGGCTTTAAAATAAAACAGTTGTGGTTTCGTCAAATGGACACGACTGTCCAGCTCCCATTTTAATCCTATGGTCTCATATGCACCGCGTTCCAGGTCCCAAGCAGATTTCAGGTTTGGTATCGTTTTTCTTTAAATTCAGATTTTATCTCTCTTTACATAACGACACCGGAGTTGGAGGCAATACGCTGTAGACACAAGTTAGTTTCGCGATCATGGAGAACGAAGGGAATAGGAATGAAATCCCATTCCCTAGCAGGGGAAGAACGTACGGGCCAAAGCTCAGCAGCCTCCTTTCCGACGGGACCAGTGATGGCGGAACCCTTCATCTCACCCTTGGCGTTGACGATAACACCTGCGTTGTCCTCGAAGTACAGGTAGATACCGTCGGGGCGGCGCCAGGGCTTGCTCTGGCGGACAACGACGGCGGGCATAACCTTCTTGCGGAGCTCGGGCTTTCCCTTCTTGACGGTGGCCATGACCATGTCTCCGACACCGGCAGCGGGGAGACGGTTCAGGCGGGCACCGATACCCTTGACGGAGATGATGTACAGGTTGCGAGCACCGGAGTTATCGCAGCAGTTCAGCACGGCGCCACTGTTCGACGAAAACGAATCCGTTAGTCTTCTTATTCTTCTTGCGTATTCTGAATCGTCGTGTTTCATATGCCGGTTCTGAAAGCAGGTGGGGTTCCTCATTTCCTATCCATGTCCGCCGATCTTGGGTGTTCATCTTCATGGGAGAGCGTTGTTCTTCGCGATCGATCGACTGGAAACGACTGTGGGATTCGGGCGGACATGGAGGCGCATTCGAAACAGACTAGACGATAAGAAACTTGAAAACGTACCAGGGCAGACCGAGGGTCATCTTCAGCTTGTTGCCGGCGGCACCGCCACGACTGTATATCCGTTAGTGAAAATGTTCCTTGTCGCCTCGTGTCATTTTCAATCCGGGCCCATTTCTATCCTCTCGACACAAGTTTGTCGTGTATGTGTGCTGCTTGTCGGTTCAAAGATTTTCTTTCGAGACTTTCAGGTCTTTGTGCGCTTGTGTCGTTCGGGATCGAATTGGGCCACGGGACTGGGTTGTTGATGGACTCACCCTCTCTTAGACATGATGGCTGAGTATCACGGGAAAGTTGGGTGAAAAGGGTTGGCGACAAGGTCGAGAGTTCCGGACGACGACGTTCCAACCTGGAGGTGTGCTTTCCCTCGCTTAGTGGGCGGGTTTGGTGCGTAAAATCTTGGCATCCGCATGTGATTGGTTGTTGCAGTCCACTGACTTTGCCCTAATACTAACCCCATTCGGGATAGCCCCAATGAGCCTGAGGCGCCAATTCGATCTACGATCTATACCCAGGTTGGTTCAAGGACATCACTATAATCTTCTATGCACGCTATGCGATGAGATACCGGAAATGGAGAATTAAGTTTCGCTGCATATCTCATTGAATAATACATACGGTATTCATAAAAAATTAGGTGGGGGAAATAACTGAAAGCAAAGAGCAAAACTTCAAAGATGATTCCTTCTGAAAGTTGAGCAATCCCCATAAAGCAAGCCCGCCAGCCGAAGTCCTTGGACACTTAGCGGATGTGTGGTGTGGAATGGGCGGTCTCAGATCGGGCTTATTTTACCATTCTGCCACGAGTATGAACAGCCACTAAGTGTCCAGGATAATGCGAGCACGCTGTCAAACCGATAACACCTTTCTGCTATTGTCCGTTGCGCCAGATCCGATATCGTCGTTTGGATAACAACCGACTACTCCTCCTTCTTGACGTCTCCAGGTTGTGTCGGGTTCTCTTCCTTAGTAATTGTCGCTTCGGTGTCTGCAGCGGGCGCAGAGGTCTCGGAAGAGGGCTCAGCACCCTTCAAGCTAGCCTCTGCAGTGTCGTTCAGGGGTGAGTTGTCTCTGCCAGGAGATGTGGCGGAGGGTTCGGCCTGAGGAGCATCTTCAACGGGTTTCTTGATATCGGCGTGGCTAGTATCTTGCTCTGACAGAGTAGGTTGTGGGACAGCAGCGGCATCCTCCATGGGGGTATCCACATCGTTAGGGGGAGGTGACAGGCGCTGGGGCGTAGCGGAGGCTGCCTCCTCATTTCCCGTAGCCATGCGGTCTGCATCTGTCACGGGTGTGTCCTCGGCGTGCGAAGCTTCCGGCGCAGTGGAAGCTGCTTCAGGCTCAGTGCGTGGGGCATCGGTCATTTTAGCGTCCAGGGTGGAATCCATTTCCCCATCCGCGGCAGACGAAGCATCCTGCGGGGTTGCCATTCCGCTGTCCAGCCCAGAGTCTGGCTCAAGGTTGCGGTAATTGACTTGATTGCGGCGACGAATGGCACCTGGCTGGCGACGGACACCGTTGGCGGCATTTTCTTCCTCGTCCTCGCTATCGCTGAGTTCACCAGCCTTCTCTGTGTATTGGTCGAATCGGCGCTGGGTGAAACGCTTGTCTTTGTTTTCATCATCATCGAGGTCGTCCATTACATCGTCGGCCTCATCATCCATGCCATCCAAGATCGGGTTTCGGGGCACATCTGTCATTTGAACCGAGGGGGCAAAAGCTGTGCGCTTCAAATTTTCAATAACTTGGTTGCGAATCTTGTCAAGGTATTCTCTGGTATTGGCATTGTCCATATTCGAAGGGCGGACATCAAGCTCATAGTCGGGAGCAAAGTACTATGACCAGTTAGTATCATCTAACTTCATAAACAGGCGGAAATGTCTTACCTCATAGTAGTCGTTGTATGGCAACTCAGATTCAAGACCCTCCCCGACAAGAATACCGGTCTCATAAGCCCAGGTTCGCGCGACATTGCGCATAGTGTAACCACCACCTCCAAGGATCAAGGTTGGCAGATCGAAGCTCTTGATGAAGTTGACACAGTTGGCATGTCCGCGCATACTCAAGTTGAAGCAGCCCAAGCGATCACCAGAAAGACTGTCACCGCCGCACTGGAGAACCACAGCCTCTGGGCGATACCACTCCATAACATTCTTGATGACGGGCTCGAAAATGCTCTTGTAGGAGACGTCGTTGATTCCATCACGGAGAGGGAAGTTGACCGCATAGTGCTTTCCTTGCCCAACACCGATGTCGCGAAGCTCACCGGTACCAGGGAAATACTCGCCATACTTGTGGAAAGACACAGTCATGACGCGATCAGTTGTATAGAATGCTTCTTCAACACCATCGCCGTGGTGAACATCAATATCAACGTAAAGAACCCGTTGCTTGAAGCGCAGAAGCTCGAGAATGCCGAGAACAATATCTGGAGTAAGTCAGCTTGATGCTCATGGTATTTTCGGATGAAGGGGGAACTCATACCATTGACATAACAGAAGCCACTTGCTTCGCTCTTTTTGGCGTGGTGAAGCCCACCAGCCCAGTTGACAGCAACATCACACTTGTTGCGATTCAGTCGCGCGGCACCTTCCATACTACCTCCAGCACTGATACCGCAGAATTCGAAAAGCCCGTCAAAAACCGGACAGTCGTCACCGACATTGTACCGACTTTGTTCCTTGGAGAACTGATCCATGTTGTCTGGTGTCACTTTGGACAAGAAATCAATGTATTCATCGGTATGGAATTGTGTCATTTCGTACTTCGAAGCGGGTTTCGCTCGCTGGAAGATTGGCGCGTTAGCAACCAGAGAATCTTGGGGAGAAACCGGCTGAATTCACTCACATAGATTTCCATTTTCTTGTAAAGCCCGTAGTTCATCACGAGACTGTGCGTCATTCGTATGCGATGGGGCTTCATGGGGTGGCCTGAGACGTAGGCATAATTACCCACATCGGAGTCGTAGAAGTAGGCGACCTTCTTGTTCTTGGAACCAAGAAGGCCATTGGAGATGGGCTCCGCAGCCATATCGCAGGGCGGCCGAGGAGTTAGCGGTTAGGTGGGGGTATTATCTTCTAGAGGGGCGAGGGTTGGAGTGTGAAGATCTGAGGGTCGAAGTATGCGGTTAGAGGAGAATTGAAGGCGCGATGCAAAGATACTCCCAAAGAGAGCAGCAGAAGGCACGGCACCCAATCACCAGATCCCACAATTCGAAGACTGGGCAGCAGAGCTATTAAAGGAAGCAAGCCAATGTCATAGTCGAGGCTTGACAAACTGGGGTGGAGGAGAGTCTTGGAGAGATCCATCGCGTGGACGGGCGAACCCTCTCACCGCCTTCGTCAGGCAAAGCTCCCACGGCTTGCTCATCACAGACACGTCTTCGACACTTTCCTGTCTTATTGGCTTTGGGTAACTATTGCATCCGTCGAATTCTCGTTATCTTTCCCCCAAAACAACCTTCAAACACTTGATTATCCAGGTTGCTAGAGACAATCGAGCGTTCCGCAGCTTCCAACTAGGAAGCTATCATCTTCTTACACAACTCGCTCCATCGAATCTTGCTTGATATCACTCAGAAATTATGGATCGCCTTAACCGGATGCTCCAGGCCGCCCAAGGCATGGGAATGGGAGGTGCTGCTCCTGGTGGTGTAAGTTGGATTGCATCCCCGGTTTCGCCATGCGTCTACCTACCCCAGCTTCGCTGGGAGGTATCAATGGCATATATCACCTCCGCCGGTCTCCATTATATCAAGTCCTCGAGGTCAAATTACTGACAAAATCATATTTAGGATACCCCGAATCTGATTGATAACTCCGAAACCGTTCACATATCTTCCTTGGCTCTGCTGAAGATGCTCCGACACGGCCGTGCAGGTGTCCCGATGGAAGTTATGGGTCTTATGCTTGGTGAATTCGTCGATGAATACACAGTCCGCGTAGTGGACGTCTTTGCTATGCCTCAGAGTGGTACCGGAGTCAGTGTCGAAGCCGTGGACCCTGTGTTCCAGACCAGGATGATGGAAATGCTCCGACAGACCGGACGGTAAGCTACTATCTGGAATTGAGAATATTACGAAGCTAATCGGGACATTTCTGTTTAGACCCGAAACTGTTGTTGGTTGGTATCACTCTCACCCTGGTTTCGGCTGTTGGCTTTCTTCCGTCGATATCAACACCCAACAATCCTTCGAACAGCTCACGCCACGCGCGGTTGCTGTTGTTGTTGACCCTATCCAATCAGTGAAAGGAAAGGTTGTCATTGATGCGTTCCGTCTCATTCAACCCCAGACAGTAGTCATGGGCCAGGAACCCCGTCAGACCACATCCAACTTGGGTCACCTCAACAAGCCTTCAATCCAGGCTCTGATTCACGGTCTTAACCGACACTACTACAGCATTGCGATTGATTATCGCAAGACTGGCTTGGAAGAAAACATGTTGATGAACCTTCACAAGCATGTATGGACCGAGGCCTTGGAGATGAGCGATTTCCACGAAGAGGGTCAGCACAATGTGGAGCAGATGAAGCAGCTTGTCCTTCTTGCCGAAGGCTACGAGAAGCGGATCAAGGAGGAGACCGAGCTGTCCAAGGACCAGCTCAAGACAAGATATGTTGGCAAGGTCGATCCCAAGAAACGTATGCTCCCTTTTTCCTCCACGCCGATCTGTTCCTTAATACTAACCTTCTTCGCAGACATCGAGGACTTAAGTCAAAAGCTGATTGAGGATAACATTGTTGCCGTTTCGCGGCAAATGATTGATAAAGAAGCTTCGGTGGCACGGCAATCATCGGCCAAGGAGGAGACGAACGGCGCCGTCATGGAAGTGGACGAGGATCTCTAAAGGGTTATACATTGTACGAATCCTCCAGCAACGCTTTAATTACGATATCTTTGATTTCCATGGACCACCACGTGTGGGACCATTATGATTTCCTGGTTGATACAGTGTGTAGACTACAATAAAAGAAATCTGGAATCACTTGGTGCCAGCCCTTGAACCTTCAAATTTCCGGGGGCCGTTGACTTCGGTCCAGTCTAAATGTACCTAAGAAGTGTGCTAAGCCTACGCGGAAAGTAAAAACGTGTTGAATGGATGTAAATGCGGATCTAATTCTAAATGTGTCGAGCAATATGCATAAGGCAGAGATGATCGTGTATGTTCAAGTAACATCAAACACCATGACAGCAGGCTCAAGATTCCAGCTTGACCGTCTGAAGTGAATTACTCAGAGCCTCAACAATATCGGGAGGGTGGGATAACATTCCATCGAAGGCAGCATCGACATCGCTAAGTCCGTGATCATTATGCCGGCCATCTTGGTAATCGGTCCAGCCTCTTTCGGGGCCCCAGAGGACCTTTTTATGAGCACCACGGGTTTCAGCAAGTAGTCGAGTCATCAGAGGGCCGTTTTGGTCGACAGATGGCCATCCATCAAATTCTACTTGCACTAGCCCAGGCAATCGTCCCAGAATCTCGTGTAGCAAATTACCACAGAAGTTGGTATAGAAATCCTTCGAGATGCGGAACCCCTCGAACACAGGGTGTGAGGGGTCACACTGCACAAATATTTTCAGTGTGCGTGCAAGACGCATATCTTGTAGCCCCAAGCTCTGATTTATGATCCATGATTTTGGTGGCGCAGTCCAGCTCGATCCCACAATCAGTTCAATGGTGGTGATAGAAGCGCGGTGGCGACGAGGCAAGCCTCGGATGGTGGGCATGCGCAAGAAATCCTGAACAGGCAACACACGGAAGGTCTGGGTCGAATAGAAATAATGTGTGGCTTCATCGTGTATTTGTCTCGAGGATAGAAATAGACCAACGCGATGTGAAGATGGTGCTAGAGGTTTGCTCTTCTTCGCAGAAGCCCCCACGTTGCCGGTTCGTTGTAATGCACTCTTTCGGGTTGGCGTGAACAAGACGAAATGGTATATGTGCAAGCGTATCTCAGACGGGAGATCAAGTAGTCGAAATGGCTTCAGTATCAGTGGTTCGGCATCGGATTCGTAGTCGGATTCGAGATCTGAGAGCTGATCCTCGAACTGGAGCATCTGCTTTTTGAGTCCCATGATGAAAGATGCAGAAAGTCTATGAGCAGGTACAAGCAGGTCTATAGTTTGAAAGGGACTTCATAATTCATCCCATGCTGTGTTTAGAACGAGTGTAGATTTGAACCGGCGGAGTCGGAAAGAAAGAAATTCTAGTGAAAAATATTTGTGTCCCACGATCGGAGCGCAGCTTCACTGGGAGCCTTTGCTGCGCTCTTGGTAAGTGGGATTGAAGAAGATCTTCCTTGGTCTCCCCAGCAATTTCAACCCGGCAAGCACTGAGAAATGGCTCGAAAGGTCAAATTATGTCTGGGTGAACTTTCTATAGGAAGAAAAAAAAGAAGAGAGGGAAACCTGGAGGCCCCAGATGATCTTATAAACGAACTGCACCAGTGGACCGTCTCCATCGCCGTACCGAGTCGCGCCGACTTTTAACGGGAAACTGGTCTGTCCATCGCATCTCACAGGACATGAGTGCTTGATTCTGTCTTTCATCAATTCCCACAATGTTGAGCCGTGCAGTCCTGCCTCTGACGAGGCCAAACGTCCTCGCCTCCACCGTTCGCGCATCGACCTTGTCAGCCCGACCCTCGCCGTATACTGCCTACAAGCTTTCCCCGGGTATCCAGCAACGGGCGAATTCGACTCGGTCGAACAAGCCTAAAACCTCGAAGGATCCCAAGGAGTTTGCTGCAGAGCAGCCTGAATTCGAGACAAAGGCTGAGCCAAATGCCACCGAAGCTTCCAATACCGTGAGCATTATACTTTCATCCAGATGTCATTAAGGAAGCCCCCTCTAATAATCCTCGTTCTAGCCCGAAACCGAACAGATCCCCCAGAAGCCTCTACCTGATTTGACACAAGGAATCCCGTCTACTCTGGCCGCCGAATTAGAGGGTCGCATGAAGAAGGGACCATTGAACCTCACAGAAGATCCCACCCAGTCAGAACAATACAGCGAGGAAGGCCGGGGAGGCGGTGACATCCCCAAGGGAGGATATGAGACATCTCTCGACCGTCGCAAGGCCCGCATGGCCAACTTCATGTATGCTGGTATGCTTCTCGCCGGTATCGCCGGAGTGGGCTACCTAGGCCGCAACTGGGATACTGAGGAGGAGAACCAGGCTCATCCCGAAACTCCATCTGGATGGGGCCTTGGTCTCTGGTACAGCCGCATCAAGGCCCGCATGAGCGACCTTACCAGCTACTATAAGGACCCGGCCTTCCCCAAGCTGCTCCCGGACGAGGACGCTGAGATGCGCCAGCCATACACCCTCGTTCTCAGTCTTGAGGATCTTCTTGTCCACAGTGAATGGAGCCGTGAGCACGGATGGCGTGTTGCCAAGCGACCTGGTGTCGACTACTTCCTTCGTTACCTCAACCAGTACTACGAGCTTGTTCTCTTCACCAGTGTGCCCAGCATGATGGCCGACCAAGTCCTCCGCAAACTTGACCCCTACCGTATCATCCGTTGGCCCTTGTTCCGCGAGGCCACTCGCTACAAGGATGGAGAATACGTCAAGGTTAGTCAATTACCAATTACCGGATCTATGCCCCAATGCTGACTATTCTCAAGGATCTGCAATACCTGAACCGTGACCTGTCCAAGGTCATCCTTATCGACACAAAGGAGGAGCACGCTCGTTTCCAACCAGAGAACGCCATTGTTCTGGATAAGTGGACCGGTGACCCTAAGGATAAGACGCTGGTCGCCCTCATCCCCTTCCTTGAATACCTCGCTGGCATGGGTGTTGAGGATGTGCGTACTGTGATTAAGTCATTCGACGGCTCTTCCATTCCCGTTGAGTTTGCCAAGCGCGAGAAGGCTATGCGTGATCGATTTGAGAAGGAACTTGCCGAGGAGCAGAAGAAGAAGCCCTCGCGCGGCATCGGTAACTTCGCTTCCGCTCTTGGCTTGAAGTCTTCTGCCACCCTCAACGGCGACCAGACCCCATCCGAGGGCCTGGCCCAAGGAAAGATGCTTTGGGACCAAATCCGTGAGCGTGGTCAAAAGAACTACGAAATGGTTGAATCCGAAATTCGCATCAACGGCGAGAAATGGCTTGCTGAAATGGCTGCTGAAGAGGAGAAGGCCCGCCAGGAGCAGATGCAGAGCATGAAGGGCTCTGTCACTGGCATGTTCGGTATCGGTGGCTCCAAGGAGCAGTAATTGGCGCAAGCCTTTCTCATGATGGGAAGCTGCTGGACTTCCATCTTCCATCTATGTCGGCATCCTTTTCCTCTCTTTTTTTTTCTTTTTCTCATTTATGGGCAAGGGGCAGGTCATTAGATGGTTTGTGGGCTCGTTCTGATCATTTATTTATGAACGACTGTAAAATAGCGTTTGGTGTCCGTTTCTTGTTTCTCGATGTACAAAATTTTCGTCAGGAGCTTTAATATGAGATATACTCGGATTGATAGGATTCCATTTCTGCAAGTGGTTGGGTTCACGCTGAATCCCAGGGTATATGTGAGGATTATTGCGAGATAAGAATCTAATAGTACACGTCAAATATTAACCAGACTCCATCCAATGCATCATTCATGTGAGGTTCACATCTTGGAAGACAGATACATCCCAGATTCCAGTCATGTCGAAGGGGAAACCATCCATCGTTCCGAAGGTATTGGAGATTGACATCATGTCGTCCACAATGTCATTATTGGTTTGCGTCTCTGGAAGTGAGATCGCAGCGGGGTTGACGAGCCCGCTGTCTGCCATACTGTTGGTGAATGCCTGATCCATGGTCTCGCCGGTCCCAGGGAGTCGGTGCATTATGCGTTCACAGTGGTCTAAACACATGTCTGCTACATCCCAGTCTTCTTCCTCTCGCACGCGGCGCAAGACAGAACGTAAAGTCTCAACATTAGCGAGGCATGATCGTGCAACTTCGCTATCAGTTGTTTCAAATGCACATCGGATAAGTAATGTGGCTGTTGACGTGAGGTGGAAAGCACTGTCTAGAAGGAAAGTCAGAATACATGTTTTTTTCCCCAAGCAATGTGACTCGACTTACAAGGCAACCAGAACTCCTTGAAGTTGTCTTTGCGCAAAGAAGTTATAAATCCAACAATCTCCTCGGCTGACCTTCTGCATTCAGTCTGGAAATATCGGCGTGCTTCTGTGTTTTCTGTCTCTGAATTGTTGACCTCCTGCATTTAAGTTAGACATACTCATTCGTTGCCCTCGTTTTGCTTACATTGAGTTCCACCCGACTGACGAGCATCTTGACAGCCAAGAAAGCCAGTTGCAGGCTACTGGCTCCGTAAATTCGTTCTCCGGGGTGTACCGAGGGCCCTCTGAGCCAATCTGGCAGGGAATCCTCCCACATATCGAGGTCCGTTCGGATCTGTCTGAGCTTTTTTGATGTCTCACGCGCGGGTTTATGCTGCAAGCCATAAACCAGAGGCAATAATTCACCCAGAGTCTCGGTCAATCGACATAAGTAAATATGGCAATGCGCTGCTCTCACACGCTCTGTGGTGCGAAATTGCGCCGGGACGATAACGTCCACCGTGGGTAAAGGTACATCGTATTGGTTTTTGGAAATCTGGGGCGGTACTCCATGACCAAAGCTTCCCCTGTTGTATAATGAGCATGTATAAACTTGTAAAGAGTGAGGAAGGCCTTACCACCGGTCGTGAATCACGACTCCCCACCATAGTCGTATTCGTTGATCTTTCTCGGACTGTGAGAGCTTCCAACTGTTGGGGTCACGGTTCAAACCAAGACAATTCGCCAATGACAGCATCCGGCCACAGCTAACAGCATTCCCGGTCATTGAAAATATGGGCCGACCAGTTAAATCGATCAGCGCCGCGCTGATGGTGTCTAGCCCCGGAGCGGAGAACTCTTCGTGCAACGCAGCCACTGTCATGTTCACTGCATATCGAACATCTGGCTTTGGATGGCATGAAAGCTTTTGTGTATGTTTCCAATAGACGAGAGACATGGAATAAACCTGACACACGAGCGCAGCTGGAGGGTCTTGCAGGTCCTCAGCAATGTATGATTCCCAAAATGATTCCCCGTCGAAAATGGGAAAGGAAACATTGAATCGGTCAATGAACCTAGTATGCCAATAAGGCAAAAGTCAGCTTCTATATGGACGGAATTGAGGTTTTGGAGTGTGAACGTACAGTCTGACTAGATCATGCTTGAACGGCCCAAGTATTTGTTCCAGAACTTCCTTCTGGTTCTCACCCGGGGGCGTGCCCCTGCGCATACCCTTTCGGCGCCGTGAAATCGTAGTGTATAGGACTGGCTTCCGTGGATCACTGGAGTAGATATTATACGGGTGGCTCTTGGGCTCTTCTGAAAGACTTCTCTGTTCTGGAGGCATGTGCTTCTCAATGACCTGCGCATCTTCGGCGACCATTGGACCAACAATAAGAACCGACTCATTTTGGGGGTCATCTCCGTCTTTACGCCGCGAATCACTGCCCCGACGACCACTCGAGGAGTTTGTTCCATGGGGGCTAGGACCGTTGATCGGTTGTCGGGGCGGGATATTCTGACCCGAGTGGGCAAATTCGTCGGGGCTGCGCTTGCGCTTCTGCCCCGGCACGGCTTCTACCGCTGTCATTCCCGACAACGGCGGAGGACCCGACCAGGACTTTTGCTCCGGCGCACTCATGACCGAAGCATCTGCATTGGCCTCTTCTTGGTAATGGCAGTCGGCACCCTGCACGCGACACAGGAGACAGGACTGGCCTGGGATATCAACGGTGCATCGCGATTTGCGCTTGCGACACAGATCGCAGGCGCGGACCTTGTGAGATCGATATGGTCGCGCACCGGCATTGAACCCGGGTGATGGCAGCTTGGAGGAGGAATTGACTTGGACTGGTACAGGCGACATGATGCACGCCCATGTAAGACGTTATGCCGGCGAGTAATACGGGGAAGCGAAGACTGGCGATTTGGAGACAAATGATCCCGGGGTGGTCTTCGGAGTCGGCCGATTAGCCCGTTGGACAGAGTGAGGGGTACGGGTAGGCGGCCGAATGCGACAACCTGGAGGAGGCGAGATGCGGGCTTACTCTCAATGGCTAGGGAGCACCGTGGAGACACTAGGCTACACACATCTGGGGCACATCGTGGGAAAAATTATACGAACTGATCATTTGTTCCCCGACAATCGTCAAAATCCGGAGCAATCTCGTCCCCTATCGAAGCTAAACTGAACCGGGACATGTGGGGGAGGGTCATGTGATATGCTGACAGAGCTGCTGACCTAATCTTGGAAAGGTCCTGTTTATGATGCCTGATTTACAAGGTGTTTATCAGGGCTATTTTTATCTACTTGGCATGAGGCCGATCGGCATCAGTTGTTGCAACTCCCTGTCCCGCATTGCCTCATGGGGCGAGAAACAGCACAGCCACAGGACAACCTCCAACTTCCCAAGAATGCCCATTGCTTGTCTGTGTGGACGTATGTATAGGTGATTATGGAGGATGTCTCCTTGCCCGAGGGTCGTCCCGAGTCCCACTCAGGTACATCAGGTACACCGCTCGGCTCACACGCATCCGTGGACCATTTACCGGTCAATGTGATCGAGGAGTAAGTTCCCAATAAGGGAGTCATCAGCCTCTGTATCCAGGGCGTCTGCATCTATCCATATAACGGTAGTTCTGACTGATTTGGCAGCATCCTCTATGCTGTTGATGCGAACACATTTGCTTCACTTTCTTTGTTGAACCAGAAATGGAAGCGTATATCTGATTCCGCGGCACTGTATGCCCACCACTTGTCGCGATGCCCATCATTCTCTTGGGCTCACGGTACTACACCGATAACCACAGAGGCGGGAAGTCTACCTGTCCTCAAGCGTCTGTTTATCAAGCAGGTTAGACAGAATGCATTTGATGCGTTTCTGCGGCCCCGCCAAACCCTGGTGAGGTTGATCTCAAGTTCTATGAGTTCCTCAACCGCCTTCCCTCAAGGCGAAGTGTTTCGATTTTCATTCTCAGCAAATGGCCAAATGGTTCTATGTATAAGTTCTTCACGAATTATCGTACTAGATGTGGCCGATGACCCTGTCGCCGTCAAGCATGAGCTGAAAACCCGCAGGAGACCGCTGGGTGCAACCATCCGCGATGATGGATCTCTTCTTGCTGTGTTGTCTTCCACGCATCGGGTACATCTTTACGAGCTTTCCGATGATGCAGCTAGACATGTCCAAGTCATCGCGCTGAACGATGCCCCAAGAGATATTGCATTCTCCCCTACGGGAAGTGTGCTGGCCCTGTCTTTTGATGATAGTATAGAGGTATATGCCGTGGGTGAAGAAGCCTTGTCGACTGATCGTCGGGCAGTGCGTTGTCCGCGTGCCGATACACTTGCATTCTCGCCCGACGGATCGATGCTTATTGGATCCTCAACCGAGCCCTCCAGTAGTGGAATAATCACCATCACTGCTCCTTTTTATACCGAGACTGGGACGGACGCTTCGCCTGAAGAACTTCACATGCGAATGTGGACAACGCAAATCCTGTTCCCGGAGATAAAACCTGGATTTTCTCATGCGTGTCTTCTTGCTGGCCACGAAGAATCGGACTCTTCTTGGGTGATGGGTTACGATGACCAATTAGCATCATTCAGAATACTCAAGCTGAACGACGCCGATGATGGAATTGTATATCTTGCTAGTCCATTTTTCCCTGACGAGTCTCGAGAAATGCGACCCAGCATGAGACCTGCCATGGACGATTCGGGAGAGCTCGTCGCTTTAGGATTCCAAGACTCGGAATTGTGGATATATGGGGTACCTGAGCGGTTGGACCTTACTCCCGTGAAAAGCCCAATTTCGGGCGCTCAAATCACGATCACTGGTACTCAGATTGGTGGCAGTCACCATTGCGGAGACTGCCCACCTCGCGACAACCTAGCACAGCTTCAAAAAATAATCCAACAGCCCAAGATTCTGATTCGGGGACGTCGGGTGACTGGCATGCATGGAATAACCTCCGCCCATTGGGTACGGACGACAGACTCGGTTTCAGACAGCAGAAGGATGCGCCGCCGGCTGGTAGCGGTAGCACCTGGGGGCGTACGTCCACAGGCATTGGGCCAAGAGGATATACCGATTGATGGAGGCCGAATCTTACTTCTTGATTTTGAGCGGTCCACGAAGAATGGCGATACAATGGAACTTGACATCGAAGTTGGAGAAATGGAACCCAAGATACTCATGGAACCAGACTCTTCCTTGGATACAGAAGTTGAACTTGAGCGAAGACGTACCCGATTGCATCGTGGTGACACTGCCACCACAACCGCAAGCTTTGGTCACCGATCATCGGCAACCACTCAAGAGTCGCGCATCCTGCCACTTCGTTTCCGCCGGAACAGCGTTGCAAGCCCAGCTTCACCAACCGAGACATCTCAGGGTGGATTACTGGATTTGCCTTATGACAATACCCAACCTCGTTCTAGCGACGTGCTCCACCGAGCTGCCACTGCAGCTGCCTCGACCCGTGGAAGATATGACCCTCGGTACCGCAACACCCCCGATCGTCGACAAATTCCGCATGAGAGCGATGCCGATAACTGGGTGCCACCACCTCCTCCATATCAACGTGAAACGGATGTACCTTTGCCGGATGACCTACGGAGGACACTTCTCCCAAGACCGTCTGTCAATTCTCACTTCACCGATGCTGTTCACCAGCCCGAACGATCACAAACGACTCGGGTGGTGCGCCCGGCTTCAACCATTCGTCAACGCCCCCAGTCAGTTATCATACAGAGACTAGGTACTCTCACCGGTCCCAGGCGTAGAGGAAGTTCCATTGGCAGAGAGGTCCACTACTTTGGCCAAGAGCAATATGAGGCTGCCCCTCGCCCTCGAGAGCCTTCCATTGATAACATCTCGCCTGGAGCACACGGGTCTGGTTCACGCCCTGTGACAGCAGCATCAATGACACAGCATCAGGCAGCAATACAGGCTCCGCCCACCTTGACGGTACAGCCAGCCGAACAAGTGTCGCCTGAAAGTACCATGCCTCTCCCCTATCTGAGAGCCTCTGCACTCGGTGATGCACTGGGCGATGCCTACTTCCCGTACTCGGTGTCCTCTCCAAACCTCCTCCACATTCCCCAACCATATGGTGATATACATGGCATACGAGACGATGACCAGGACATACCCCAAAGGCAGCGGTCTTTTCACCGACGGGCCTCCACTGAGCCGACTAGCCTTCCACCGCCCGAGAATGAAGAATGGCGAAGGCGTATTCAGGATTGGAATGACCATACCATCAAAGCACGAGGTCGCAAGCGAAGGGGGAAATGCATTCTCATGTAGTGTAGGACATGTATGTCCATTCTTCGAATTTTCTTGTCTTATACCCTTAGTAAACTCATCTTTGATTAGTTTAGCATATATTGAGAACGAGATCATTGCGCACAAGATAGGTCTTCACGGTCAGCAGCTTAATGTAAGGATCAGTGGCCGTAAAGCCCTCGTTCATCATAGTGAAGGGAAGGGCGGGTAGTTTCTTTGATGGTCTAGCCCAGTGCCGTAGATACCGTCAAGACACCCAGTGCATGTTATCGACGCTGTGAACAGCTGCGGATGCTGGCTATAGTAGTCTGACGTCTGCACATGCCACCTGACTCTGAGACCATGTATAATTCAAGGTTGATGTTAGCAACAAGGATTATCGGATGTCGAAACAAAGCCATATCCAAGCGTTCTCGCTTTCCAATCTTTTGTCATATAGAATTGATGTGAGCACCAAGCCACTTTGATTTCTTTATCCCGCAATCAATGCCCGTCCTTTGTATCCTTGATCTGATGCTTCTAGTATATATCTATTGGCTGTCCTGTTTCTAATTTGATTGTTATTCTTGGGGCGAATCTGAAGATCAAAGCATAATTAGGCTTTGGGCTATATAGGCCTCTGGGCTGTCTCATATCTAGATCGAAGGCCAGAAGAATACAGATCTGATCATTGAGGTGTGAATGAGGCATCAATATAAGAAGTGGGACATAATAGAGAAGTCATCAATAGAGTGAAGTTCTCCATTCTCACTTTTCATTGAGTCCATTGAACCTTCTCTTTTGGGAGGGTTCCTGCCTTCCTGAGCTCTTTCGAGCTCCAACTCTTACTTCTATAAATACTTCCCTTATTCCCTCTTCTCTTCTTCTCTTCTCTTTCTCTCTCTCCCTCCCCCAAGTTAACTTTACTTTTTGTTTTCTCAGCGTCCCCCGGCGCTGACTTCAGTCTGCTTGCATCCCCGGCGTCCCCACCCCCCTCTGCTTCGTTTTTTGTTTTTTTTTTTCTCAAAAAAAAGTAAGTGTCATCCCACCATTCTCTCACTTTTGGTGTGATATCTGATGAGGGATGGTGATGCGTATGGGCACGTTCAAATGTGATTCGATGCTAACTTCCTCGTCTCTTTCCAGAAAAAAATGTTGATTCCGATCTTTGGGATCGCTCTCTGTGTGGCTCTCTGGGGCCAGTGGTTCCCTCTAGAGGGTGCCACTGACCCAGAGCAGCCTATCCTGCGGCGTCTGGGTTCAACCCTGAGGCATACCTTACAGGCTTGGGTTCTGGTTGAGATGGTGAGCGCCGAGGCGCCCCGGGACGATGCCCTCAATGAGGAATCGTTCTCACACCCTGGCATGCGGGCCGACGTGGATCTCACCGAAGACCCCGGACTCAACTGGTTTTACGGCATTGACGACGGAGTACCTTTCTCACCCATAGTTTGGGAAACCTCGCCCGTGTCACCAACTCCGGTTCGGTCTGCCCCCGCTGTGTGCGAGTGGAATGGGTCGGTGGATTTTCTGGAAACAGGGTCTGCCGATTCCTCCTCCTCTCGGACACCGCGTGGGGGAGTCTTGGTAAGCTGTCTGATCTGTGGGATGTTTTTCATTACCTGGTTGGTTTTTACAGGCCGCATGGTCTTGTTTGCTTACACACGGCAATTCTTCGAGTATCTGGAAGCCCTGCTTCAACGGATGCTAAATTTCTTCGGACGCCCTCCGCAGATTGCGCGTGTGCAATTTGCGCACGCGCAACCTACGGACGATGAGGTTCTGTTTGGGCCATACAAATCACAAACAGAAATCCTCATCGAAAGCCTTCGAAGGAATGATGCGGAACTTGAAGCTTGGTCGAAGGAGCTCGAGGAGTCTTGTCTCGACTCTGTGCTTTCTGTGTCGGTTGTCTCTCAGTCTGAAGGTACCTGTATCCAGCAGGTTGCCGGAAGTCTACCAGATGAGTTGCCACTGGAGGACACCACGGAGTTGAATTGCAACGCCACCGAGATGGATGCTCCCACGGAGGACGTTCGTATGGAGACGGTCTCTGAGGCTAGCGGGATCCCGCCAACCAAGAAGAAGAACCGTCCGTCAGCGAAAACTCGGCGCCGCAAATATAGGCAGGCACAAAGAGCGCTTGCGGAGAATCTCGCAAACACGCTCTCTGAGTCCCCTGTCGAAGCCTCTTCTCAATAGAACTCTGCCTCTGCTTCATCTTTCCTCGGAACTGCCAGCTCCTTTGCCCTTCCAGTCGACAACCATCGAGCTTCTGAGCTGCTCTTCACCTCGCCGGACCTGTCAGCCCCTGCATTGTCCGGCCAGCTTCCATTCTTCTTACGGGTTTCTCTTCATCTTTACTCGGAATTGCCAGCTCCTACACCATGCCAATCGATTATCATCAATCCTCTGAGCTTCTTTTAGCCTCACCGGGCTTATCGGCTTCTCCATTGCCCAGCAAACCTCCATTCTTCTTACGGGTTTCTTCTCGTCTTTTCTTGGGGTCGCCAGCTTCTACATCCCAGCCGATGGTCATCGATCTTCTAAGCTTCTCTTCACCTCGTCGGGTTGACCAGCTCTTCCGTCACTCTACTCGGTTTTTACCACCAATCCCTTTGCGCCCAAACGACGGACAGTGATTACATTCCCACCAAGCCCATCTCGGCTGCATTGCATTGTCTTGAAGTTGCGGCGTGTACACAAAATTCGAATGGTACAACGGGATATTAATACTGGGTTGGTGATACGAATTCTCGGGGTTGTAATTCTTTTTTTCCTGTATCAATTTGGCCCAGATTCTGTTCTGGCAATCTTTCTATCTTTGTTTTGAGTGATACCCCTTGTGATACCCCATGAAGCTAAGTCTTCTATTGTTGTTTGAAAAGTTCGGGCTTTTTTTTTGGCCCTTCTACGCTTCAGCGCCTCGTTCAATGCGAAAAAGATATCTGACATTCCCTCATTCGTAGGCTTCGGTTCTTAGGAACGAGCCTGGTAGACTATAAAGACCCCCTCCGGTGCTCTATTTTGAAGATGCCACTTTAAGGGCTCCATTGCAAATTGTGTGTGACGCCTCGATAATGAGGTACCGTAAATGTTAACCAATACCAGCTAATAGTCCGTGATGCCAGATCCCCGTACATCTAGACTCACTGTAAGAGCAAAGCTTCAAAAGACGCAAATCATAATATTACTACCAGATACATAAATTAAGCCGTGAAATTATTGAAAACCAAACTAAAAACCCAACTCCCACCCCCGTCTATTGAAAAACACAAAGTCCAGTCCGATTCAATTTCGCTTTTTCATTCATAAACCTCTCAAACGTGGGGACGACCGCGATTGAAACGAGGCTTGAACATGGGCGCAGGCTCGGTCGCCGTCTCAGTCGCAACGCGAGTGAGATTAAAGCCTCCCGTGGTGGTATTGGAAGCAGTAGTCGAGTTAGTGAAGACCGCTGTGGTGTTGCCGAACATATGCCTCCGAACAATATCAGGGTTTATATAAGCCCGTGCGGTGATATGAGCCGCTGGATCCGAGATCTGTCCAGAATGGGATGTGGGCAAGGTTACAAGCGTGCCAGGTGCGGAGGGTGAGCCCGAGTTTGGCTGGGTATTCACCTTGCCGTTGCTTGGGACGAAGGGCGTCGACGTCCGCGTCGCAGTACTGGTTTCCGTACTGGTTTTGATCTTCGTCCTGCTGATTGACGGCGAAAGGCTTCCACTTGGCTTACCGCTGCTGCTCCCACCTCCTCCTGGTCCGCCACCACCTGGTCCTCCACCGTTACCTCCTGGTCCACCTCCGCCTGGGCCACCTCCGTTACCGCCTGGGGTACTGGGACATTCAGCTGTGGCTGTGACTGTAACTGTGCTCACTAGAACAGAAGGACAGGTGACGGTGACGGGTACGACAACTGTATCTTGAGAAGGCAGAGGACATTCTCCACCGCCGCCGCCGCCGCCGCCTCCTCCGGGTCCACCTCCACCCCCACCGCTCGGACCGGGGGTTGTTTGGGGATGTTCGCCGCCGCCGCCGCCGCCAGTAGGAGTGTTGCTTGGTTGCTGACCACCACCACCCCCTCCGGACGGAGATGGCTGTTCACCTCCCCCTCCACCTCCGCCCCCTCCGCTAGGGGTTGTCTGGGGGTGCTCTCCACCACCGCCGCCAGTGGGAGGAATCTCGCTGCTTGGTTGTTCTCCACCACCGCCGCCCCCTCCAGATGGGGAGTGATGACTGCTGCTTGGTTGGACTCCACCGCCCCCTCCTCCAGTCGGTGAAGGCTGGATGCTACTCTGATGTCCACCACCCCCTCCAGAAGGCTTGGGGGTGGTTGGGGGGCCAGTGCTTGCACCTCCGGGTGGAGATGTCACAGGTGGTTGACTAGGTTGAATGCCGCCACTCGATGGTAGACTAGCATGGCCGTTCGTCGAAGTCCCATGACCACCGCCTCCACTCGTGGAAGGGACGACAGGAACGCTTCCCGGGCCGGTTTCACCACCTCCTCCACCTCCACCAGTACTTTCGCTTGGGGGAGGGCTCTCGGTCTCACACTCGGTGGTAACTGTAGTGCCACCACCTCCCTCGTGGGTTACTGGTTTTGCCGGTCCAGTGGAGCTCAACTCTTCTGTCAAGATGGAAAGCAGGGAGCTCTCCAGCTCAGGGTGGTTGTGTCGCTCCTCGAGATCTGGGTCTGGCGAGGCATCTGGGGCTGCAATGACATTCTGCACGAGTGCCCAGGTGCAGGCCAGTAAGATCACGCTTTTCTTCAGAAACATGCTTTGAATCAAATTTGGTCTGTATTTGTGCAGGGCAATTGGGGCACACGTAGCCCTGGAAGATGAAGCGAAAATGCAACTTGTCCGATGGATCCGGACGCTCCGTACACAGGTGAGTGAAGGTAGGGCTAATTGGGTATCGGAATTGGAATTGGGGAAATGAGTTGGAATCAAGCAAGTCTTTAAGGTGGGCAATAGCAATAAAAGCAATTGAGATGCCGGGTGAATCAAGACAGTGGGAAAATAAGAGCCGAGTCTATTGTAGAGGACGTCAGTTGTATGTTTAGCGAGATCCGAGAACCTCCATGGTGATGAATTGATGAACATTCGATTTCATCAGAGATCTAGTCCCTGAAGGGCTGCTTCTCAGGCACTTGTAGACTCGGAACCGATGTTGGTTCCGTGGTGACAGGTTGACCACTGCCCTATTGGAAACATTCCCAGCTCAGCTTCCATGGCTCAATATATCGCCATCATGACTGTTGACATCTCAGGTTCCTGTCGGATATCTAATGCGACATGTTCCTGGATGTTGTTCAGCCCTATATTAGAAGGTGGGCGATGTTGGCATATCGCCTTCGCTATAACAGATTCTAAAGTTGAACTATTTGAGCATGGGTCAGTTTGTATACTTCAAAGCGAAATTCGCATCTGACTCAACTGGCTCAATAAACTCTGTGACTGGAGCGAGTCGTTGCGTCGGAAACGATATCCGCCTTCTCCGGGACTGGGTTATAAGTGATATCATCATTGGGATAATCATTGGGATAATACTCAATACTCAGAGGTGCAATTTATCATTATGTCCTGAGCGAAAAGAAAAGACTATCATCTGGTCACATGTATGTACAGCAAGTAGCTCGGTCATGTATGAACGCTCAAAATAGATTAGGGATGCAAGTTGGTTATCTGTTGGCGCTCGTGAGATGAAAATAAGAAGCAGAAACTTGGAACGGAAAAGCAATGCCCGAAATTCGAACTTTTTTGTGGGAGCTCCTGCTCTGAGCCATGGAAATTTTTCGGCATCAGAGTTTGTCGTATAGGGCCTGGTGTTGAAACGTCGTCTGGGATTAGAGATTAATAGACTGCGAGGGGGTTGCGCCAGCCGACATGAATGACCTTCACAGCGGTGCAGCACGCGAGGCCGGCCGCATAGCAACATATTGTGAAGGTTATTAGGCCCCAATAAGACCCATTGCAGCGCGACAAGATCTCACCTGCGATGGGAATTCCAGTGAGAGTGCTGGTAGTAATGTAAGATACAAAGTTATAGGAGATATGGGGATGAACCATTAATCACTTACCCGAAACTCACAATGGTGTAAGCAGTTGCATAGTACCGGCCATAGTGTTCAGTTTTGCAAAGCTGGCCAACACATACCGGAGTCAGACTGATATTACTGCCACTTGCGAAGCCGAAGAAAGCCGAGTAAACAATAAGCAGTGCGAGGCTGCTTCCAGCAGGGAGCCAGAGGCAAGCGTTGCAAAGCAAACAGAGTGCAACGGTCGCAATTAGAGTGTTGAAGCGACCTAGGAAATCGGCAAAGAATCCTGGAAGCCATCGGCCGAAGAATGAACCGGCATTCAGGATGGCGATGATTTGGTATGAAATTTGAGTGGAGAAACCATGATCAAGGGCATAGACCGAGATGTAACTAATGGGTACAAAAAGACCCCACTCGATGAAGAAAACACTGGCAGTAGTGAGTGCAAATCTCGAGTCTCGGAAGATTCGGAAATCAGGTAGCACATTCTCCTTGGAGAACGGCTTCTGGGGCAAACGGGATCTGATCAGGAGGTTTGCAACTCCCAGTACAATGAGGCAAATCAACGCGACGACTCGAGTTGCCCACGCCCAGCCAATTTTGGGAAACAGACTTTCCAGGATCAGAGGGAAGGCAACACCTCCTACAGAACCACCGGTTGCAGCAATACCAGTGGCAACTCCGCGCTTCTCGTAGAAATAGTGACCGATTGCAGAGATCGCGGGGGTGAAGATGAGAGATGCTCCCACTCCACCTAGAACTCCGATGACCAGCATGAAGTGCCAATACTTCGTACAAAAGCCGATCAATATGATCATTGCCATTTCAAAGATGGAACCAGCAAAGACAAGAAGGCGTGGACCTCGTGCGTCGAAAATGGGGCCAATTTGCACTCCGCAGAAGAATGTGAGGAAGGCGAACATTCCAAAGATCCAGCCAATACTTCCCGAGCTGTACTCTTTCAGTTGGTGGGTTTGGATGTATGCTTGGAACGTGGCTATAGTGTTGACCAGTCCCAGCGATCCGACTAGGCCCAGGAAGCTGCCCAGCACGACGAGCCAGGCCTCAAGCCCACCCTCCGGGTAGGTGTTTCCCTCGGGGTCTGTCGTTACTCGACTGACGGGATCTCTTCGGGCCGATCTCTGCGACGGGGCCACGGTGGACGCCGTTCGGTAGGCTGCATCCTCTAGTGTCGACTCTTGTTGGAAATCTTGACCTGAGCCTGCTCGGGTGTGTTTTGTCACATTTGGGGCCTCTTTGTCAAATTTTTCACCCTCTACGTCGACGACGGACTTTTCATTATAGGGCATCGTGGTACCCTCGGCATTAAGGTCGGGCACATGGTTAATGTCACCGGCAGATTCGACATTGTTGGACATTCTATGCACGAAAATGGCCAAGTTAGTCCACTGTCAACTGGGAGAGCAGGTCTGAATCCGGGGATCAGAGAAAGAAAAGTGAAGAGGGGTCACCGATTAGCAAAGCGGAGTCATATGTAAAAGAGTGGCCCTAAGGATTCTGTGCGGAATGACTCCTATTGGTGAGTTCATAGTTCCTGGGTCTCCCTTTAGTCCCCTTTAAGTGAAAATTTGGAGGTGATGGTTATTGGCAGTTACCGGCTTAAGTGGATCTCACATCGGGTAGAGCCTTTGTATACCCGAACTTGGGCTCCAGAGCCAGTCCTTCTTTTTCGTGGTTTGGAGAGCTCATATTTCTGTCCTCTCAGCTCCATGGATTTTCTGGAGGTACTGTATATCATCCATGGGAAAATTCTCTGATATGCCAACCTATCCAATTCCGGAAGTCGGATACAAACGAAATCTGTGCATCCAGCTCAGGAATCCAGCTTGGCATTTCCATCCGTTTATCCTTCAGTCAATTCATGGCCAATATCCATGGATATTGGTTGCAAAGTTATTTTCTCCGCAGGGAATGGCATGGCTGGGTATTCCGTACAAACCTGGGGGTTCGACAGAGGATTACCCTACACGCATCAAGCCAAACGATCAATTATCACGTCTTGCAGCTTTTTTTTAACCCCCTTCACCACAAGTATCCCTGCTCTCTTTCGATGTTTTAGCTTTGCAACGTGGCCTAGCCAGGTGGTTGTAACGTGGAGTAGTCTGAGCTGGAGGGTTCCCGACATCAACTGCCGAACCGCCAACTTAGAAGCTCATAGACATGAGAGTTATGTATCAAAATAGACATTGGTTGGTTAAGCTGTTGCTGTATTTGTGACTATACGTGAATATAGTCCTTTCTTTCTTCCGGCACAGATGGGGATAAGTATGCTTTCAACCTCAGAATTTTGTGACCCCGGGACTTTCAGGAGGTTTTAGAGTTACCGTGCATGGACCGATCGAATATATATCCTCACGACCAACTGCCCAAGTGATTCTAAAGTTACGGGAAATCGAGAAGCTCGCCCAGAACGCACATTGCGATCGTGCAGGGCCTTCGGGCCAATAAGACAATAATGAAAATGATCTTGAATAATTGGGCAGACCAGGACTGATGCGTTATGCCAACAGGGTTGAGGTTGCACAAATATCTTTCCGGGTATCCATGGATTCAGGATCATAGACCACAAAAAGTGCGTGCCTTTCATCAAATTGGGCTTGTGGTTTAGTGGTATAATACTCCCTTAGCATGGGAGTGGTCCGGGGTTCGATTCCCCGCGAGTCCATTCTTTTTGCTCTCCAACCATCCACCAAGTGGGGCTCTAGCTGGTGCCATGGAGGATGTGGTTGTTTTTAGTTGACCGCCGTATTGGGCGAAGGAAATTATGTTCTTGTGGACTCATGATAGCAACCGGATCACGTACACCGCACAATCTGTATTCCGCACGAATGAAGTCTTGCACAGACGAACTAGCGCCATAATAGAAATCTTGGCATGCTTAGCGAGGTAGGTATGGGAAGCAACGACTAGAATGACATATGAATCCAAGCAAGCCCTTAAGCCCTGAAGGTATCGTTGGATCTATGCTAAATCACACTTGACTCGCTGCTTACTACCGGGCCTTAGGCGTTGAGACATGTCTCATACATCTACAAAAGGCCGCGAGTAGTCAAATCTGTGACTTTTGTCGTAACCCCGACCATGAAGGCGAAGGTAAGATATGGAAAGAGCATGTTGATCATGTTGTATCTCAGGTCATTTAGACTAGGAGTCAGACTGTGGCTGGTAGCTGCAAAGGTAGGCCACCATTGCCCAAGGTCTGTGGCCGATGTACATGTATGCTCTTGGGATTATAGAAGCTAACCTGCAACAGGTCATCTGTCACTCAGAGGCCCAAGACTCACATTGACACCAAATATGATGATGTGTTTGTTCTATGCAAATCAACTGGGAAAGAGATAAAAAAGGTGTATGTACTTAAGTACATACGTCATAGCCCCTTACCCCAGATTTCGGAAGGTAGTGTCAACGGCATCACCATGTGGGTAACTCGCCTTTATTCCAAGTTCCTACCTAGGTATATGTATATGCAAGACACCCCCCCCCGCCAGATGCTCCATTGAAAGATAAAAAACTTTCCCTATCTTGCTTTTGATTGTTCACCCGAATCGGATGGCTCATTCTTTTATCGCATTGCATTCACCTCGCAATAATCGGGATTTGCCTGCCGCTTTAAGTATAAATTTGCTCGCTCGGCCATATTTCGGAAGATAAACGATGCAAGGTTCTAAGTTATCTGTGGAATCGCAATATACGTTGGAGCTTTGCAATGAGTCATTGAGTGAGGACATAGCTTGCTGATTGTCAGGGTATCTAATTACTCGTATCTTCGGTGAATTCAAAAGTCAATCTTACCCCAGTGCCAAGGACCGAGAAGTCGAGGCTTAAGAAGAGAAATCTATTGTTCAACTCCAGACTTGATTCTAGGTCATTGGCTCCTGAAGTCTACCGCGTGATTTCGTGCTGGGTTGACCCATATGTAAAAGATGGGGTGAAGTCCTAGTGGGTCAATGGATCCACCTGCTGATCAGTGCTATCGAGACGTCAGTCTGTAGAGTCAGATGCTAAGTCCGACAAAGAACATCAGAAACAACCAGTCTTCCCATTGGATGATCCCGGTGAAGTCAAAGATACCGACATAGAATCATCATGGAAAGAAAGTAATACCACGAACCGTAGTCAGCACGTCTCAAATGATGCAAATCCAATGCATAATATCATGCTCAAGTGGTAGGGGAACTTATTAGCAACATACGTACATGCACCGCAGAACCTCGGCCCTCGTGCACGAACCCACACATATCCGAACCACGAAGCAAGTATTATGCACAGAGTATCCCGTAGTTACTCTGTACTGCATAATTATGAATGTTCACACGGACTTGCCGAAGAGTCTTCGAATCGCCGCTGTAAAGCCGTATGTGGCCGATTACATTCTCAAGAAGTATGGCCATTGGAGAAAACGTCGTTCTTTCCGGTAAGACGGAGCCAGGATCGGCACAGCAGATGACAGGATAAGACACCCCCATGTTGAAATATTGCCATTTCCGTATCAATATTCCCATCAGCCCATATCAAGTGGTGGATCCAAGCAATTATCGCACGCAATACCGGAAACCCAGCTTCGGTGAAAATTTGAGCTTCAGAGTGTGTAGTTGCAACATGCAGAAAGCGCCACAAGCCTGTAATTTACTCACCCATGGATTTCCAAATTACGATGTTTCAAATGACTGTGATTGGTGCATGGTCACATGCAGGCGACATTACCCAACGATCGGACTGAATGCGGCATGGGTGCGCCTCCGCCAAGACCCGAGTGCAAACGTGCCCTTAATGGCCCTAAGATCATGATCTTGGAAACCGGTTTTGCAGAAGCTTGTATCCGTATGGAAGCTTAGGAAAAGCAAATAGAAATGATCATTTGATGATCCATTATACACTCGTACTGAGCAATGTACTATGCCCCGGGGGAACTCCGTAATTTGCCCCCAGAGTCGTGAACTGCGAAAATTTTCCCGGTGGATCGCGAGGACCAATGAAGACCCAATGTGGAGAGATTTGCCGTCTCGGCCCTTTCCGATTCCAAAGCGCAGTACGGAGTAGCATTCGAGTGTCATATCTTCTACATTTTACTTCCATTGTCCCCTGAAACTGAAGACTAAAAGGCCATGCCTCGAATGCTACGGAGTATCAAGGTTAGAAAAGCGGCTCAGATACAGGCTAAATCAGAGACTAGGGCTGAGTACTCCGTACGGAATATACGAACACATAATAGGGGACTTCACTAAGCGCAATACAGTAATATTCAGATATCAAATACGAGTCCCGCTTCTCTTGGCCAATCGTGGGATCAAGCCATCCCATTACCCATACTGCAGTCCATCCAAATGGGTATTTTATACAACAGGAAAAGAAGAACAGGAAAAAAAAAGAGCACGAAAGAGGTCCCAGCGTATCCTTGGACCTAGGTAAACGTCAGTATATAGCAACGCGACAATCTCCCACTTGTCTCCCCTTTTCTTTTCTTTCCCAACCTGTGTCAATTACTTCGGCGCACTATTCATACTCTGCCCACGAGGTAATTTTTTTTTTCACATCTATCCTGGCAGCATTGCACATGTCCGTCGATCATTTCCATTCCATCCTCTCCAACCCGTGTCAACAGCGAAGAAACTCTTCAGCTTCGCTTCAGTAGCAAGCAATCTTGCGCCCCTATCCACTGCGACATATACGACCAGATGCGCCACGAGCAACAACACGTATTCGCCAACGCAACAATCCGAACCATTTCGAAGCAGACGTTATACCCAATTGCGGCCCCACCTGTAGACTTGCCATAACCTCCCGTTGCTGCACTCGAGATAAGCCGAAAAGCGACAAACCCAACAGATTAGTCCCAACTTCCAAAGCGCCTTAGAATCCGCCACCATGGGCATTTCCAAATTCAACCCGTTCAAGAAGGATCGCCAGAACTTCCCGGGTGTTGTCATTCCGCTCGCCGATGCACCTGCACATTCCCAGAAACTCACGGAAAAAGATGATAAAGAGCTTAACAACGGCTTGGATCTGGCCCCCTCCTCCGAGAATGGGGTCGCAAGCTCCAATGCCGCCACTCACCACCTGACCATCGAAGGCCTTCGGGCGGAAATCGAATCTGACGTGGCTACAGCTTCTCATGACTCGGCCTATGATCGTATGTATTCTATTCTACTCCATTATCGCTGGAATCCCAAGGTCGAGCACATCGATTTTCTGTTTCTGCATGGATTCTTTGGGTCCTTATTTCACAGATCTATGTTCTAAGTCTTTTTTTTTTCTCACACAGGCAAATCAAAGGTGATCAACAGAGCCCTGCAGGATATTGGAATGGGACGCTACCAGTGGCAACTGTTCTTCCTCTGTGGTTTTGGCTGGACCGCAGACAAGTAAGCAAATTGAATTGTTTCTGGCTCAGGATCAGCTGCTAACTTTTGGTTTCAGCCTCTGGCTCCAGGTATGAAATGATCGTGGCCCAACGTCTTGGTTGAGACTAACCATTCGCAGGGAGTTGCACTGACTCTGACCCCAATTTCATATGAATTCGGAATCTCTGGCACATGGGTGAGATTTACGACTTGTGCTTTGTTCTTAGGTCTTTGCCTCGGTGCCTCATTCTGGGGTGTTGCATCTGATATTGTTGGCCGCCGTCTTGCTTTCAATACCACCCTCTTCCTGGCTGGTGCTTTTGGGCTGGCTTCAGGTGGTGGCCCCTCCTGGATCGGGTACGTTCTTCCAGCAGGCCTATAACATGCATCTGACTTTTGCTAACTGTGAACCCAGAACATGTGCGCTGTTCTCTTGCCTGGGTCTCGGTGTTGGCGGTAACTTGCCCGTCGATGGTGCTCTCTTCCTGGAGTTCCTGCCATTCGTCTCCGGTAACATGTTGACTATGTTGAGTGTTTGGTGGCCCATTGGCCAACTGATTGGTAGTCTTCTCGCCTGGGCCTATATTCCCAACTACAGCTGTTCTGGTTACGAGGGCTGCACCAAGGAGAAGAACATGGGATGGCGATATCTGGTACTGACTCTCGGTGCTATCACCTTTGTCATGTTCATTCTGCGTTTCTTCTTCTTCCACCTGTACGAGTCACCCAAGTTCCTACTTTCCCGCGGTCGTCAGGAAGAAGCTGTTGCATCTGTTCACGGAATTGCGTACAAGAACGGTGCCAAGACGTGGCTGACCAACGAGATTCTCAATGAGCTTGGTGGCTACCCCGACGCACCGGAGGAAAAGACTGAGCTCACCAACACTCAAATCATCAGTCGCTTCTTCTCTAAGTTCTCCATGGAGCGCATTGGTCCCTTGTTCGCCAACAAGCGCATGGGTATCAATACTGCTCTCCTCTGGTTCTGCTGGACCACCATTGGTATGGGATACCCTCTTTTCAACGCCTTCTTGCCCCAGTATCTCTCCCAGTCTGGCGGCGAGGCCAACTCCAACTACACCACATATCGCAACTACGCCATTACATCTATAGTCGGTGTTCCCGGTTCTATCCTGGCTTGCTACACCGTTGAGATAAAGTACATTGGCCGCAAGGGTACAATGGCAATCTCCACTCTGATTACTGGTGTGCTATTGTTCTGCTTCACCGCATCTACCAGCTCCAACATCCAACTATTGTGCAGTTGTCTCGAGGCTTTCTTCCAGAACATCATGTACGGTGTCCTGTACGCTTATACCCCAGAGACCTTCCCCGCCCCGAACCGCGGAACGGGTACTGGTATCTCGAGCTGCTTGAACCGTATCTCTGGTCTCTGTGCTCCCCTGGTCGCCATCTATGCTGGAAGTGCCAACCCTAACGCCCCTATCTACGCCTCAGGTGCTTTGATCCTTGCATCGTTTGTGGCCATGTGCTTCCTGCCCATTGAAACTCGGGGCAAGCAAACGTTATGAGTAACCCGAGTGAACCCGGTCCAGCGGATCTATGTTAAGATGAATATTGTCAGCTACCGCTCACGCCTCCTGTTCATAGATATACATATATTTTATTTCAAACGTGATACCTTACCCGTGAAATCTTCTACCAACATCTAAAGATAATGAGGCAGCCCTTTTGGACATAAACTTAGTCCCAGATACCATGTATGTGCGTTCCTAAAGTTCCACCTTTTTGTGTTCAATTAAGGGTTCTCCAGGGATTTCGGTATCCGTGGTGCATTGTCATGCTCACGCGGATGAGGTTCTAAAGTGTATAACATACAGTAATCTAACCAAGAACGAGGGCTTTATCGCTCTAGAGCTCCCGTATAGCCTGCTTCTAAAGTTGTCTGCTCCGTATGAACTACAACCACCGCAAAGAAATCATTCAAGTGAGCCACTGATCCATCAAGATTCCAAGATCCTGCCAATGACAGCACTATATGGCACGAATAGCCCGCTTTGAAACGACATGTAGCTCTTGAAGGAGTTCGCTGCCATGGTCCGAGTCCAGTGTGACAACCAACCAATGAAGATACAAAGTACTTAAGATGGGATCCGTAACAAGCACCTGCGTATGTAATCCTTATGAAAATTGAAAGAAAAGAACAGGGGCAAGAGAAAACTCCACCCCAGCCCAAGCAAGTTCCACGATAACTCAAGAGAAAGAGAAAGAGACAAGAAAAAACATAGTTCCCCGTTTTTCCAATCATGACCATGTAGCATGCAGATTCCTCGCCGGGACCGATCCAATAACGCGCAAACAACTTAATACCCGAGGCAAGGAAGGAAAGGACGTAACAAATAATAGTAATGAATGGATCCAGTATGAGATGAAAATAGATCCGTAGAAAAATATCGCTCATCAAGACAAAGAGAAAGATAAGAAGAATCGAGAAAGAAAAGAAAAGTATGAAGACATCAATACCCCACCGGGTTGTACATATTCTCGCCTAAGCCACAGGCTGATGACGACGACCACGCTTTTCAAGCAATGTTGACCCATTTAGAGTAAGTTCGAAGGGCTGATTCGGCTTGCGGATACTGCTCTTTGCAGCACTGGCCACATTTGCGTCGTGCATTCCGTAACCCTGCTTGGCTTTCTGCTGGTGAGGTGCTTGGCGTGCTTGGGCGGCACTGCTCTGGTTGCTTAGATTTGTGGATCGTAGTTTGGCTTCCATGCCTGCCATCTCGCCCGACCCCTGAGCCTTAGCCATCTTTGCTGGTGGTTGCCCACCGATACGATGGCTGTACTCGGGCTCATCGTCATAATCCTCATTAAGCGCGCCAAGTGCAGATTGGAATTGTGCAGTGCCACTGCGGTTGGATTGGCGCTGATTCGCACGGCGCTTGCCCTCTTCTTCTTGTCTGTGCACAGCGTAACCAACGTCGAACACTTCACGCAGATTGAAAGCGCCTGGAGATCGGAAGTCCATGCGACGGTCTGCCGATACAGATGGCTGCTCGAGGAACCGAGCGCTGGCAGGCTGGTAAGGGCCATGCTCGGCGCTCACGGAGTCGTATGGCTGCCGCTCATCTGCAGTCTGAACGTGTGGGGTTGCCAAAGGAGGAGCGTCCGCGGCAGCAGTGGTTGCCTCATCCGTTCCGCGTATCCAGGGGTGGTCAAGGAATTCCTTGATGGTGTACCGCTTCTCGGGGTCAACGGTGAGAAGGTGAGAAATCAGATCTTGGGCCGACTTGGAGATGTCATCCCACCAGGGCGACAAAAACGTGTATTGACCGCGTGCAACCTTCTCCGTGAGGACCTGGATACTCTCATCGTAGAATGGAGGGAATCCACAAAGTAGGGTATAGAGAACACAGCCCATAGCCCACATGTCAACACTCTTAGAGTACCGCTCATCCTTGACAATCTCTGGTGCGGTGTATCCGACAGTACCGCAGGGTGTCATTGTGGAGCTATCCCAAATGACCTTGGAAAGGCCAAAGTCTGCAAGCTTGATTCTGCCGATTCCACCTGAGCCATGCCCGGGAATGAACTCGCCCTCATCTTCCTTATCTTCGTCGCCTGGTTGTTGAGGCTTGGGGTTCTTGCTGGGCTCCTGAGGAATGGGATAGAAAAGAAGGTTCTCCGGTTTGATATCACTGCGCGAAGTTAGAGTGCTGTTCTTTAGCTAGAATAGAGGGGAGACAAACCGGTGAACAACTCCAGAGGTTTCGTGAAGGTACTCAATCGCATCGGCCACTTGGCGAATGACATGTCGGCTGAGATCTTCGCTGAAGTACGTCAACCTCACGATTTGATGGAACAATTCACCACCAGGGCAAAGTTCAAGAACAATGTAATAGTATTGCTTAGACTCCGAGAAGTCAATCAATTTGACAATATTAGGATGTTCGAGATTGCGCATAATCTGGACCTCTTTAAGAATGTTCGCACGCTATAACGTCCTTAAGTCAGCATTGGGAACCAGTAAGGCTTGCAACCAAATATGAAACGATTGGGGAAAGGGACAGGGACTGGCGGTGGGATGAGAGTCGTCACTGCCATAAAGAAGGACGAGGTTGTTGGAATATTCTCTGCGCACCTCCGCCGCCTTCGGGACTTTTTTGACCGTTGGATAGTGAGGATCGCTCTACAGAACGTATTGGCTGGGTTCCCCTCCATAGACAGATCCCAGATCCCACGTAGTGCAATTCCCCCCCCCCCCCCCCCCCCCCCCCCCCAAAACCCTTGCATAATTGTTACTCTATTTAAATACCTCCTCAACTCTAGTGTCTCCCGGCCCGACAACGGCCACGCCCCCCCTCCCCCCCTCTATTGAACAAACATAC